CTAATAGATGAGGTGTTGTCTACATGACACATTACAGCACTATTGAATTATCCACATCGGATAGACGCCAGGAACTAATGTTTAACGTTTTACTGCAGTGGGTTAAATCAGGGTCACACAGAGTGTTTCTTGGTTGTCTTAAACAAATCTACTTTTAAACAAAAGTATACATTTCACACACATGGTTATGGGCTTTAAAAAAAAGACACACATACCATGTCAGATATAGAGTTGAAATATGAGTTTGCATCCCAATATTACACTTTATATAAATCACAGACGATTGAAATAAAACAAAACTGTTTGACATAGAAACACCAGATTTACGGCGTAAAAAACAACAACAAACATTATTAATATTTATAACATTCCACTCATGAGGCAACTAGGTCATTTGACTGCAGGAAAGGATTACTCCACACATGTTGCTTTTTAGGAAGTCTTAGGCTACCAGACGCAAACCTTTTCAAGATAGAAGAGATTGACAGAGCCATACACCAGTGATCCAGAATATAACACGTTTATTTTATCATTGACCATGGTTGTATTATAGTTGCAGTTCTTTGTTTAGCTATAAGGGTTTATTCACTGACCACTGTTCTGCAGATCCTGATTATAACTATTAATTTTCATGGCTTATTATGGACAATGCTCATTTTTGCATACTTCCCATAATGAGATGTATTACTCAGCAGTCAAGGTCAGCCAGAAGGAGAGGAGGGTGTGGTGGAGTACAAGTCATTTGGCACAATTTCCATTGCTTAGTAATGATCAAGTTGTTTTCTCAAACGGGGTAACATTTTACATTTACATTTCAGTGATTTAGCAGATGCTATTATCCAGAGCGACTTCCAGTTAGTGAGTGCATACATGTTTTTTCCTTTTCATACTGGCCCCCCATGGGAATCGAACCCAAAACCCTGGCGTTGCAAGCGCCATGCTCTACCAACTGAGCTACACGGGCCCCGTGTAACACTGGGTAGCATGCCTACAAAGAACAGTCTTAAAACTGCTAAGCCTAAATCAAATCCTTTATTTATTATCCTTTAATCCCCCTGTGAAATGTCGTATGGACCCACACTGGGGCCATCCAGTAAAATTCAACAGTGCTCTTTTGTGTCCATATACATATTAAACAGGAAACCGTTTCAGCAAACGTGTCAGAACGGCGACAGTGAAATGCGGTAGGCTCAGTCACACGCAGGACACAGAGCTACGGGAAACCGTACTTTAATCAAAGTCGCCAGTGAAATAAACAGTCTCCAAACAACGGAGAAAACTAACAACCCGCACACTGCCGATGACACAACCAATAACACACAACACACAATGCACGACAGAGGGTTAAATAGGGAATACAATACAACATAATGGGGAACAAGTGTACACAATCAGACACAACAAGTCAAACACCGAAACATAGATCGGTGGCAGCTAGTACTCCGGGGACGACGAACGCCGAAGCCTGCCCGAGCAGGGAGGAGGAGCAGCCTCGGCTGAATCCGTGACAAAACGGCGGAGGGTTGGAAAAGGTTGTCAAGAGGACAGCTAATCCCGAAGGTCCAGAGGTCTCCAGCTGGAGTCACATGTTTGTTCCCTGCCCACCAGACTACCGGACTATCCTACATGAGTAACATGTTCTTGGAGATGAGAATAGGAAATCATTTTTAGTAGATATGAGTTGATTTTAGAGTAGTGAAGTGTTATAACTAATTATCATTGTTAAAGTGCTATTAATGTTTTATGACACCTTGACTGACACAAAAAGTGTTTTCATTGAAAAGGATTGTAAATAAGATGTCTATGAGTGTTTTCTTGAGATTAATTTTGGATTAACTTTGTGTTGAAAGGTGGGGTTGCAAAGGACATTGTGATGCATTACACAGTTAGATCAGTAATGGTGATGGAAGTCAAGGATTGAATGTATCCATTACAATATTTATTTCAAAGGTCATTAGTCAAAGGTTAAAGGTCAATAGTATCTCAGACCATATGAACCATTCAATAAAATGGCTGATTGGAGTGGAGTAAATAGAAACATCGAAATGGGTCCTCATCAAGACTGGGCTGATTAGAGTAAAGCGAAATGTCTTCATCAGTCTTCCTAATCCTTTTTCAACCCCTGTTTTCTGAAGTTATATTTCAGTTGGGGGAGAGGGGCTACCTGGGAAATGAATTATAGATGGAAAAAAGACATGGAAACTTCTGACAGACTACTTTGTTTTGTGGGTACACAGACCCACGATTCACAACAGCCCCTCATGATGAGTTCCGTTTTTTTGTGGGCCCCACCCCCATCAAAGTTGCCCATCCCTGGTGTAGGGTGATACTGTATTCTCAATTATACCACAAATTATAGTATATGATGTAATGTCATATTCAGCATATTCACGAAATAACAGTGATGGCAGAGGAAGACTTTACTTTTCCTCAATGGAACAGAGAGTGCATAGCAGAATTGTGATTAATCAACGATGAATTATACATTTTAACTGGAAGTACAGTAGGCTATGGGTAAAGATAACCACCATTCATTCTCTGAATATGACTTGAGAGATTGATCCGATTGGATATTCTCAAAATCCAAAAATCCAACATACATCAAAAGATATCAAAACGTTTTGCTGTGGTTTGGCATAGATTTGTAAAGAATAGCCCTATCAATCAACTCAATGCTAGAATATATAAATAGTCTGTAAGTATGTGGCGATGCACGTACACCAGTATCTCACTCTGTCTTTCACAATACTAATTCACCATGCTGCATCTATCCGCTCACGCTCTCAGGCACTAAATCACCCCTATTTGGCAACGTACAACTAAATATATCACAGGTTGGGTAACTTGTAGATTTAATTTATTTTTAACATTCTGAATTAATTTATTCATATAGGTGGACAAGACTTAAATATTGCTAAAATAGGTCTGGACTGTAGTCCTATTCTTGCCTTAGTAGTCAGTTCTTAGAAATGCTCATTATGTCACTGTTTCATGTAACTAATTATAACCACAATATCACAACAATCCTACACTTCAGAGAGGCCTAGCTGACTCACAGCTTGTTCTCCTAATGGATACAGATTCAGTCATCAGCAAACTCTGTGTTTCAGTCACTGCTTTGGGATTTCAGGGTTTAGGCTACTGTATCGTAATCTGTTTACAAGCATATCGGGTTTCCCAAAACATTTCAGAACCAACAAATTGCTTTCGGTTCACTGTATGCTCAGAAATAATTAGATTCTATCCCCTTTATCATACTTTTCTTCATCACACTTTATCACAAACCATTTTGCAAGTACTTAAACAAAATAATGTATAATAGTTATTTATAGTTATAACACAATGTACTATTACATTTCAACTCATCATTCTAGTTATTTCAAGAACACAAATGACAGTTTCAAAAGAGGACTCTAACAAATCTTACATTGACTCAAATTTCTAAAATGTCCATGAGCTTCATGTCTGCCTCTCCATTCATGCCGCTGCTACATTATATGGCAAGCTACAGGTAAAGTTTTACTATCCGGATGACCATATTTGGACAATAAATGCTTTGACAGATTGTATGGGCAGCATGCTCAACCAGTGACAAAACCAATGATGTGTATAAACCATTGGACAAAACCCCATGCTCGAGGAGAGTTGTAAGGGAGGTGGAGCTATTGTTGAATGAGTCATAACTAAAATTCCGACCGTTCGCAACTTCAATGGATAGGCTTTAAAAGCGAGGCAACAGCAGCTCTGTGTGCAGTTATCCGATACACTTTGAAGTGTTATTTTTAGACGAATACTATCTACACTGGATCAAGGGAGGACAATCAGCGTTCACTTGTAAGAGGCTACTTACTGTAACATTTTGGATTGTGATGGATGTAAGGACTTCTGTTCACTTTGGAGTTTTACTCTTATCGGTACTATTCACGATTGGAGCATCTGGTAAGTTTTACATACGGCTTTTTATGAGTTGCATCTCAAAAACATATAGCCAACTTTTTTTTTACCCAAGGCTGGCTAAATAGGCAGGGATAAACAGTTTCAGCTGATTCTACATAAACCTTTCTGTTTAATCCCTTGGCACAGTTTTTGCACTCCACATTATATAATATGCACAATTACTTAGTGCTGATGCTCAGTGGGATTGCCATGCCAACAGTAAAGCATCCTGAGACCATTCATGTGTGGGGTTGCTTCTCAGCCAAGGGAGTGGGCTCACTCATCATTTTGCATAAGAACACAGCCATGAATAAATAATGGTACCAACACATCCTCCGAGAGCAACTTCTCCCAACCATCCAAGAACAATTTGGTGACGACCAATGCCTTTTCCATCATGATGGAGCACCTTGCCATAAGGCAAAAGTGATAACTAAGTGGCTCGGTGAACAAAACATCGACATTTTGGGGCCCATGGCCAGGAAACTCCCCAGACCTTAATCCCATTGAGAACTTGTGGTCGATCCTCAAGAGGCGGGAGGACAAACAAAAACCCACAAATTCTGACAAACTCCAAGCATTAATTATGCAAGAATGGGCTGCCATCAGTCAGGATGTGGCCCAGAAGTTAATTGACAGCATGCAAGGGTGGATTGCAGAGGTCTTGAAAAAGAAGGGTCAACACTGCAAATATTGACTCTTTGCATAAACTTAATGTAATTGTCAATAAAAAGCCTTTGACACTTATGGAATGCTTGTAATTATACTTCAGTATACCATAGTAACATCTGACAAAAATATCTCATAACACTGAAGCAGCGAACTTTGTGAAGACCAATACTTGTGTCATTCTCAAAACTTTTGACCACGACTGTATATTGTTTTGTTGTGGTGTGGATTCCATATAAGCCCTTGGGCTTCTAACCACACCTGCACACAGTTTTGTTTTGTTGGTTTGTTTTTATCTGTGTTATTGTCTATCACTTGTTTTCTTTGGTGCAAATACATTTTACTAAACTAAACTAAATAACTAATCATGCCGTGTTTCTCCTGGGTTAACAGGTGAGGATTATTTCCCTGAGGCGCAGAATGTTAAATGGGTGTCCAATAACTTCAAGACTATTCTAACATGGGGCCCTGAACCTACCAACTACACATACACCGTTGAATTTTCTGAGTAAGTAGCCTACATCATGTCTCTGCAGTCTCAGTCTGCACTGCTCTGTTCTTCATTACACCATCGTTGAAAACAAAAGTCCTGTCCGCACAAGCACAAATTGAACACTTTTATTGATGAATACCTTCCTTCATGTCAGCAGAATTAACTTAAAACTGAGTGTACAAACCGTACCTAACACATGACTACACACTACAACTTCACATTCATTTGCAGTGTATGACAGGGCAAGCACAGTTCAAAGACTGTCTGATGTGGGACTGCTTTGTTGTGTGTTCAGGGTCGGCAAGGACAGACAGAGGAACCCATACTGCATACGGAGCTCGGGGACAGAGTGTGACCTCACCAACGAGCTGCGGAACCTGGAGGAGACCTACTCTGCCGACGTCCTATCAGAACCCCTGCCTGGCGTGAACTCTGACCTTGTAGAGTTCCCCTACACCCGGGCCGAGAGGTTCTGCCCCTACAAAGACAGTGAGTGTTATTAGCTACATTATTATTACAGTAGTAAATAAATTATTATTGTATTTATACTCACACAGTAACAACCTGGGTCATTAAGCACCTTGTTATTGCATTGTATAATAATACTGTTATAGCATTAATTTGTAATATTAAAAAGGTTGATTTCACTATAAATTCCCAAAATAAATTCTGTCTGTGGTGCCTAACTTGTCTCGTTCTACTTTTAGCGCAAATAGGAGCACCCAGTTTCAACATCAAGCAGAGTGAAGACAAGACCAAGATGACACTACACATCCAGGACCCTCTCACTCCCCTCTACAGGGATGACCAGCTGTTGACTATCAGAGACATCTTTAAGAATGAACTGAAGTACAGTGTCGTATACAACAAAGCCGGGAGCACAGGAAAGGTGAGTTGAACAGTCATAGTCAATAGATTGTAAATGCATTGCTTATGAGACTCTACCTGTTGATTCCCACTAATGACACAACACAAACAGTGTGCGACTTGAGATAATACTGTATCTAACTCTAAACCTCTGTCCACAGAAAGAGACAATGTCAGACCTGAGAGATGTAGAGCTGACCAACCTGGATAAAGGAGAGAGCTACTGCTTCATGGTGGCAGCCTATATCCCCTCTCGCTCTGTGGAGAAGAGACTGGGAGATTGGAGCAAGCCACAGTGCTCACCCAGAGAGAGCAAGTCCATCTTTGAGGGTATGTGACCCCACAATGCAAAGTACATGGTGTGTTGGGGTTGAGATGGGGTAGAAGGAATTGAAGTAGGGGGAAATTCAGTATATTCAGTTAAATGTGTAGTGGATGGAGTAACTACAACCAATCTATAAAGATAAACTGTAATTTGGGCAATAGCCCTTTTTACTGTAGACTACAATGTGTAGCAATTTCAAGAACTTCAATTAAATTATCATCAATTCAATTATGTATTCGTTCTCTCTTCTCTCCTCTCAGAATTCCACTTTGGTGTGATCGCAGGTGCCATCGGCATCATGCTGGCTATGTTCATCATCCTCATCACTCTAACCGTGGTGTGCTGCAAATGCTGCTCCTGCAACAAAAACAAAAAAAACAGTGGACAAGGAGAACCTGCAGTTTAGTCCAGTGTAAAGGTGTGTATGTATATGTGTGTGCGTGTGTCTTATAAATAATGGTACTTGACTAAATCAACCCTTTCAGAGGGAGGGAGCTGTGCTCCCAATCATTTAGCACAAAGGTATCTAACACTGGAAATGCAAAAGGTCTGTGGTCGTGTTGCCTTTTTAAATCTCATTATTAGTTGGTTCTTTTAAATGGGGAGATCATTTTTTACACTACTTATTTGTTTTATACTAATGTTGAACTAGTAAATTAGATGAATTCTTGAGAAATACATATTTTTGCCACTATGTAGAAATAAACATTTAATTACTTGGCCATTTTTATTTATTTCAATCAATGTTTTGTATGTTAAATATTTATTTTGTATGTCTAATATGTTGATGTGTAGTTCATGTTGAATTGGATTCGTCCTTATTCTGTGCTGCTGGAACATGGATTTGGTACTTTTGGATGAGATGGAAGGTTACAGCAGGAAAATTATTACTTGTGATCACTGTTGTGCATTGTGGTACTTTTTTACAATTAAAATGGATTGATACGAGTCAATTCTCATGTCTATTGTCTAACAATATCCCTGTGAAGGAAATTTGATTTACAGCGCCATCTAATGTAATCTTTGTATTATGTTTGAAACTGATGAGACAAGAGGAAAGCCTTTTCAGAGTGATTGATTGTAGCTCAATGCCTGCTTATCAGCTTATGACCCAGAGAACCATAGGAATACCCAGACAGAGGGGTGACACCACAGTCACATTGGCAACATGGTGCCAGAGACCTCCGAGACATGCCCTGGAGAAGGTCCAAGTCATGGATGCAGCTCAATAATAATAATAAAAAAGTGACCTTAAATGTCACTGTAACCTATTCCTAGTTACCCTATATTTGTCTTGCACTGTGTTGGGGTAACATGCATCTGCACTAATCTGAAAAGACAGGATAAGTGACAACATCCGTGGATGAATGAAAGGAGATAGGAAGAGGAAGCCACTTTAGAGTATTGGGATGCACAAACTATGCTCTGATATCTAACTGAAAGAGAACAACACAATGAGTAGTCTGCAGAACAGAAGACCAAGGGTCTTGAAATTGTTATATCAATGAAATATACAGTGCCTTGCAAAAGCATTCATCCCCCTTGGCGTTTTTCTATTTTGTTGCATTACAACCTGTAATTTAAATGGATTTTTATTTGGATTTTATGTAATGGACATGCACAAAATAGTCCAAATTGGTGAAGTAAAATGAAAAAAATAACTTGTTTCAAAAAATTCTACAAAATAAATAGCAGAAAAGTGGTGCATGCGTATGTATTCACCCTCTTTGCTATGAAGCTGGTGCAACCAATTACCTTCAGAAGTCACATAATTAGTTAAATAAAGTCCACCTGTGTGCAATCTAAGTGTCACATGATCTCAGTATATATACACCTGTTCTGAAAGGCCCCAGAGGGGCACCACCAAGCAAGCGGCATCATGAAGACCAAGGAGCTCTGCAAACAGGTCAGGGATAAAGTTGTGGAGAAGTACAGATCAGGGTTGGGTTATAAAAAAAGGTATCCGAAACTTTGAACATCCCACGGAGCACCATTAAATCCATTATTAAAAAATTGAAAGAATATGGCACCACAACAAACCTGCCAAGAGAGGGCCGCCCACCAAAACTCACGGACCAGGCAAGGAGGGCATTAATCAGAAAGGCAACAAAGAGACCAAAGATAACCCTGAAGGAGCTGCAAAGATCCACAGCGGAGATTGGAGTATCTGTCCATAGGACTACTTTAAGCCGTACACTCCACAGAGCTGGGCTTTACAGAAGAGTGGCCAGAAAAAAAGCCATTGCTTAAAGAAAAACATGAGCAAACACGTTTGGTGTTCGCCAAAAGGCATGTGGGAGACTCCCCAAACCTATGGAAGAAGGCTTTTTGGCCATCAAGGAAAACGCTATGTCTGGCGCAAACCCAACACCTCATCACCCAGAGAACACCATCCCCACAGTGAAGCATGGTGGTGGCAGCATCATGCTGTGGGGATGTTTTTCATCGGCAGAGACTGGGAAACTGGTCAGACTTGAAGGAATGATGGATGGTGCTAAATACAGGGAAATTCTTGAGGGAAACCTGTTTCAGTCTTCCAGAGATTTGAGACTGGGACAGAGGTTCACCTTCCAGCAGGACAATGACCCTAAGCATACTGCTAAAGCAACACTTGAGTGGTTTAAAGGGGAAACATTTAAATGTCTTGGAATGGCTTAGTCAAAGCCCAGACCTCAATCCAATTGCGAATTTGTGGTATGACTTAAATATTGCTGTACACCAGCAGAACCCATCCAACTTGATGGAGCTGGAGCAGTTTTGCCTTGAAGAATGGGCAAAAATCCCAGTGGCTAGAGGTGCCAAGCTTATAGAGACATACCCCAAGAGACTTGGTGGCTCTACAAAGTATTGACTTTGGAGGGGGAATAGTTATGCACGCTCAAGTTCTGGTTTTTTGTCTTATTTCTTGTTTGTTTCACCCCAAAAAATATTTTTCATCTTCAAAGTGGTAGGCATGTTGTGTAAATCAAATGATACAAACCCCCAAAAACTCTTTTCATTCTAGGTCGTAATGCAACAATATAGGAAAAATGCCAAGGGGGGTGAATACTTTCGCAAGCCACTGTATTTATTTCTAGTTCAGCTCATAGTAATGGCATTTTAAATATCCTATGTTAACAAGAATTCCCACGTCCTCGATCCCCTTTTACGAAATAATCAAAGCTTAATTCAGTATGGTTCAGAATAACTACAGTACCTTACAAAACTGAGGCAGACGCTGATAATTTTTATATAGGAGACAAAAAAATACATATTACATTTATGTACTGCAGTTGACGTATTCGGACTAGCTTTGCTTAATGTCATTTACAGTTACAGTAACTGGCTTCACGAAAGGAGAATGCACTTCAGTGTTTCAACAAACAGCACTAGACTAACATTTAAAAAAACAAAACAAAACATTAAATTTAACTCAACATCAAAACTTGACATTAAACTTGACATAAAAATGGACCATTTTAAATAATAAAAAACAATGCAATATTAATGGAAATAACATTTTAAAACATACAAATCGGTAAGGCTAGCTTTCTTAGTACATTATTTGCTTCATATACAATTAAAACTCTCATGTACAGACACGCACGTCCTTAAAAGGTAGACTCTGCAATATGACATCATCATACACAGTGGGGCGACTTCCTGCTTCCAGTCATAAACAACAACAGAATTCAATATCTGCCCTTAGGAAGAGCCAATACGGTCAATCTCGGCAGAATTCAATTGTTTTGTTTATTTCTGTAAGCAGGAAGTGTACCCTGCTCTGTATGATGATGTCATATTGTGGACTCTACCTTTAATGTATTAAAGGTATTTCTCTCTTGACTTTGAGAGAGCTCCCATTCTTCATAATGTAGCGTAACATTTTAAGATGTTAGGACTTGACTTCTCTGTTTTCTATGCTTCATCTAGTGCAGAATTACTTAGGACCATCTCTGTGCACAATAATTGGCTGTGGTGAGGTCGTTATGACCCAAATTCCACAGTTTCCTGGGTGATGGCTTTGAACTCATAGTTTCCCCTTCCATCCATGTGCAGGTAGTACTGGAGAAGACAGAAATCACTGGTTAGAAGGTGTTCTTTCTTAAAGGCCCTCTTAGATATTTGGAATGTATTTTAATCTATATAAAATAAAATGCTCCTACAAAATAGATGTAAACAAGTAAACGCTCTTAGAATTAAAAAAAGGACAAAAGAACAGGGCTTTAGTATTCACCTGCATTATATTATTATATGCACAGTCATTTTATGTTTCATCATTTGGTGTGACAGGACTTACCTCATGGTGCTTCCACAAAGACTTCCTGTGAGAAACCGTGAACAACGTGATGCCCACCTGAGGAAAGGTAAATATGACATCCCATAAGCTACCATGCATCAGTTAGCTTGGTTCTTTTTCATTCCTCTTTCACAATGTGCACATAAATAAAAAAATTTTCAATAATCATCAACATATTGACAAATGGTTGGGATATGGCAAAATCTTTGTACTTACATTGATGTACATTTTGTAAACTTGAATAAAAAAATTAAAAAAGATTGACAAATGACCTATTTAATGTATAATCTGAATAATAGTCCCAGTGTTGTATTTTACCGTCCTGCAGTGGCTGTAGATAAAGTCCTCCACATCTACACTCACAGCACTGGTGCACTCATCCAGGATGGCAAACTGGGGCTTATGGTAAAACAGACGGGCCATCTAGATACCAGAGAGATGAGATGAGATGTGTGTGTGAGAGAAGAGAAGAGAAGAGAAGAGGAGTCCAATCAATGAAAAGCTACCTTTACAGTGAGGGAAAAAAGTATTTGATCCCCTGCTGATTTTGTACGTTTGCCCACTGACAAAGAAATGATCAGTCTATAATTTTAATGGTAGGTTTATTTGAACAGTGAGAGACAGAATAACAACAAAAAAATCCAGAAAAACGCATGTCAAAAATGTTATAAATTGATTTGCATTTTAATGAGGGAAATAAGTATTTGACCCCCTCTCAATCAGAAAGATTTCTGGCTCCCAGGTGTCTTTTATACAGGTAACGAGCTGAGATTAGGAGCACACTCTTAAAGGAAGTGCTCCTAATCTCAGCTTGTTACCTGTATAAAAGACACCTGTCCACAGAAGCAATCAATCAATCAAGACTCCAAACTCTCCACTATGGCCAAGACCAAAGAGCTCTCCAAGGATGTCAGGGACAAGATTGTAGACGTACACAAGGCTGGAATGGGCTACAAGACCATCGCCAAGCAGCTTGGTGAGAAGGTGACAACAGTTGGTGCAATTATTCGCAAATGGAAGAAACACAAAAGAACTGTCAATCTTCCTCGGCCTGGGGCTCCATGCAAGATCTCACCTCGTGGAGTTGCAATGATCATGAGAACGGTGAGGAATCAGCCCAGAACTACACGGGAGGATCTTGTCAATGATCTCAAGGCAGCTGGGACCATAGTCACCAAGAAAACAATTGGTAACACACTACGCCGTGAAGGACTGAAATCCTGCAGCGCCCGCAAGGTCCCCCTGCTCAAGAAAGCACATATACAGGGCCGTCTGAAGTTTGCCAATGAACATCTGAATGATTCAGATAACTGGGTGAAAGTGTTGTGGTCAGATGAGACCAAAATCGAGCTCTTTAGCATCAACTCAACTCGCCGTGTTTGGAGGAGGAGGAATGCTGCCTATGACCCTAAGAACACCATCCCCACCGTCAAACATGGAGGTAGAAACATTATGCTTTGGGGGTGTTTTTCTGCTAAGGGGACAGGACTACTTCACCGCATCAAAGGGACGATGGACGGGGCCATGTACCGTCAAATCTTGGGTGAGAACCTCCTTCCCTCAGCCAGGGCATTGTAAATGGGTCGTGGATTCTAGCACGACAATGACCCAAAACACACGGCCAAGACAACAAAGGAGTGGCTCAATAAGAAGCACATTAAGGTCCTGGAGTGGCCTAGCCAGTCTCCAGACCTTAATCCCATAGAAAATATGTGGAGGGAGCTGAAGGTTCGAGTTGCCAAACGTCAGCCTCGAAACCTTAATGACTTGGAGAAGATCTGCAAAGAGGAGTGGGACAAAATCCCTCCTGAGATGTGTGCAAACCTGGTGGCCAACTACAAGAAACGTCTGACCTCTGTGATTGCCAACAAGGGTTTTGCCACAAAGTACTAAGTCAAGTATTTGACCCCTCTGCAAAACATATTTCCCTCATTATAATGCAAATCAATTTATAACATTTTTGACATGCGTTTTTCTGGATTTTTTGTTTGTTATTCTGTCTCTCACTGTTCAAATAAACCTACCATTAAAATTATAGACTGATCATTTCTTTGTCAGTGGGCAAACGTACAAAATCAGCAGGGGATCAAATACTTTTTTACAGCTGTATGTGCTTGGAAAATGGTCTTAAAAGTCATGGCAACATAAATGGAGTGCAGTGCTATGCAGCTAGCAGAATTAGTCTGGCATAGAAAGAGACAAAACAACTACATGTGTCTTCACTATTCACTGTTGTTTTCTTTAGGAAATGAGCAGTGACTTACAGCCATCCTCTGTTTCTCTCCTCCACTGAGGACGTCCATCCAGTCCTGGACGGTGTCCCAGCTGCCCTCCCTCTCCAGGATGTGACCAAGCTGGACGTTGTCCAGGTACTCCTTCAGCACCTGTTGCCCAGCAGAACACACACACACACAGAAACGGAGAGACGCACAGATACGTACAAAAACGCCAGCATACCACACTGTCAGCAAACAGCGTGCATAGCTTAGTGCTATCCTCTGACATACCACATCCTACTGACAGAGGCCATGTACAGCACACTTGAGAAGCATTACAAATCATTGGTCAAAAAAAGGGCTGCTGTGATTGGATATATGGTATAGTAAAGAGCTGATGTGTTTGGATATACACTACCAGTCAAAAGTTTGGACACACCTACTCATTCAAGGGTTTTCTTTATTTTTACATTGTAGAATAATAGTGAAGACATAAAACTATGAAATAACACATATGGAATCATGTAGTAACCAAAAAAGTGTTAAACAAATCAAAATATATTTTATATTTGAGATTCTTCAAATAGCCACCCTTTGCCTTGATGACAGCTTTGCACACGCTTGGCATTCTCTCAACCAGCTTCATGAGGTAGTCACCTGGAATGCATTTTAATTAACAGGTGTGCCTTCTTAAATGTTAATTTGTGGAATTTCTTTCCTTCTTAATATGTTTGAGCCAATCAGTTGTGTTGTGACAAGGTAGGAGGGGGGGTATACAGAAGATAGCCCTATTTGGTAAAAGACCAAGTCCATATTATGGCAAGAACAGCTCAAATAAGCAAAGAGAAACTACTGTCCATCATTACTTTAAGACATGAAGGTCAGTCAATACAGTATATTTCAAGAACTTTGAAAGTTTCTTCAAGTGCTGTGGCAAAAACCATTAAGCACTATGATGAAACTGGCTCTCATGAGGACCGCCACAGGAATGGAAGACCCAGAGTTACCTCTGCTGCAGAGGATAAGTTCATTAGAGTTACCAGCCTCAGAAATTGCAGCCCAAATAAATGCTTCACAGAGTTCAAGTAAATATAATATATAATATAATATAATAATATAAATATAATAATATAATATAAATATAATAATAATATATAATAATAATATATAATATAATAGTAACAGACACATCTCAACATCAACTGTTCAGAGGAGACTGTGTGAATCAGGCCTTCATGGTCGAATTGCTGTAAAGAAACCACTACTAAAGGACACCAATAATAATAAGAGACTTGCTTGGGCCAAGAAACATGAGCAATGGACATTAGACCGGTGGAAATGTGTCATTTGGTCTGGAGCCAAATTTGAGATTTTTGGTTCCAACCGCTGTGTCTTTGTGAGACGTGGTGTGGGTGAACGGATTATCTCCTCATGTGTATTTCCCACCATAAAGCATGGAGGAGGAGGTGTTATGGTGTGGGGGTGCTTTACTTGTGACACTGTCTGTGATTTATCTAGAATTCAAGGCACACTTAACCAGCATGGCTACCACAGCATTCTGCAGCGATACGCCATCCCATCTGGTTTGGGCTTAGTGGGACTATCATTTGTTTTTCAACAGGACAATGACCCAACACACCTCCTGGCTGTGTAAGGGCTATTTTACCATGGAGGAGAGTGATGAGTGCTGCATCAGATTACGTGGCCTCCACAATCCCCCGTCCTCAACCCAATTGAGATGGTTTGGGATGAGTCGGGCCGGAGAGTGAAGGAAAAGCAGCCAACAAGTGCTCAGCATATGTGGGAACTCCTTCAAGACTGTTGGAAAAGCATTCCAGGTGAAGCTGGTTGAGAGAATGCCAAGAGTGTGCAAAGCTGTCATCAATATAAAGGGTGGCTACTTCGAAGATTCTAAAATATAAAATATATTTTGATCTGTTTAACACTTTTTTGGTTACTATATGATTCCATTTGTGTTATTTCATAGTTTTGATGTCTTCACTATTATTCTACAATGTAGAAAATAGTAAAAATAAAGAAAAACCCTTGAATGAGTAGGTGTGTCCACATTTCTGTCTGGTAGTGTACATGTATGGTCCAGTAAAGGGCTGCTATGATTGGATAGTTAGGCTACCTTATCAAAGGTGCCCTTCCTCCTCTGGTCCTCCACTGTATCTGGGTAGATCACCTGATCCCTCAGAGAGCCCAGGGTCATGTATGGCCTCTGGGGAACATAGAAGAGCTTCCCTCGCTCAGGTTTGGTGAGACGGCCACCAAACAGAGGCCAGAGCTGAGAAACAGACACATCCATTACTACTCATGAATGTAAAACAGTAAAACACTACAGCAACATAACAGGCTTTTTCAGCAATTGTTGATTCCTCATACCTCTCCCAGGACTCTGAAGAGTGAGCTCTTCCCACAGCCGTTGGGGCCACACACCAAGACGTTTGTCCCTGATGTCACCTTAGGTTAGCAGGGGATGGGAAGGCACAGTTCAGCCGTCTGCACTTCCAGATTAAACAGTCCCTCAACCTTCATCATAAGTCTAGTCTTTAGATTTCATGAATTTTATAAATTGGTTCAGTACGGAGTTGCTCCTAGGTGGTATTGAGATACTCACCTCAAAGCTGAGGTCTTTGATAAGAATATCCCCATTGGGCGTTGCAAGAGGTGTATGCTCAAACCTGAGACACAAGTACAACATCAAACCAGGTAGTACCTACTTTCATTAAGCATGTTAATCATGTTTATTGTATTGCTATAATACATGTATCTGTCAGATACATACTTAATAATCTTGTCTTTGTGGATGATTTCACCACTTCCTGGGACCAAGGTGATTCTATCTTGTAATTCACCATCTGAAAATGTGACAAAGAAAAAAATCACAAAAGCAATCATCTCGCACATAAACTAGTAAAATGTTATCCTGTTCCTGTGTTAGACTACTGCCACATGAGACTGCTATCTAACAACAATATCAGCATCAATACATTATCAGGGAACATGCAGCGGGTACCTCTGCCTCCCTGCTGAGAGACCATGGTCCTCTCGTATTTCCCAGAGTTCAGCTCTTTCAGGACTTTAATGATCTCGGTGATGCGAGCTGTGAACCTGTAGGGGGACAGCAGGAGTCAGTGAGGAGGGGGACAGCAAGAGTCAGTGAGGAGGGGGACAGCAAGAGTCAGTGAGGAGGGGGACAGCAAGAGTCAGTGAGGAGGGGGACAGCAAGAGTCGAGTCAGTGAGGAGGGGGACAGCAAGAGTCAGTGAGGAGGGGGACAGCAAGAGTCAGTGAGGAGGGGACAGCAGGAGTCAGTGAGGAGGGGACAGAAGGAGTCAGTGAGGAAGGGACAGCAGGAGTCAGTGAGGAGGGGACAGCAGGAGTCAGTGAGGAGGGGACAGAAGGAGTCAGTGAGGAGGGGACAGCAGGAGTCAGTGAGGAGGGGGACAGCATGAGTCAGTGAGGAGGGGACAGCAGGAGTCAGTGAGGAGGGGACAGAAGGAGTCAGTGAGGAGGGGACAGCAGGAGTCAGTGAGGAGGGGACAGAAGGAGTCAGTGAGGAAGGGACAGAAGGAGTCAGTGAGGAGGGGACAGTAGGAGTCAGTGAGGAGGGGACAGAAGGAGTCAGTGAGGAGGGGACAGAAGGAGTCAGTGAGGAGGGGACAGAAGGAGTCAGTGAGGAGGGGACAGCAGGAGTCAGTGAGAAGGGGACAGAAGGAGTCAGTGAGGAGGGGACAGCAGGAGTCAGTGAGAAGGGGACAGAAGGAGTCAGTGAGGAGGGGACAGAAGGAGTCAGTGAGGAAGGGACAGAAGGAGTCAGTGAGGAGGGGACAGCAGATGGAGGGAAAGAAGAACAAGTGGAGTGATCTGAGACCATTAAACCATTAACCCAATGAACAATTGAACCAACAAACCAATGAACCACTGAACTAGTCCCAGATCTGTTTGTGCTCTTACCTACTCCATTGCTGTCTTTACCAAGCCAAACAGTCTGGCCTCACAACAATCTTCAAATATGAACAATAATGAGCTTGAGGAGAACAGAGGATTGGATCCTAATTCGATAACCCCCACAACTACCCTCCAATCGCAAGGGTTATGCAAATATTGGAACTCTATTGCAATAACTGACAGAGATAGCATGATAGCGCTAACAAACTGGCATTCAGGCTACCAGTGCACCACCGAACCAGTTGAACCAATTGTGTGATAAGAGCATTGTGTATGACTGACCCTGAGAGCCTGCTCATCTCTCTGCCAGCCAGGACGATCCTGCCCAGGGCCTGAGACATGCTCAGCAACATACGCCCACTCTGGTAATAGTCCTGGAGGAGAAAGAGAGGGAGAGAGGGGAGACAGGGAAGTTAGGATCTGATCCATACAGAACACACACACACACACTCTTTGTCTCTCCTCACCTCTAGCAGCTCAGCGTGGGTACTGTGTAGGTGGCGTGGGTGGGTACGGTTCAGGAACGGCCTGCTCACCACCAGGTACCCCACAACAGTGGCAATGTCTACAGAGGTGGGAAAACCACAAGTATTTAATTCAGCTATAAACCACATCAGATGAGAGAGTATGAATAAAGTAATTAACAAACTTCAAATCAAAGAGTATTCTCACACTTTGCAATGACGCTGTCCACGAAACCAGTTGAAAAGCGGAAGAAAATGAAATTGTGCAAATGATCCACCTATGGGAGAGAATGTAACGTAAGACATTGATATGCATTGTAGTACAGATCCTCTGTGATACCATAGTACGGGTGATTTTATTTGGCCCCCAAAGTTTTCTGAGCATAAAAGACAAACCCCTAGCAAATCAGCTCCAAGTGATTTTAATTTAGGAAATCTGTAGACAAGTATTCCCACGCATAATAGAGAGATATTTGTGATCGTATGCAAATGTAAGTACGGTTTGAAATTATTATGTTTTAGTCAAATGTTATATCTGTTTGGGCTTCTTGTGGTCAATTTGCCATCGACAAATTATTTGTAATTATGTTCCTGCCTCCTGATCATCCGCCCAAGAAAAAAATTGTCAGGCGGGTGAATCTAGTTGATGATCCCTGCCATAGTAAGTCAACTACCGCCACTGATAGATTTAAAGCCCCAAACCCTCTCACCAGTTTCTGGAAGGTGGAGTGAATGGTCTGTTTCTCCCTCAGGTTTCCATTGTAGAAGGCAATTTCTTCACTGTGGGAAACAAAACATTAAACCAGTTATTTTCACAGTGGAAAAAGAACATGAAACAGAAATTCTTTGTCTTAAAAAGGAGAAGAGAGGAACAGTAGTAAGGATAGATGTGCGACCCGACTGACCTGTTGGTGATGAGGCGTGAGTTGACGAATCGGTACTCTCCCTCGTATCTCTGCTCCATCACCGTCATCTTGCCGATGGGCCTCCGCAGACGTGTCAGGATGAGCCCAGAGAACACCAGGTAGCCTATCATACAGGCAGGACCCTGAGGGGAAAGAGGAGAGTAGAGTAGAAACTCTATTCTACTGTGCAGATGCATTGGGGATTAACATTTTCATTCTTTCAATTGAAACTACATATAAGCCTAAATGTAGGACAATTCCAGAGATCCATAGAAGGCTACATTAGACAAAGCAAGACTCACCTGTGGCCCGATGGCCGAGGTCAACTTGAAGATGTACAGACCAATGTCCAATAGAGGCTAAAGGAAGAGACAAAACCTGTCTGATTATCATCCCAGGTTCAGTGTACTGTCAATAGCAGTAGATTGTATCAGGCTTTGAGCCGCATTAGTTGTCTCTACAACAGAGGTATTTTTTAATAGCCTGGTTGAACCAGACTGAATTCTGAACTCGGCATTGTTTCATTTGAGTGCAGAATTTGGTCTAGTATAACCAGGCTATTTAAGTGCAGGTTACCTTGCTGATGTTGGAGTAGAGGTCCACCACACTGTTACAAAACTTCTCCACGTCCTGGGTCAACAGCTGGTCAGGGTTACCGATGCGGTTGTCCAGGTTACCAATCTTATAGTATGTGTAACCTCTGAAGAGGAGATGTGGGATGGGAGGATGGTGTGGTGAAAACATGAAACAGGGTTTGGCAGGTGTTTTATGTATTTTCTATCACTTTGAGTTTATGAAGTCATTGTTCCTTACACCATTGTAACAGGGTCACTACACTGTAAGTAGTGGGGCTAGGACATTTGTAAAATGAAATCTGATCAAGGGAAAAATCCTTTCAAACTACCTCTATTGCTAAAGGCTAATCCACTGAGGTATATATGAACTAGAGACAGCGTCCAAAATGGACGCTTGTTGTTTTCAGCGTAATCTACTTAAGTTTCCATTCGCTGTTTCGTAGTTACTGCCATCTTTCTATATCCGTTTTTACTGGGACGACAACGCCTGCACAGTGCGCACTGGACAGACAGCAGTACCGCGCGAACATGCTCCGGGAACTCTGCCAGAGCGTGCCATGCACGTGGACGGCTACACAAACCAAACGGCACGTCGATGGCCAGCATGAATTAAATGTTTTCGTATCTTCGGCTGTGAGTGATGAAAAAGAAAAAAAAATCGGCCTCAGTGCCAATTATTTGAATATTTCAATGGTAGTTTCGTGCACAAAGGTGAGGACTTAAGTGTCTTATTAGGAATTTTCAAATGTGACTTCTCTATGGGGCTGTCTATGGGAATTGCCTTTCTGGGCCAGACTTCAGTTAAACTACAATACCGATGCTGTCCTCTGGGCACAGCCGAAAGCGTGCTTCCAGTCCGGAACCCTGGGACCTTGGGCTAATCTTGTCACCCAGAACCAAATCTCCCGCTACGTGATTTGGGTTAGATGTAAATGTTAACGTCTGTCACGAGACCAGCTAAGGGCAGACAGACAGATGTTCTCTTGATCTCTCAGAACTAATATTCTGCAAGAAGTAGGCTTGGGAATGAGTGATCAGCAGGACTTACTGCAGGTACTCATCATAGAGGTGCTTGGTGAGTCGAACCCGGCAACAGAGCTTCAGTTCATTCAGACCCAGCTTGAGGAAGTTGTTAACCAGTGAGATCTGAAACAGGCAAACGGGCCATAATAGCAGTCTCATTTAAAAGCAGTGCATGACATTTTATGGTGCGAGTATACCACTCAATGGAATTTATGCACTGAGTAAATAATCATAAACACCTCATAAAACCTCTAATAAATATAGGCCAGGGATCACCAGTCTGTTAGTTATCAGGCAGTTTTAGTATTGACAAAAAAATACAAACAAACGCTCTCCCAATTGGGCACAATTCTAATCCTAACGTAAACCACCATTCCCAAATCATGAGGTTAACTGTTTTCAAGTTCATTAGCTTATTATCAAATATACTGTATTGAGAAAGTGTCATGTGTAGAATTACGCATTATAATTTTGTTTTAATATACGGGTGGTAGAGACAATTAAGACAACAAATTAACCACAAAAATAGAAGTAGGAAAGTTGCACTTACAAATGGCATGACTTTTATAAAGTTGAACAAGAGTCTCTTGAAATCTTTTGTTGAACGACCAATAATTGCACTGCAAACCAACATGCACAAAGTGAACACACACTCACAATGTCACATACAGGGCAAAAAGTGGGGTCATTCTACATTGTAAACCAAAGGTGTGTGTTTTTTTCAGTGTTTTTTAGCGTCCAGAAAACCCAACACTGGAAGAGCTGGATTGTCCGCACCTTAAAGAGCCACTGAACACGCCGATTGGCACGGGTTTTTCTCTCATTCGAAAAACAAGATTTCAGTCTTGGAGGTGTGTTTCCTGACCGATTCCGCGTTTGGTTAATGATGTTTGTCCCCCATGAGACACTGTACTCGGAAGCCTATTTGACTTCCTCAAAATCCCTAGAATGAACCTAAGATAAAAATAATTATACATTTCTTGAGTTAACGTTTTTGCCGAGGATGTTTTAGTTGCGCAATTTTACATCTAACTATGGTGATTGGTGCAGTATTTCTCAAGTAAAAAAATGCACAACGTGTTGTCTTATGTAAACAGTCGGAGCTGCTGAGCAGGTCTGCCTCACTGTCTATTCTATTGTATAGAGAGCAATCACCGCAGCTGTTCACCCCATGTTAGTGGGCAAATGGACATCGTCAAATCAAAACCCAACCTTTATTAACCCGCTGTGACGCACAGATGTTACAAACTCCGTTTTAGATGAAAATAAATAATAAGTCTCATTAATAAGTTGGCCCAGTCTAGTCCTGTAGGGCTGCCAGGATCAATTTTTCCACCCCAAACACAAAATAAAACCCACTCTAGAAAATAACCAGGAATATGTTAATAACTGACTAGAAGGTAGGCTAAATACAGTATTTCAAATATTTGCAAGCCCGCAATCCTTCAAGACCAGTGATGCCCACAAATGCAATTAAACCACAACAACAATGCATAAGCACTTAATCATATTCTGCTTCCAGGCACCCCAAGCAACACAAAGTAATCCATGCAAATGTAGCACTGGACACTAGTTTACCCCCGGTATGGCAGCAATATAGTAATAAAAGTGCTTCTTGAAAATATTGACATCTCTGCTAATGATTCCACTGTGGAGGAATTAAGAGGAGATGATTACAACCTGTCAAATATGATAAGTAACAATAATTCTGCAAAGCTATGTTGAAGTTGCTGCTGGCAATGTCGCTGGTGAGAACTTTAATGTTGGTGTGCTAGGGTTTTCTATGGAGTCCAACCTCTAGGCCTGGGCGATATGGCCTAAAAATCATATCTTGATTTATTCAAACTTATGGGCGATTCACGATATACATCTTTATTTTATTTTTTTACGCTTTCTCTTAATAAACTTCGTTGAAGAATTAAAGGTCAATACACTGCATTTCAAACAGTCAGGTCAGAAATAATCGAATTAATTCAGGGCTTGTAAAATTATACCTAGGCTAAATATACGCCTTCCACAACCATAAGACCACTAATCATTTTATTATTTTAGTTTAACCTGCTTTTGTTGCAATAACCACTGATCTGGCTTTCAAGTCTGTCTATGAAGATGCAATTTTTGTTACAGATTTCACCGGAACCATGCACATCCGCTAATAATGACTAACTTCTTGTAGGTCTCATGAACAATCTCTCAAGCACAAGCCCACGTGCTAGTGAGTAGCCAGCTAATCATTATATTTCAAGTCTAGCCAACTTGGATATATTTGCTTGCTAACAAGGAAGAACAATTGAACTGTTATGACCCTCCTGTCCATCTTAAACTGTTTGAACAACATAGCCTGTTCACTTTGTTTAGATATTGAAATCAAGTGGCCTACCTAGATAAGATTATTTATCAGAATGAGAACGTGTTGCCAAATCCTTATATAAATGCGTATTTTTATGCTCATTGCACATTCATAAAACACAGACTAGACAGCTAGCACAACAGTCTGTGGCTAAAATGCTGCTAGCTGTACGTGGTACTGCAATGCCGCACACGACAGAAACTGAGCATTCATTTTCCACAACATGTTCATTGATACTCTCGTTTTAGTAGGGTCTGCTCTGTTCTACATTTTGGGAGTTGAGATACATTTACATTTACATTTTAGTCATTTAGCAGACGCTCTTATCCAGAGCGACTTACAGTTAGTGAGTGCATACATTATTTTATTACTGGAATCGAACCCACAACCCTGGCGTTGCAAACGCCATGCTCTACCAACTGAGCTACATCCCTGCCGGCCATTCCCTCCCCTACCCTGGACGACGCTGGGCCAATTGTGCGCCGCCTCAGATAAAAAGGGTATCGTTAGAAAGGTTAAGTTCTCCTCTACTACAGTAAAATAATGTCTCTAAGCATTTCGGTGTCCATACGACCGATTCTGTTGGACCAAACCTTAAATGCAAATACTGAGTTTAAACTGCTTGTTGTCAGGGAGAAGTTATCTTTCGTCTTTGTTGTTGTGGGTGGCAGGGGGAGGGTATTGGTGTCTGTGTGCGAGTGGGAAGGTGCACAGTGCACACAGCACAGGAGTGAAGCAGACGAGACCAAAAAGACATAACACTCATAAAAACGAACACAAAATAAAAACCTAGATTCTTGCGATACAGGCATTTGGAACATCGAGCCAAAACATTAATTTCAATTAATTAGACATATCTCCCAGCCCTACCTACCTCTCGATCATGGTGCCATTCTGGATCATCCACACATCACAGTAGGTTCTGGCCACCAGCATGGCAGCGATGAGGAGACAGTATCCTGACTGGGGAGCAGTAGATTACAAGAAATAGGTCAACACAAGAGATTGGGAGATCTGTTGAGATGTTAAACAATACACTTCCTTACATTAAGTGAAATGTAATTCCAATCAAGATGAAAATGTTGGAGTGCATTCAAAGTCATCAAGTTTGTAGAAGAGCTCATACCTCTTTGCAGAACACTCCAGGAACCATGATCTTCACTATCTTCAGGATACGTGCAAAGAACACCTTGTCCACCACCGTCCTTTCCTTCTTGGCCTCCTGCCACACATCATACCAAACATTAACACAGATTAATGAGATAAATAAACCACATCAAATCTCACCAGCTCAGTCCTACTTGTTATTATGGTAAAGGCATGTGGATATTGACATTATTGCCAAAATGTTGTCCCTGGGTGTGGTAAGACAGGGGTTCCCAAACGTTTTTCACTCTGGGCCCCCCTTCCAGCATTGGGTAAGATCCCGTGCCCCCTATTTCTATGGGCACAAGCACTGTTCATGACACAAACTGTTCTCATCCCTCTTGTTGGTGGAAAGACTTTTGCAGGTTTCAAGCTTATTTCCTGCAATTCTACACAATTTGTCATGGGGTGCAAAGAACATTTTGCAGTTTTAAAGCACATTTTCAAGCAATTCTATACATTTTGGCATATGTATTCATGTGATATTTGAGTAACAAAAAAATTACAACAAATCTATGGGCTAAAAAACCTAAATGAAAAACGTTAGCTGACATGGGCTAGCTGATCTGGACATTTCTGACAAGTTATAAATAGCTCTCTAAGGTATGCAATGACTAACATGACAAGAGGAACTTATGACGCACTACCCAATTATGAAATAGCACCTTGTGCATTCTACTATTACAACTTTCAAGAGTAAGTTTAAAGCCGGACTGAGTTCATATACAGTGGGGAGAACAAGTATTTGATACACTGCCGATTTTGCAGGTTTTCATACTTACAAAGCATGTAGAGGTCTGTAATTTTTATCAGAGGTACACTTCAACTGTGAGAGACGGAATCTAAAACATCCAGAAATCCAGAAAATCACATTGTATGATTTTTAAGTAATTAATTTGCATTTTATTGCATGACATAAGTATTTGATCACCTACCAACCAGTAAGAATTCCGGCTCTCACAGACCTGTTAGTTTTTCTTTAAAAAGCCCTCCTGTTCTCCACTCATTACCTGTATTAACTGCACCTGTTTGAACTCGTTACCTGTATAAAAGACACCTGTCCACACACTCAATCAAACAGACTCCAACCTCTCCACAATGGCCAAGACCAGAGAGCTGTGTAAGGACATCAGGGATAAAATTATAGATCTGCACAAGGCTGGGATGGGCTACAGGACAATAGGCAAGCAGCTTGGTGAGAAGGCAACAACTGTTGGCACAATTATTAGAAAATGGAAGAAGTTCAAGATGACGGTCAATCACCCTCGGTCTGGGGCTCCATGCAAGATCTCACCTCGTGGGGCATCAATGATCATGAGGAAGGTGAGGGATTAGCCCAGAACTACACGGCAGGACCTGGTCAATGACCTGAAGAGAGCTGGGACCACAGTCTCAAAGAAAACCATTAGTAACACACTACGCCATCATGGATTAAAATCCTGCAGCGCACGCAAGGTCCCCCTGCTCAAGCCAGTACATGTCCAGGCCCGTCTGAAGTTTGCCAATGACCATCTGGATGATCCAGAGGAGGAATGGGAGAAGGTCATGTGGTCTGATGAGACAAAAATAGAGCTTTTTGGTCTAAACTCCACTCGCCGTGTTTGGAGGAAGAAGAAGGATGAGTACAACCCCAAGAACACCATCCCAACCGTGAAGCATGGAGGTGGAAAAATCATTCTTTGGAGATGCTTTTCTGCAAAGGGGACAAGACGACTGCACCGTATTGAGGGGAGGATGGATGGGGCCATGTATCGCGAGATCTTAGCCAACAACCTCCTTCCCTCAGTAAGAGCATTGAAGATGGGTCGTGGCTGGGTCTTCCAGCATGACAACGACCCGAAACACACAGCCAGGGCAACTAATGAGTGGCTCCGTAAGAAGCATCTCAAGGTCCTGGAGTGGCCTAGCCAGTCTCCAGACCTGAACCCAATAGAAATCTTTGGAGGGAGCCGAAAGTCTATTTCCCAGCGACAGCCCCGAAACCTGAAGGATCTGGAGAAGGTCTGCATGGAGGAGTGGGCCAAAATCCCTGCTGCAGTGTGCGCAAACCTGGTCAAGACCTACAGGAAACATATGATCTCTGTAATTGCAAACAAAGGTTTCTGTACCAAATATTAAGTTCTGCTTTTCTGATGTATCAAATACTTATGTCATGCAATAAAAGGCAAATGAATTACTTAAAAATCATACAATATGATTTTCTGGATTTTTGTTTTAGATTCCATCTCTCACAGTTGAAGTGTACCTATAATAAAAATTACAGACCTCTACATGCTTTGTAAGTAGGAAAACCTGCAAAATTGGCAGTGTATCAAATACTTGTTCTCCCCACTGTGTGTGTATATATAAAACCCTGCGCCCCTCCCCCCACATAGTTTGGGAACCACTGTGGTAAGAGAGAGTGATTTCAACATTGAGTGTGGTAAGAATCTTACAACTCAGTAGTTAGTAACATTTCTTGGATACAAACACTTACATCTTTGCTCAAATGTAGTTCTGATGATCTTTTCACCCTAAACATAAAACAGGAATGAAGCCAATCTATGGTAGCCAAAGACACACAGCAAACGTAGATTACTTTGTTAGTTAGACCTTGCAATCCTGACAACCCAGCTATAACGGGCAATGCAATTATATCCCCTACCACCTCTGTGAGTATCAGTAGAGAAAATTAACTCCATAAACTACTACCTACCTAAAATAGTGTTAAAATAACATAACAGAAAGCTCTGGTTCAACGTCATCATACTGCAACTAGTCAGTTACAAATGTTGTATGACAAATGCAGCGTTTAAAACAATTGGGAACTCGGACATCTCCGACTTCAGTGCGTCAAAACAACTGGGAACTTTGGAAAAAAACTATGTCCGACTGAGGAAATCGTTTAGAACGGTCATCCAACTCGGAATTCCACCTCGGGAACTCGCGCCTGTTTCTAGAGCTCCGACTTTCCGACCTGAAGATCACTGACGTCATGATTTGATCTCGTATTTTTCCCGACTTCCCAGTTGTTGTGAACGCAGCATTACTAGCTAGCCAATGTTGGCTACATCAGTTTAGCATTATGATGGTCGTCACCAAGCTAATCTTACTTTAGCTACGAAATAGTTGTCAAGCTTAACTTAGCTACCCATTTATCTTGGCAGCATGTCTTTTCCTCTTGAGAAGATACAAGGCAACAATTGTGGCGCCTGCTATAGAGCAGTTCTTAGCTGTCAAGTATTTACTGATCGCCGCCATGTTTCCATCTGTCGACCGACCAAGGAAGTAACGAGATGCATGCTGGGGTAGCTACTAGCTACCTGGCTGGCGTGCTAGCAAAATGAGCTATATGGTGCGACATTTCAGTACATCAGAGCAATGCAATGCAAATATTGTATGAATAAACTGTTTAAGCCAAGGACAAAAAAGTAAACATGTCCTTTATCTGCTATAAATCATGCTAGCTATGTGTGTCAACATTGCATTTTTCACTTTTGTTTTCATTTCAAACTCAGCGACATTTGGCAGCAGGAGAAAGCCGGAAGCCAATCCTTCAAATTAAAAGTAGGAAGGACTCTGGCAAAAATACTACATACTAATGAAGAAAATTCAAAGTTCTTATGAACACGAGCAACTATAGAATGCTACAGCAACCTCCTTATTGTAGCGTTATTTTTCATATGACTTTTATTTTTGCAATATGGCTAAAAAAAATCACTGAAAACCGGAAGTTCTGAAATAGTGATGCTTGTGGAACACGCGCGTAGTAGAAGGACACGGATGGAGATTCCTGATCACAAACAAGGTATGTTCATGTTGCTGGTTTGAATATAATCGTACTGTTTCTTAGTAACCACCAATAATAATTGCAGATGAATGTACGTCTTTCTGATGAATGGGTTGATAAAAAAAGTGTTGATTATTGTTAGTTCAATGACATAATGCACAATTTAGCTAGCTTCTAGCATTGTTAGCTAGTAGGGCGCGATTTCAATTCATGTTAGTAGTTAGCTAGCTGTGTACTGTATCTACTACGACTTCCGTGAAGCATCCACACTTGTATTGTTTCCTTGATTTAAATCGACTAAAATAGCTGATGTTAGTTCAGCTGTCTGTTCAACTTGGTTGGTTAGTTAGTTGCTAGCCCACACTGGCTTAATGGAAGTAACAACAAACTAGCAAGTCAGTGACTAGTAAGCTAACTTAACGTTATACAGTTGCTAACTAGTGACTGCTTTCAAGTTGTAGTAAGCTAATGTTATCCTTGGCTTGAATCCAGTCCACTGCAAACAGTGTTCATAGTCAAAAGGTTGGCCATCAAGTTAGCTAATTATTGATGTCTATATGGTTGGAACTTGCAGAGAAATCCTTGCAGATGTCAATGCACTTAGCTAAGCATTACAGCATTGACTGTGTCAGATGGAACTCATAATGTCTGCTTAGATGTTGACTAAATTCATTTGTGAACCTATAGCTAGCTACACACAGGTAACTGCCAAAATAAAGGAAACACTTGAGGAAATGAGCGATACAAAGTATATTGAAATCAGGTGCTTCCACACAGGTGTGGTTGGTTCCTGAATTAATTAAGCAATTAACATTACATCATGTTTAGGGTCATGTATAAAAATGCCCAGTTGCCCATTATTTTGGCTACCATGGCTATAAGAAGAGATCTGTGACTTTGAAAGAGGAGACTCAAAGGAGCATAGGGGGTTTAAAGTGTGTGTGTCTGTCTCAGTCACCAGATCTCAAGAGACATCATTTTCCACCTCCAACAAAACACCAAATTCTAGAATTTATTGTGGAAGAATGGTGTCGCATCCCTCGAATAGAGTTCCAAGACACTTGTAGAATCTATGCCAAGGCGCATAGAAGCTGTTCTGGTGGCTCTTTGTGGTGCAACGCCCTATTAAAACACTTTATGTTGGTTAGTCCCCTGTAGATCAGTTGGTAGAGCATGGCGCTTGCAACGCCAGGGTTGTGGGTTCGTTTCCCACGGGGGGCCAGTATGAAAATGTATGCACTCACTAACTGTAAGTCGCTCTGGATAAGAGTGTCTGCTAAATGACTAAAATGTAATGTAAAATGTGTCGCCTTTATTTTGGCAGTTACCTGTACCTTTCAAGTTTAATATTGTTCTCTTCATTGCATAGATATCAATTGTGTCAGAAGATGAGTTCGCATCAATATTCACGACCGGGAATACCTCCTGGTATGGGAAAAAAACAGATTCCTGGAGGAAACACTGCAATGGTGTCTAGTAGTCAACCAAACACAATAGGTAATATCATGCAACCTGCTGAACTAACTCGCAGCAAAACTATCTCGCTTTGTATCACAACTATTTGCAGTGGTTAGTAAGTGTGGGAAAGCATTGGTCAGTCAAGTCTGCTGCGTAACAATGGTTAGTACTCCAACTCTTTGTACCACAGGTGGGGCAGACGATAGCAGCCGTGACCCTCACCCAGACCACAGTCCCTATGACCGCCCAAGCGGTGGTGGTGGAGCACCGAGCTTCAAAGACGACAAGCAGGAGACAGTGGTGGTCCGGCCTTACCCCCAAGCCCAGGTCCACGGCCCCCCCCAGGGTCACCACCCAACACTACCTCAGCACCTGCCCCTCCAGCAGGGCATGCCCGTCACAGTGTCAGCCCCTCCACCACACATCCCCCAAGGCCTTCCTCTGGCCTTCGCTGAAGGACCCATAAAGGTATGGATGAGGGAGCTCAGAGTTCTGTCTGCTGCATTAGCCCTCAACCTACCTGATCTCATCTTTCACCTTTTCTTAGGTGCAGTCATCTCTGAAGTCGCCCATGCCCAGTCGAGTGATTGCCCCAGCACCAGCCAACATCTCCCTGCCACCCAAGGTGCCAAGCCACGTCACTGTAACATTGGAGAGCACTGTGCCTCCGACCCCCGGCATCCCTGTAGCAACTATCAGTGGCCAACAGGTAAGGACTGGTGTTGTTTACAGTTGTAATATACCCTATAAATAATATACCCTATTTAGGTCTACCCAATGTGATGACGTGATGAAAATTGTGGTTCCAAATCTATAATGCTTTGTGTCCATGGGCGTGGCGTTTCCAGGGCAACCCCAGTAACCTGCACCATCATGTGCAGATCATTCGCAGCAACGGCCCGCCCCTGCAGCTCGGCACCCCCCAGCACACCTTTACCTCCCATCTACCCAGAGGTCAGTTGCGTAGCCCATAGCAGATAGAAACTTTTATAATTCTGAAAATGGTCAAGGTGCTTACCATGACAAAAGAAAGTACACCATAGTGGTTGGTTCATATTTTAACCCACTCTAGGTCCTCAGCAGAAACATCCTAAGCACAGACATGTCTAACTGTTGTTCATGTGTGTTTCCAGGAGCTGCTGCAGCTGCTGTGATGTCCAGTTCCAAAGGACCCACCGTACTGAGACCTGTTACAGGTCCTGGTAGTGGTACTGGCCCACCTACTGTCCAGCACATCATCCACCAGCCTATCCAGTCCCGGCCAATAGTAACAACGTCCACTGCTGTGTTGCCCATGGTGGTTGCCCCGGTAACGGCCACCAGGCCTCAGTCCCCAGTGGTTAGCTCAGCCACGCACTCCGCAGAGATGGTTCATGGGTACGACATGCTCAAAGCATTAACTTTGAACTGTTTTTTTACTGTTTTATTTTGTAACATATAAACTCAGCAAAAAAAGAAACGACCCTGTCTTTCAAAGATAATTCTTAAAAATCCAAATAATTTCACAGATCTTCATTGTAAAGGGTTTAAACACTGTTTTTTACATTACATTTTAGTCATTTAGCAGACGCTCTTATCCAGAGCGACTTACAGTTAGTGAATATATATATATTTTTTTTATACTGGCCCCCTGTGGGAATCGAACCCGCAACCCTGGCGTTGCAAACGCCATGCTCTATCAACTGAGCTACATCCCTGCCGGCCATTCCCTCCCCTACCCTGGACGACGCTGGGTCAATTGTGCGCCGCCCATGAGTCTCCCGGTCGCGGCCGGCTGCGACAGAGCCTGGATTCGAACCAGGATCTCTAGTGGCACAGTTAGCACTGCGATGCTTGTTCAATGAACCATAAACAATGAATGAACATACACCTGTGGAACGGTTGTTAAGACACTAACACCAAAAGAAAGATGCCCAGGGTCCCTGCTCATCTGCGTGAACGTGCCTTAGGCATGCTGCAAGGGGGCATGAGGACTGCAGATGTGGCCAGGGCAATAAATTGCAATGTCCGTACTGTGAGACGCCTAAGACAGCGCTACAGGGAGACAGGACGGACAGCTGATGGTCCTCGCAGTGGCAGACCACGTGTAACAACACCTGCACAGTATCGGTACATCCGAACATCACACCTGCGGGACAGGTACAGGATGGCAACAACAACTGAGTTACACCAGGAACGCACAATCCCTCCATCAGTGCTCAGACTGTCCGCAATAGGCTGAGAGAGGCTGGACTGAGGGCTTGTAGGCCTGTTGTAAGGCAGGTCCTCACCATACATCACCGGCAACAACGTCGCCTATGGGCACAAACCCACCGTCGCTGGCCCAGACAGGACTGGCAAAAAGTGCTCTTCACTGACGAGTCACGGTTTTGTCTCACCAGGGGTGATGGTCAGATTTGCGTTTATCGTCGAAGGAATGAGCGTTACACCGAGGCCTGTACTCTGGAGCGGGATGGATTTGGAGGTGGAGTGTCCGTCATGGTCTGGGGCGGTGTGTCACAGCATCATCGGACTGAGCTTGTTGTCATTGCAGGCAATCTCAACGCTGTACGTTACAGGGAAGACATCCTCCTCCCTCATGTGGTACCCTTCCTGCAGGCTCATCCTGACATGACCCTCCAGCATGACAATGCCACCAGCCATACTGCTAGTTCTGTGCGCGATTTCCTGCAAGACAGGAATGTCAGTGTTCTGCCATGGCCAGCGAAGAGCCCGGATCTCAATTCCATTGAGCACGTCTGGGACCTGTTGGATCGGAGGGCTAGGGCCATTCCCCCCCAGAAATGTCTGGGAACTTGCTGGTGCCTTGGTGGAAGAGTGGGGTAAAATCTCACAGCAAGAACTGGCAAATCTGGTGCAGTCCATGAGGAGGAGATGCACTGCAGTACTTAATGCAGCTGGTGGCCACACCAGATACTGACTGTTACTTTTGACCCCCCCCTTTGTTCAGGGACACATTATTCCATTTATGTTAGTCACATGTCTGTGGAAGTTGTTCAGTTTATGTCTCAGTTGTTGAATCTTGTTATGTTCATAAAAATATTTCCACATGTTAAGTTTGCTGAAAATAAACGCACTTGACAGTGAGATGACGTTTCTTTTTTTGCTAAGTTTATAATGTATATGCCATTTAGCAGATGCTTTATTCTAACCGACTTGGTCATGAGTGCATACATCAGTCTTTTTAAATGTTTTATGTCCGGGTGGTCCCAGTAATCAAACCCACTATCCTGGCATTGCAAGCGCCATGCTCTACCAACTAAGCTCCACGTTTTGTAAATGTATCAAGATAGTTAATTCTTTGGAGCCCAATGCTATTCCAGCTATTGCAAGTGTATGTAAGATCAGCTATTGCAGGTGTATGTAAAACCAATGTTAACCCTCCTCTTGCTGTCTTCCATCAGGCGTCCAGGGCTGACCATTCACCCCCCTCCAGCCACTCTGAGCATCCAGCGTCCTCCCCAATCTCGGGAGACCCCCACACGCATCACCCTGCCCTCTCACCCTGCCATTGGGGGTCAGAAACCCCAGCTGTACAACACCATGGCACAGAAGCCCATATTCAGCAATGTGACTCCTGTCGCTGCAGCAACTGTTGCCCCCATATTAGCCACCAATACTGCTCCATCGCCTAGCACTACGGGTATGATGCTACTGTTGTGATAGAGATAGGTCTAACTCATCTATTTTCATTTCAGCATCATTCAAGTTTTAATGTCACGTGCACAAGTACAGTAAAATGCCTTTCTTGCAAGCTCCAAACCCAACAATGTAGTAATCAGTATCAATGTAGTACTAAAAATAACATTAGGTAGAACAAAAACACACGAGGAATAGAAATAAGAACACAAGAAAGTAAAAAGCTATATACATGATCAGTTCCAATACCATATTTACAATGTGCAAAGATACTGGAGTGATAGAGGTAGATATGTATAGGGGTAAGGTGACTAGGCATCAGATATATGATAAACAAGAGTAGCAGCAGTGTAAATTATGATTGTATGTGAGTGCTTGTGTGTAGAGTCAGTATAAATGTGTGCATGTTATTTGTGTGTCGGTGTGTGTGTGTAGAGTCCTGTGAGTGTGCATAGATCAGTGCAAAAATACAAGGGTCAACTCAGTCCGTGTAGCCATTCTGTTAGCTATTCAGCAGTCTTATGGCTTGGGGATAGAAGCTGTTCAGGAGCCTGTTGGTGTCAGACTTAATGCACCGATACGGCTTGCTGTGCAAACGCATAGGGAACAGTTATCAAGACTAAATGTCTCCTTTATTCTGTTTTAATGGTGTAATAACCACATTATCAGGCTCAGGACCCCACCCCAACAGTAACATCGTCACCATGGCGATGCCCTCTCATTCCTCCCACGCCACAGCAGTCACCACGTCCAACATCCCTGTGGGTAAGTATCTCAATCATTAATGTTGGAGTCAAAGGCACCAGGCTACTCTCTGGAGTAACATACTCCACATTTCATGTCATGTTTACTTATCTAATAAGTAATTGATATGAGTAGAGAGGCTATTAAAAACAGTGACACATTAAATTATCAACTGCCGAATTGATAGCACCAGTCCCTAAGGAGTGGTTTTATGTTGTGAAATGAAAATTGCACCCCACTAATTGTAACCCATTCCACCTCCACCCTCTTCAGCTAAAGTGGTTCCCCAGCCGATAGCCCACACCTCGCCCAGGATCCAGCCGGAGTACCCTGGAGAGAGGGGCAACCTGATCCCCATCACCATGGAGGCCCGCAGTGACAACAGGTCAGAGACGGGGTCGGATTTATTTTTCTTTTGGGTTGATGATAATACATGCATCAACAAGATGAGTATCTGATCCCAGAGGATAGCACATTAAAACACTTAGATGGTGCTTGATTGTCCTGGGCTTCATATCAAATGGCTTCTTCTCCTTATTTCTGCTGTACTTGGATTACATTTCTGGTTGGTAGTTGAAAGTTGAAAATGTTATGAAAACTTAAGCTTTATGTTTTTTATCTTATTTATTTGGTATGCATTTCCCCCCACAGGCAATCAGTGCCAGTGCAGTTCCAGTACTTCCTGCCTACCTATCCTTCTTCGTCGTACCCTCTGACACACACCTACACCCCCATCACCAGCTCTGTGTCCACCATCCGACAGTACCCAGGTACCACTCACCTCTCCCAATTTAAATCACTGCTTCCATATGACTCTGTAACCAATCAGATATTTGGAATTCTCAGGGTGTGACTAATAATGCTATATAATGATGATGGTGATAATGGTGATGATAATGCTAGATGTTGATAATAATCTCGATGGTGATAATGCTAATAATGCTAGATAATGCAAAGTACTGAACCAACTCTCACTTCAATCAAGACAAATTATCATTTTGTATTATTAAATCACTAGTTTCTAGTTCTTGCTTCCCAAGCCAGAGTCCGACCCAATTGTGAGCTAGTTTAATCTGTCTCTAAACAAGTCTCCAACCCTGTGTGTCAACCCCAACCCCTCATCTCTGTTTCCTGTCACCCCTACAGTAACCCCTCAGGCCCCCAGTGGCACGGCCATGCAGACCCAGACCAGTGTGGGCGTAGCGTCGGCGGTGCACCTCAACCCCATGCAGCTGATGACGGTGGACCGCATCGCTCAGATCAACACACAGAACATCCAGCCCGCTGCCATGGCCACGCAGGGCATCCAGTCAACCACCATCAGCGCCCAGGGCCTGCATGCCGCCACCGGTCAGATCACTGCGCAAAACATCCAACCAGCGCCCATCAACCAACAGCAGCCAGCCAATGACAACAAGACCTCAGGTGAGTTGGTGAACAAAGCTGTTTAAGTTTTGAGTTTGTGTCTGGTCTGAGATTGACATATTATGAATAGAATACATATCAGATTCTATTCTACAGATTTCGTCCACTTTCTTGTCTAAAGTTCTCATGATATTCATTTGTTATTTCAAAATAATTTAGTCATCTGTTTGAGAGAGGAAAAAACACGGTAATGTGACACACAATCCAGAGAAAGGTAAGTATGCTAAGATCAACATTGTTCTTTCTACTTAGTTGTGTTAGCAGACGGCTCCACTCTGGTAGCCAACCCCATTGGCCAGACGTTCGGCAGCGGTCACCCTCCCACCTCCGTGGGGCAGACACACCCACAGAACACTGGGCCTGGTGCTCCCACCCTAGTGTCCTCCCCCCGGCCTAGCATCCTACGCAAGAAGCCTGCCAACGAAGGGTGAGTTTAGAAAACCCCTCTGGATGCTACTACTCACAAATCCTGGTCCTGGGGAGCTACAGGGTGTGTATGTTTTTGTTCCAGCCCAGCACTAACCTGTTTCTGTTTGCCCTATAAAGGTCTGCTGTGAGGAAGAACCTGATCCCAGAGGCCATCAGGCCTGCATCAGGGTAGGACATCACAGCACCTTGTTAGTAGGCCCTGATCAGAGTAGATGCTGATTACACACGCTGGTATCCTCAGTACATGCTGATTACACACGCTGGTATCCTCAGTACATGCTGATTACACACGCTGGTATCCTCAGTAGATGCTGATTACACACGCTGGTATCCTCAGTACATGCTGATTACACACGCTGGTATCCTCAGTACATGCTGATTACACACGCTGGTATCCTCAGTACATGCTGATTACACACGCTGGTATCGTTTAACTACATCTTGTAGTTAAGAATTACCTTTTAAAATGATTGTGTGGTTAATATTTTTCCTGTTCACCCAGTATGAAGCACAAGCCTGATCTCCACGTGTCCCTGGCTCCACCGTTGACGTCGTCGTCCATGGAAGCGCTGCCCAGCCATCAGATCAATGAGCAGCAGCAGCAGCACCCCAGAGCCCCGCCACACCAGCACCCCTCTCAGCCAATCCAGACCCTCCTCTCAGTGTCCGCACCCCCACACTCCCAGCCTGGCCCCGCCATGTCTGCCGTTACTCCACCAATCTCGTCTATGGCCAATGTGGTGGTTCCGCCTACACAGGCAGCGGCCAGTAGCACAGCGGCATGTGGAATAAGCTCCGCCCTCCCTGAGATCAAGATAAAGCAGGAAGTGGAGCCTATGGATTCCTCCAAAGCAGGTTTGTTTGAATAGAAAAATGTATTTGTCACCTCCAAAACCTATATCGTCTGTAAAACTTTTTTTTATTGGTGTCCTATTGCTGATATACAGTAGGATCGGTTTACCTTTTAAATCATAATGAATAAGGTGGCGGGCCTGATCCTAGATCATTATTCCTAGTCTGAGACACTTTGTGAATACGGGCCCTGAACATCTCTTCCTTCCTGGCCCCTCCTCTCCCTCCAGGTCCCCCTATGCCCCATGGCGGCACCCCCATGTTGTCCATGATGCCCGGTGGGGACGGGATCCCCGGGGCCTCCCCCAGGAAGAAGCCCCGGAAGCAGCAGCACGTCATCTCCACGGAGGAGAGCGAGATGATGGAGACCAACAGCACAGACGAGGAGAAGGTCCTGGTCAGACCACACAGCATGAGGCCTGAGAAACGCAAGTCGCCCCCCAAGGAGTACATAGGTAAGGGAACATCCCTTTTGGGTGTGTGAGCGATTTATTCAAGTGAACGGTAAACTAGCCTCAGTAACTTGGAAAGGGGCTCAAGTTAACTGCAGTCTTCCATAATGTTTATTGCATTCTCCTTATTTTCAGACAATAAATCATAATTGGCTAGAGTCTACTCCGGTTGTGCATGTCATGTCTAAAGATTCACTAGTCTGTAAGGACAAGACTTGTACAAGAACAGCCATATTAACCCCGTGAGTGACCACTGTGTTTCTCTGCCCTGCAGATGAGGAGGGTGTGCGTTATGTCCCCACCCGTGCTCGCCCCCCGGTCACCCTTCTCCGCCACTACAGGAACCCCTGGAAGGCTGCCTACCACCACTTCCAGAGATACAGTGACATCCGGGTCAAAGGTCAGACCGTCTTTATTATTGATAACATTCAATGATAACTGTATTTATAAAGAATTTTCATACATTCTGGGTTCTAAGAGCTTGTTGTGGCACTGAAATGTGCTTCTTGTGGGACTGAATTGCGCTTCTTGTGGGACTGAAAAGTGCTTATTGTGGACTGAAATGGAGGCTTTTTGACGTTGAACTGTTTATTCATTGTTTTGTTTGGACAATCTAAATGACACAACAATTATTACAACATCACACAAGGTTATTATTCTCACCAGAGTGCATACATAGGAAAACATTTAGCATACACACAAACCAAGAGGACTTCTTTCTATTGTGCTATGTGCACTGTGAAGCAAAACCGAAAGGAATTATTAGTATGCTATGAAAGCAAATGTGTCATTTGTTGGCATCACATCATTGTTAGAACTTTTCATTAGCAACGCTAGTGGGAGAAAAACACCAGTTCATTCCACTGTTCTGTTTTAGTAGTCTCCAGCGTTGGTTGCTAGCAATTGACCAGTCACTTTCAAAGCACAAATATTGTATGACTAGGGTCTAGAGATTTTCCTAACCACTTGACCTGACCAGGAAAAACTCCTGGCCCTAATTATAGTTAAATATTTTAATGGTGTGTGTTGTTGAAGGTATTACTGTATTATTACAGGGATTTTTCTGCCTATATAATCCTTGGGCGGGCCACCTAAATGTTTTTTCTCGGGTCGCCAAGTCCAAACAGTGGTAAAAATATTTTTTATATATTTCTACATTTTCGGGATGGAAAAACGCTTTCAGTGTAAACTTAAACGACTAAAACCAGATATAAAGGATGTAGAAAAGATAATGGACCTATATATCTTTAAATAATATAATCCTTGAGAACTAACAATCACCAAAATAAAAGCTAGACAGTCAGGGAGAATTGAAAATTCCAAAAACAATGATTTTATCAGCATTGATTTTGTTATTATGTTTGAGCAAAAGAACACCACAAGCCATGGCAAAATGCATAGAATTGCAGGAAACTAGCTTTAAAACTGCAAAAAAAATTCTCAGCTCCATGGGGAAATTTATAGAATTGTAGGAAATTGGCTTAAATGCTAAAATGTCTACACCGCCAAGATGGGGGGCCTCTAAAATGTTATTTAAAAGATCCCGCACTGACGCCCCTTTTTGATCCAGAAAAATACCTGTATTATATTAGAATATGGCTTAATGGTGTGTTGTTGAAGGTAATACTGTATGATTATATTAGAATATGCCTTAACCCTATCAGTCCCGAGCCCCAAGCAAAAATCGGATTTTCATTTATCTGACTTTCATTTATGTGGATGTCCAGCCCTTCTATTTAGCTTCACAATTAAGTGTTTTACCATTTTATTTTCAGGATAACCAGGGCTACAAGTAGAACACAAAACAATTTGACAAACCGTTGCATTCATGAATTGTATTGACAAATGTCAATAAGAAAAATATCTGCCAAAGCCAAAAACCTGATTTCAAAATTAATTTATATGAATGCTGTAAGTACAGAAATTGTTTGCTCACTGGAAAATCCAACTAGTCCGTGACAACTGTTTGGAGTTTGTGACAGCACCTGTGAGCTTATTACAGTATTATAGACACTATGTCCTGGGATTTCCTACAATCTTCAATGTAGAAGAACCCCTTACCTTCTAATGGCTCTTGTGTGGCTTGTGAGCGTCATAGAGCAAAACATGTTACATGTTCTTGAGTCTTTTCATAAATAGCTTTTTAATAGTTCGTAGCTCAAACCATTCAGGGATGTCTCAAACACCATTCTAGCTCAGCCCCTGTTATCTACGGATGCAGAAGAACTGGACGAATCCAATGGTACAACACGGAAGTCTGTAGCTCATTGGGTTAATGGTGTGGGACTCATTGGGTTAATGGTGTGGGACTCATTGGGTTATTGGTGTGTTGTCATGGTTTCAGAGGAGAAGAAGGGCACCCTGCAGGACGTAGCCAATCAGAAGGGGGTGGTGTGCAGAGCCCAGGGCTGGAAGATGCACTTGTGTGCTGCACAGCTCATGCAGCTGGTGAGAAACACTTCCCTTTTACGTGCAGTATGCTGAATTTTAAGCACGACGAAAAGAGAACCTAAGAGTTATGAAAATGGAGCGAAAAGGGGTGACTCTTGAAAATGTTATCCAAGTGGATCTCATTGTCTCACTGATGGTGCTTCATGGCAACGCGTCACGTTATATGATGTAGCTGTCAGAAGACAATGAAGGGGCTCTATATATCTAAATCTTCTTATACAAGATACAGTAACTGTCCTCCCGATTAGCAGTCAGTAGTGACATCAGTCATGTTGTCTCCCCTCTCTATCCCCAGACTAATCTGGAGCATGATGTGTACAGCCGCCTCACTACCCTCCAAGAGGGCCTGATCCCAAAGAAGAAGGCCGGGTCAGATGATGACCTGCACCGTATCAACGAGCTCATACAGGTCAGAGGTCATACACGCAACAACACAAAGGAAATCCATGCACTTCTGCTGCTCATGGGGAGACCCAGAGTTTTCCCAGACCGCTTGACTTGACCAGGAAAAACTCTAGGCCTTAGTTATAACCTACAAACCAAACAGGTTTTTCTCATCACTATCTGACTGAGCACAAGTTTAATCACAATATCTAAGAACTCACTATTCCCATAAACACTGCTACTACACTCTGATTAAAACCAGGCATGCCGCCCTGTAGCAGTATTTGGTCTCATTTTTTAATCAATTCCACAGGCAGGTGTATATAATTTCTGAGGGCTCAATGGAAATTCTACCTGTGCCTTTGTTATGAATGTCAGTCAGCCATCTTGAATTGTCTCTCCCTCCCCTCCCCCAGGGTAACATGCAGCGCTGTAAGCTGGTGATGGACCAGATCACTGAGGCTAGAGATGCCATGATGAAGGTGCTGGACCACAAGGAGAAAGTCATGAAGCTAATCAACAAGAACGGCGGAGCGAAGAAAGTCAACAAGCTGAAGCGCAAGGACAAAGCCTAGAACAGAGGGGGGAGGGGGGGGGCAAAGGCTAACCACCTGTACCCTTGTCTTTCTGAGAACGGCTCTAGTCTACACCCCTCACTGATATGACCATGGACCACTGGTAGATTTGAGTCAGTATGGTGTCTGGGGTTACTCGTTAGGTGTGCGCAACCGTCCGACTACGCTTGACCTAGAACTGATAACCAAGTGGTCGGCAGAAGGAACCGATTAGGAACAGACACGCTTCCACTACGTCCAAGGGAGGAGCTTGTCAAAGGACAGGAATGTACAAGTATTAAGCCCGTATCAGGACGTTGGTATGTTCTCAGTTGTTGATTGGATGGCTGGCAGAATTATTATGATTTCGATTGGTTGAAGGATGGTCTAGCGGGGATGCCGTGTCTGTTCAATTGATACCCTGGAACATTGTGTGATCAATATGGGTTGTTTATTAAACTATCATCAAGTACTTATTGTGTAATAAATGTGTAAATCAGTAGTGTATTTATCCATACTTCACTCCTGAAAAATCACAAGTATGCTACCAAGTTCAGTCATTGGAAATGTCACTACAGTCCAAGGAAAGAGTGTTGTATATCACAGTATTCAATAGATCTTGGGACGAATATATGTCAAATACTTTGCCATGTGCTTGTTTTAACTTTGAGTTAGATGTCTGGCAAACTAAATCAAGTACAGCTTAAGTATTTGACCCCAGGCTAAATGTATTCTCTAGTAAATACAGATTGTAAAAGAAAGTGCAACTGTCATTTGGGAGTAAAATGTTTAAGGGGTGCCTTTTTGACTACACTGTCTATAAACCCAATCAAACTCCTATCGGGACAATGTACTTTCTGGGGCGTAAGCTTGGAATGTTGAATAAGTCTTATTTTGGTTTTTTGGGTAAACGGAAAGATACTAAAACTGCAAGTGTTTATTCTTGTCAGTCTGACATTTCAAATGAAGAAATAGCAGAGAGTAGTTTTCCATCACATTATGTGGAACAATACAAGCTCTGTGCTCTGTGCTGTTCAGTGCCTTGTTTAGGTGCCTCAGTTGTCCGAGTTAACTTCTTAGGTTTAGGTCCCCGTTTCGAAAGCGCTGATGTTTCTACCGCATGGCACATTTAAATCTCCTCAATCATGCAGTATGATGCCTCTGATGGTGGTTGACTCCATGAGTCTACATAAAAGTAAAATCAAGATCTGTTGTCCTCATAGTCACTACATGTCTATTGCTGTTCTAATTCTAAGTATCTAATCATGCAAAAATATTGCTGGACAGTCAATGAGGAGTGTCTCGTTATAAAGTTATTTGCTGAAGAACACAAGTTATTTAAGGGTGAGTGGATGTTTTTCAAAACACCCTTACGAAAAAAAGATTGCAGTCTGAGTGCAGTATAACTGCAGTATTGCTCCAAAATACCACAGTAGACTGCAGTTTCAAAACTGCAATCTTTTTTTGTACGGGCAATATGAACTGTGAATATATTAGTATACCCACTCATCAAAAGCGATGCCATTATTTGCACTCCCGACACCATTGTGGGGTATGGTAGTTGATTACATCAAGGTCAGCTGTAGCTTCTGAACACGATTCTCAGTGGCAGGAAGGTTATTTTGTGTGCATTTTTTAAAAGCCATCTTGTTGATGCTGTATAGTATCAACTAAATCAAGTTTTGAGTATAAAATTTGGATTAAAAACGGTATGAAACGAGCTGAAATTGTCTACATAGGCCCATATTGTGCATATACACACAATGTATCTATACATTCTTTAATGTTTTATGTGTAAAAAATAAAGTAGATTTAGTTTTCTTTGATTATATGCACTTCATTTTAATTTGACCAAGCAGGTTTGTTTGTGTGTTTTTCATGTAGCTGAATGTGTATTACATGCAGTTGGGTCTAGATTCTTACTTTTGTTTGTGTTTCTTTTGCCATTCCCAATCACTGCAATAAAGACACTTTGTACTAAGCATATGGCATGTTATATTTGCAGTACCAGTATGCAGAAATGGGAATCCATTTTGTAACGACATATATTTGCACACTGGACGAACAGTTAAGGCCTAGATTCAATCAGATCAAGCGTTAATTGGCGATAGCCGACACCCGCATAGCTGATGTTTTGGCGGTGTCGGAGGAGTAACTGCGTTGGAGCTCTCAAATCGGTGAGCAGCTGCTCTTGATCATTGTTACGAAGCCACATCTGTCCCACTCGCGTTAGACGTTCAGAACGAGAAAGTGTGTATATATAGAAATAATTATGCTCAAAATCATTAAACAAAATTAGGATTTCTATCAGCCTAATCAAGGTGTAGATTACATCTCACATTCCAGTGTTCAAAACTTGTATACAAAGCTGCATGGGATTTCTCTTAATGTGATTCCGTGCAGCCAATGGTAATGTCTGCTTTAGGTAGGGTGGCAGGTAGCTTAGTGGTTAAGAGCGTTGTGCCAGTAACCGAAAGGTCGCTGGTTCTAATCCCCGAGCCGACTAGGTGAAAAATCTGTTGATGTGCCCTTGAGCAAGGCACTTAACCCTAATTGCTCCTGTAAGTCGCTCTGGATAAGAGCGTCTGCTAAATGACTAAAATGTATAATGCCAGGAGCTGCTTGTGGATTTGACAGCTCTAACACAGTTCCACCTCTGACACTGCCAAAACAACCGCTATGCTGAAGTTGGCTAAAGCAGATCTGATTGAATAGAGCCCTAAGTTACAAGGGTGTAAGATGGGTGTAAGATCAGACACTCACTCACCTTGTAGTTCCTACATTTATCTATGTATTACTGGCCCAGGGGGTCTGAGAAAGTACATACAGATGTACATAGACACACATTTGTTGAAGGTATGGCTCACACCATGTCACATTGGTCGTTAGAATATAATATAGCTAACCAGGAGGGCAAATCGGGCGTGCAAGGTCCAAGGGGTTTTAAACATTAATCTAACAATTTGTATTAGCCACAGTTGGCTTTACTTAAAAACGATTCAACTATTAATTTACAGTTGACACATAATGCTCAAACATAAAAAAGCTCAGACCCTGCATTCTACCAACCTGGTTTGCTCACCTCCATCAAATATTATTGGTTGTATTTGCAGAAAGCTCAATTCCAAATTATTCACTCCACCCTTTACCCTATCCCTTGACACCTCATATATTTCTGATAAAGGATGGATAAAGGATGGATGGTTAAAGAGTTTCAAGATAAACAGGATAATAAACTTACATTTGAGGTCTCAGGGATGTGGAATTGTATATTCTCACCTCTACCTATATCTGGACCCAGATTCAGTACTATATTGCACCTATAACAGGGTGTAGAATGAACCAACGCCTTACAACTGCAAAGCAACCATCATCAATTAATAACTCATAGATTAGAACAATGAAATTATGATTTTCAATGAACATATCGATCATTTTTAAATCAATGCAATGACTAGGGGTGAAGGTGAATCCTGCCAGCTTGGTGAAAAGAGACACTCTCTTTTTTCTCTCATTCCTTCCTTCACCTCCTATCTTTCCATCTACTTCCCCATCGTTGGGCTATCCTGCAGTACACTCCTGGCCAGACTGGTGACTTCTTCCCAGGGAATGGTTCATTTGTCCAGGCTGCGTGTGCGGGGGTTGACTGGGCCGAAGGACAAGGACTCCCTGGAGTTGGTCTGTGAGGCAAGAATACAAATGAAGTTATTGTCACTGGATCGTAAACAGTCAAATATGCACACATGCACAAACAAACACACACACACACACACACACACACACACGCCTTTCTTGCACACGAACGCACAGCTACACACCCCTGCTTACAGTACACCACATGCGCAACCATACAGTAAACACACTCACACATCCAGTACACACATGTTCCCAGAGTATCAAACAACAGAGCCACTGACCTTAATAGTCATCCAGTCAGAAACAGACTCAGAGTGGGCGGTGTCTCTCGCTCTGAACGCAAAGTTGTCTGGACCAGCGGGGTTTCCCGGTCTAGGCTCACAGGGGTCGAGGTCAGGGGCGACCTCAGGGTTACCATAACTACTGCTTCCAAACACAAGGTCCAGGTCTAATAGGTTGCTTCCAGTTGCCATGGTTTGTACTGTTCCTAATGGGTCAGACGCTGTAGGATTGTTACAGTCTGACTCAGCAACACTGTTGGCTCTGCTGAGTTCCAGACCTAGGAGGTCCATTGTTGCAGTATTACTGGGTTCTGAACTATAGGGGTCCATTGATGCTGCGTTACTGAAATCAAAGCTAAAGGGGTCCCTTTTGGTTCTGTTATTGTTGTCTTTAAGGTTGGTACCATCGCCGCTGTGTAGGTCGACAATAGCTTGGTTGTCAGTCTCAAAACGTACGAGTTTGAAACCATAGGGGTCAAATGTGTCTTGGTTGGTGGCATGAGAGGTTTGTCCAAACTCGTAAGGGTCAAACTCGTCTTGGGTCTCAGGTTGAGCGGTAGGCTCAAATTCGTACGGATCAAATGAAGCTTGGTTGTCGGCTTCTTCATCACTTAGTTCAGTGCCAAAAGGATCGAGAATCTCTTCACTGTGGTGTTCGGGGCTGAGTTTGAATCCATAGTTGTAAGAAGTTTGACAACTGGGTTCATAGTTCAGCTCGAGACTGTTGTTGCTGAAGCTGAATTTACTGTTGTGTTCAGCTGAGCTGGTGAGAGGGTCCATCCCGATAGCACTGTCCAGCTCTGAATCAGCTGAGCGGTTGGAAGAACCTGGATCACAGCGTTCAGCTTTGGGAGTGTCTGGCTCTTCTACAAGGTCAGCTGACGCTCCCCCTTTGAGGCGTCTAGGTGGACGGACCGGGCGGGTGGGCACAGGAGGGCTGGGTTCAGGAAGGTCGCATCCACCTGTTCCGGCAGGTTCTGAGTCACAAGCCTGAATCCCAACAGGGTAGCTGAGTTCCACAGAGTCACACACAACGTCAAAGTCAACCCGTATAGATCCAAGAGTGATGTCGATCTCTTCTATGTCGGAAGGTGGGGATACTGCATTGATGTTAAACTCGTATCCATTGGGGTCCGATTCGGTGGAGAAGTTGGGCCCGGCAGCCCAGGTGTTGGCCCTGGATGCTTCACTGAAGGGTTTGCGTCCCGAAGCTACGCCGCGTTCATCTACGTCATCTAATTCAGTGTCCAAAGAACAGGTTTGAGCTGCGTAGATGGGCTTGAAACCCAAGCGTTCGGTCATGATCAAGGTTTTGGGCTCAACGAAGGAGAGTTCAACAGCGTCCGTGTGAACAGTGTCCAGATCCTCCCTGCTGTAACTGATTTCTATGTCACTGGATTCATCCTCGTCGGGGAACTCTGACTCAAAGCACTGGGTGCCGGTAGAGGCTTTGTTTTCAGCGCAGGAGAGGCTGTTGTCTGTCACCTCGTTAGATCCAGGTTCCAGGCGGGCAGTAGTGTCTGGGAAAGGGTCAGTGGATGGATATGGCTCCTCTGTCCCCTCTCGGAAGAGGATGTCTGCAGCGAAGGGGTCCGTGCCTTTGAACGGGTCATCATCTAGGAGAAAGGATCAGTCGCAATAGAATTAGAGGCCTGGATAATGCTGTAGCATATCATCATAATCAATCAATCATATTCTCAAAGTTTTATATATGAATGTCACTCACCAGATTTATATGTCTTGGCAAAGAGGTTATCATCTTTGAAAAGGTCATCTGGAAAAAGAAAATGAGCACCACCACCATCATCATCATCATAATCACAAGCATCATTATCTTCAGTATCACCACAACCACCACCATCATCATCATCACCACCATCATCTTCATTATCATCTTCACCGTTATCATCTTCATCCGTACCATCATCATCATCAAAGCATATGGAACAGAGAACAGATGCTCACATTCAGATTCACAGTGAATGAAGGGGTCGGGGTGGTAGAAGTCTAGATCTTCGACTGCGATGCTACTGGTGGATCGTGTCTGGGAAATATTTTCTTCCTCCTCCACTTTCTCTTCCTCTTTTCCCTTATGTATCTGCTAAAGAGGTATAGGATAAACATTTCTCACAGATGAAGGGACTTTTCCTCATACATCCAGCATACACTATAGCCCTGCATTCAAATGACCTAGTGGCCTCATGGGTGGAATGTTATTAATATGTTTCATAATTTCATAATTAATCAACATTATTTAAATAAATAAATAAAAAGATCAGGTGTTTCTATGTCAAACAGTATTGTTATAGTTCAGTCTTCTGTGATGCCCCGTGTAGCTCAGTTGGTAGAGCATGGCGCTTGCAACGCCAGGGTTGTGGGTTCGTTTCCCACGGGGGGCCAGTATGAAAAAAATGTATGCACTCACTAACTGTAAGTCGCTCTGGATAAGAGCGTCTGCTAAATGACTAAAATGTCAAATGTAAATGTATATAAAGTGTAATATTGGGATGCAAACTCAAAATTGAATATATTTCAACTTTATATCTGACATGGTGCAGGTGTCTTCTTTTTTTAAAGCCCATAACCATGTGTGTGAGGTGTATAATTTTGTTTCAAAGTAGATTTGTTTAAGACTACCAAGAAACACTCTGTGTGACCCTTATACAGCCCAGTGCAGTGAAAGGTTAATTTAGTAATTCGCCAGTCTCTCCAAATGATTATTGGTTTACAATACTTTACTGAGTTGGTAGTCATACCTTTGGTGTGCTTGGTGTAGGTGTCTCCACCTCCTCCTCCTCCTCTTCTTGTGTATAAGACAATCCGTCCTTAGCGCGAGCCGCGCACCCAAGGTTTGCCTGTGAAAAGAGAGAATAGGCCGCCCAAACTTTACGGTTATGATGGAAATTATGTCGGATTTAAACCCATTTGTATGACACATACCAGGATTTCAGCATAGACAGGCAGTGATTGGCTCCTGCCCCATGACCTGGCTGGTACATCGGGTATGTCCAGAGTTCCATCCTCTGTCCTGAGGCTGCTGGGAGATGTGTCGTTTGACTCCACTTGCTGGTGGTCTGGCAGTGTTGCATCTCCCATCCGCTCCCCCCTCAGTGTACTGAGCGTCTGCTCCTCCTAGTCCACAGCAGACATCAACGAAAGCCACTATTTGTCAAATACATATGATACATCTCAGGGAAGTGTATATATGTGTTAGCTTTGCCCGGAACAGGAAGAGATAGAGGGAAGCCAAGTAAGTAAGTGGTTGGCCCTAAGTGCCAGGCACACGGCTGTTGAAAGACACTGTGCTTGTCTATCCAATAACATAGACCTTTTGAACTCTCTGAACCGATGACTGTTGTCTGTTTAAAGATTATCTCTGGTACATCATCAGCAAACAAAAGAAATCCAGCTGATATTATATATTGGTCTATTACAGCTTGAAGGCTTTTCTCTAAAGGCGCAGTATGATTAAAAGGAGCAAAAATCAACATGGAGGATTAATGGCACACATAACGGATCGATGTGACCAGCCTCTTCACCCTTCCAGTCCCACGGGGGGGTTGGAGCTCGTCTGCATGGTGCAGCTACCGTGACAACACAGATCAATACACTGGGGGCATGATGAAGGCTACACAGTAATCACCTGTCAGCAGGGGACTGAAATAACACAGAATCACTACCACCATCACCTGATGGTCTGACTGAGACCTTTGTTTGAACCCCAGTCGATCACACACGCATATAGTCTGATTGCACAGGCGGTTGGGAGGGCGGGCTCATTGTAATGGCTGGAATGGAATCCTCCCCTCACCAGCCTCCTATGATACTATATTCTCATATTCTCTCTGCATCCTGGCATTCTAGGAGAACCCTAGAAGCCTGGCAAGCGAGACTATCTTATTCGCTAACCCTCCCAGGCTTCCAGCTGCCATGTGAGGAGTACAACAGGAGACACAGTGGCAGGAAATATCAGAGGCCGTGGTCCAATTCTCTTAATGGGCTTTTCAAGCTTGAATGCTCTCCCTTATGACCATAGCCCAGGGCATGTATGCTGTCTTTTGTGACCACTGTCCCTTTTTATAACTGCAGGACTGGATTAATGACTGGATACATGAAAGACTAGCCTATCGCAATGCTGTCATCAATCCAGTGCTTCTGTAGCAGTCATTTTGAAGGACAATGAATTGAGTTCATAGCCAGAGGGTGACATACAGTATATGGAAGGGATTAGTCTTCAACACCCACCTGTAAAATCTCATCGTATGATTGGCTGATGGACTCCTCCAGCGGAATGGTGCGTTCACCCGCCTCCTCCACCTTCCCCTGGGCCGTTCTGACCTCCATCTTCAGCTGTTTGAGTTTCCTCCTGGCCCTGGCCAGCTCCTGCTCATAGTCCTCCACCTTCATCTCCCTGGCCACCTCCTCCGCCTGCAGGGACAGGATCTGTATTGGGAAGAGGAGGCACAGGGGACAGAGGAGGAGAAAAGGAGGAGACAGCCGAGTCAGAGGGCGCTAACTTCGGAGCAGTGAAGGGTAGCAAGGATAATTTGGATGAATATAATCTTTATTCATTTGAAGATTGGAGAAGAGGCCTGAACTGACCACAAACCAACCAAGTCTGTCTATGGTTGGTAAATGTCTTTATTGTTCAGTGTCTCACCATCACAGCAGATGACTGCATAAAAATGACAAAACATGCAATAAACATTCACTGATAGAAATGAGCATTACGCATAAAAACTGTTATTTGTTATGTTTTATTCAGTAACAGCAGTCATAGCAGCTTTCATCTCTGTGTGTGTCTGACCTGCTGGCTCTCCTGGACACACTCCAGCCTGGTCAGTTTGAGTTGCTCCTCCAGCTCCCCCCTGTGCTGCTCCAGCTTCTCCAGGGTCTCCTCCAGCTCCCGACGGTCTCCCCGCTGCTCCTGCAGCTCAACGCCCTCCTGCTGCACCGCATCCTGCAGGTCCTGGTGGGGTGGAACACACAGGCAGGTGGAGGGAGGGATGGAGGGATGGAGGGACAGCAGGGGGCAGATAGAGTTGGAGTAGAGAGAGAATGGAGGGATGGAAGAACGGAAGGACAGGTAGAGAGGGAATGGAGAGAGAGAAAGTGCGAGAGAAAGAGAGACAGAGAGAGAGGAAGAAGAGTTAAAGAAACAAGGGGCAGATGGAGAGGGGTGGGAATGATGGAGAGTTAGTAGGAGCAGATGGAGTAGAGGCAGCAGAGACAGAGAGAGGAGGGAAGGGAGAGAGAGCGAGAGAGAGAGCGAGAGAGAGAGAGAGAGAGAGAGAGAGAGAGAGAGAGAGAGAGAGAGAGAGAGAGAGAGAGAGAGAGAGAGAGAGAGCGAGCGAGGAGAGAGAGAGAGAGAGAGAGAGAGAGAGAGAGAGAGAGAGAGAGAGAGAGAGAGAGAGAGAGAGAGAGAGAGAGAGAGAAGAGAGAGATCAGTGGTTACTGAAAAGCTGAGGAAATAGAGGCTAGAGACAGACAGCTATGCAAAGTCCCTTTCACTGCAGAAATAAAGCTTACTTGAGGCGATCCTTTTCCATTAATTTTACAGCAGTATCAAACCTGATCTCCATTCTAAAAAGAGGAATGATTAGAAATCCAACTGGCAGGAAGGAAAACTGCCAAGAAGGGGGGGGGGGGAGCAGAAATAGAAAGGGCAAGGACAGTGGGAAGGAGAGGAGGGTAGTGCGAGAGAAAGAGAGAGAGAGAGAGGCTGTAAGAGCCACAGTTCAATGCTTGAGGCACTTCAGACTTTTCTAAAGAGTGTCAAGGGCTCTACACGCATGATTATTCTGATAATGTGCTTCTCCAAACACTAGAACAAGAGGTGTTATGAATGACAATGTGCTGTACTAACACGGATAAATCACTTTATATTCACAGGCAATATCAACACTTCAACCTCTGGCATGTCACACTTTGAGGGTTCTATTTTCAATGTTAAAGACTAAAGAGCTATGTAGTATATTTATAACTACTGAAAGAAGTAGAGAGGAGAGAAAATCTCACTGTAGTGACTTAGACCTGAATACACAATGAGAGAGCTGCTTCACTCAGGCACAATAAGCACAGCTCATCCTGACAGTTGGCTAATGTCTGGAAAGGATTTTGGCCCTTCTGCTCAAGGTCCTAAGAGATATCACCGGGGGATCAAGTTGTGATAATTTTGGAACATTATCCCAGATAGCAAGCTGACACAGGGACTATTTAAGGCCAACTTGCTATCTTGCCAACCAAATCTGAAATTGACCTAATGTCAGTTGCTATCTTGGATGATGGGAAGTTAATTCACTTGAGTAACTTTCACAATGCTACAATGCATCTATCATGCATCTACTACCATGTATGCACGTAAAAGCAGTTCATTCTGCACTGTGAATTTTGGGAAAAATAGTGTTTGATCAAATACAAAGGTATTTTACAGACAACAGATTAACAACAGACTTTCAGCATGCTTATAGGGAAGGGCACTCAACACTGACACAAATGACTGATGATTGGCTGAAAGAAATTGATAGTAAGAAGATTGTGGGAGCTGTTTTGTTAGACTTCAGTGCAGCTTTTGATGTCATTGATCATAACTTTTGCTGAATAAACGTAGGTGTTATGGATTTGCATCCTCTGCCTTATTATGGATTGAGAGTTACCTATCTAATAGATCACAGAGGGTTTTTGTTAATGGAAGCCTCTCATGCAAATCCAGTTGAGTGTGGTGTACCACAGAGCAGCCGGCTTGGGCCATTATTGTTTTCTGTTTTTACAAATGACCTTCCACTGACCTTGAATAAAGCCTGTGTGTCTATGTATGCTGACAACTCAACAGTATACACGTCGGCTGCAACAGTAAAATAAATAACTGATTCACTTAACATAGAGCTCCAGTCAGTTTTAGAATGGGTAACTAGCAATAGGCTGGTGCTAAATATCTGAAAAACTAGATGCATAATTTTGGGGACAAATCACTCGCTCAATGCTAAACCTCATTTAGATCTATTATTGAATAATGTGGCTATTGAGCAAGTTGAGGAGACTAAACTGCTGGGTGTTACCCTAGTTAGCAAGCTTACATGGTCAGAACAAATAGACTCAATGGTTGCTAAAATGGGAAGAGGTCTGTCCATGATATGGCATTGCTCTGCCTTCTTGGCATCTCAGTCGACCAGACAGGTCCTACAGGCCCTAGTTTTGTCGCACCTGGACTACTGCCCAGCTGTGTGGTCATGTGCGGCAAAGAAGGACATAGGTAAATTGCAGTTGGTCCAGAACAAAGCAGCACGTATTGCACTTAGATGTACATGGAAGGAAAGTGTTAGTAACATGCATGTCAGTCTCTCCTGGCTCAAAGTTGAGGAGAGATTGACTACATCACTATTGGTCTTTGTGCGAGGTAATGATGTGTTGAAGGTACCGAACTGTCTGTTCAAGCAGTTGGCACACAGTTTGGACTCTCATCGGTACAACACAACACATGCAACCAGAGGTCTCTTCACAGTCCCCAGATCCAGAACAGAGGCTGGGAAACGCACAGTATTACATAGAGCCATGACTACATGGAACACTCTGCCACCCCAGGTAACTCAAGCTAGCAATAAAACCAGTTTTAAAAAACAGATAAAAGAACAGCTTACTGCACAAAGGGAACTGTGAAGAGACACAGCCATTTTATAAATATTGTATTGTAATTTGCACTGTACTATGTATTAGACCTAGATATTGTGTGTATGTACTGATATGTAGGCTATGTGTGATGTTTTAAATGTATGTATTTCAGTCCTTGACGAATAATGTTCTGTACTATGTATTATGTCATGTTTCATGTGGACCCCAGGAAGAGTAGCTGATGCTTTTGCAGCAGCTAATGGGGATCCTAATAAATACCAAAAATACCAAATACATTGCAGCTATTTGACAGCAGAAAACCCAGTGTATCAGAGAATGTATTCACAAATGACCTAATCTTAGATCCGCACTCATTTTTTAATATGGGCCCAGTAGCATAGACATCTGCAACAATAATATTTTTAATAATACCACTAGCTGAGAGACAGGAAATCAGTTTTTGGTGAGATCACGTCTGGGCCATCTCTCTGAAATTATATAGAGCTCCATACCAGGTTGTTGCCGGGTTACAAAAATAAAATATCATACATCACAATGACATCCCAGCAGGCAGTGGTGCACGGACAGCGTTGACAGTGTCCAGTAGTTAAAATAATGATGGTCTTTCCTATGATGCTGAAGGACGCCAGTAGACATGATCTGTGTTCTAATGGCCTGATGGTACTCTGTATGCATTTGGCTCTGTAAATACAGAGATAGCCTTCTCTAAAAACGGGCATTTAGAGATGTGTAAAGGAAAATGGAATCTGGTCATTAAAGGCTACCGATTTCCCGAAGGAATACAAATACCTATACTTTAATCTCGGCACGCCTTCCTCAATCCTCATACACAGAACCACACAACAACACAGAGGCCTCTCAGCTAACAAACATATTAAATACATACTGCATTCTCATGTGTGGTGCCATTTGAAAAACCAACCCACTGGGCAAAAACAGGTTGAATCAACGTTTTTCCACGTCATTTCAACCAAAACAATCTCTGTGATGACGTTGAATCAACATGGGAAACTATTTGGATTTGCAAAATGTCTTCAACATAAGGGCATTTCAGTCTTTTTTTCACCCAACATTTAACCTAAATCCAATGACATGGTAAAATGTTTTGTTGATTTCACATTGATTTCACGTTAGTTGACAATTCAATCAAATGTAAATCAAAATGAGATGTTGAACTGATGTATGTGCCCAGTGGGAGGTGTCTTGATCAGTCCAGGAGAATATAATCAGGCTCGCACTATCACATACACCTTATGCAGTGAAACATGAGAGCACATGCACACACACACAAACACACACATTCACAGACTCACGCACACACATTCACAGACTCATGCACACACATTCACAGACAGACGCACACACACGCACACACACACATATTCAAACACACACACACACACACACACACACACTGGACAATATAAGAAACGTGTAGCCTTACTTTGATTTCTCCAGTCTTCTGAATGACACACTCGTCCTGTTCCACAAAGTCCTGGTCCCTGGGGGACCAGCAGAGAAGACAGGAATGTTTGAGGAGGGCTGCACCTAACCATCCTCCCTTTCCTCCATTTCCACCTCCTCCCCCTTCTCTCTTCCCCTATTCCCCATCCTCCATTGCCACTCCATCCATTCTCTTTAGTCTGACAGTCAAACAGACGTTGCATATGGAACCAGAGGCAGGCTGTCCGTGAACGTGTGTGTCTGTCTGTGTGTGTGTGTGTGTGTGTGTGTGTGTGTGTGTGTGTGTGTGTGTGTGTGTGTGTGTGTGTGTGTGTGTGTGTGTGTGTGTGTGTGTGTGTGTGTGTGTGTGTGTGTGTGTGTGTGTGTGTGTGTGTGTGTGTGTGTGTGGACACCAAGCAGTAAAAGAGGGAAGGAGAAGGGGAGAGAGAGAGAGAGAGAATATACCAACTGAGCATGTGCAGAGGGGTTACGTGTAGATGGAGAATGAGTCAGAGAGAGAGAGGGAGGGAAGAGAGGGATGAGAGAAGAAGGAGAGGACAGGAAAAAGAGGGGCAGTCGTATTTCCAGGGAAGCCATAAAAAGCTTACCCATCCATGACAGGAGAATGAACTACCTCTTCCTCCTCTTCTTACACCATAATTCTCCTCCTCCCATACTTGATTCAGTACCGTGAACGGTTAACAATCATAAGAAATAATGGGAATGTGCCTTTCCTCAAGGAATGTTCCTTAACCATTTCCATGACACCGAATGTATCTGTCATTGCAGAGTTAATATCACAGTGCTGTGTTACACTGTATTAACCTCGCTGTCTCTCTATGCCAATGACTGTTTTCTCCAAGCTGCAGAATGGGCTATGCCTATGTGCTGTGACTTTCCAATTTGAAGCCTAACTGCCTAGTGGAAATCTCAGGGCTCAGAGGGCTATAGTAAAATAGCCTCGTTTGAGAATAACTATAATATAAATACGACTGCAGTGTCAATTAAACACTATTGGCTCACCTGACGATTCTCACCTATCGTGCAGTTCAATACAATACAGTTCAATACAATACAATTCTATGAAAGAGTTTACTTACTGATAGATTTAAACATTCGGCCCAGTGCAAATTCTACAGTAGGCTTATATAAAAAATAATACAAGGTGCAGTTAAAAGGCTATTCAATAGCCTACTATAAATTTGTGGCATCCTATTAATCTTTTGGTGATGATCAAGAATTCCATTTTAGAATTTAATTAATTCCAGTCAATTTAAAATTAACCAATTGCTGTCTGGCTGTATAAAATATATGTTATTGCAGGTGTATGTCCGTGAATATTGCATACATTGACCAGCTACTGTACATTGAGAAGAGGTGAAACACTCGCTGCTTTATTGCCTCTTACTGGCCATTCATTAGAAAAAGCATTCCTTAAAAGATTATACTGCTGAAATTGCATAGATGGGGCTGAAAAGTTAACCTAAAACACGACCTCACTCTAGTATGGATGATGGGTCAATGTATGTAGGCCTACAAGGAGATTTTCGTCAACTAAGCATTTCCTAATCCATTATCGTTACCAACCTTTCACTGCATGGTGCCCGTTGCCTTGGCGTCCGCAAGCAATCCAGTACAAAACGCATCATCTCTGCGGTCCTCGCTCTCCCATCGCATCCCGAGGTACCCGACTAGATCTTGGCTGCGGTCCCGTGCACAACGTGAGATCCCAAAGCGGTTTTGGTCATTCGGTTATCTACCTTGAAATAACCGTGGTCGACTCTGTTTTGAGTAAACTGGCGCTTCTCCTAAATTTTAACAATTTATCCTTGCCTCTTCCGACTCCATCATTTGAGAGGTAGCTGCTTTTTCATCACGTGGGGGAGTCGACCCTTGAGACTGGCTGAGTTCAGAGGCGCGGCACAATCATTTATTTGCGCTGTTTAAATTGTCACTGTGGTACATGACAGAAGTTATACAGACCTATCTTTGTAAGATGCAAAATGTATATTTATAACAGGCTATAATGCTGACGCAGATAAACCTCCAATTAGCCACATTGGACCATGAGACAGGATGCTGCTGAATGCTGGTGATACAAATACGCACTTTGGAGTGACAATAGCTACAATAGAGGAAATTAAACTGCGTGCCTTTCACACTCTCCTATAAATAGCAAGGTAATAACTCCCAACACACAGAAAGACAAATAATTTCTAAGGAGATTTTATGAAAAGCTGTCATAATATTTGTTGTGATTAATTATGTTCTGTAGAAAAATGCCTAGAAGCATATGGTGCTATTTAATTAGCTTGGCTTCTAATTGCCTGTATCCTAAATAGTATAGTATATAGGCTATGATGATGATTTGTAACAAAGGGCACACTTTACACATGTAAAATCCAAACAACCCTCTTGTTTTACTACTGTACAGTATTTTTGCACAACAATATCTGTAATCATCATAATTTCCAAATAAGGATACAAATATATACAAAAACAATAAGGGTGAACAAATGCAATAGGCTACATTAGGAAGTATGAGGTTACTGTCTAAGACAAAATACAACAGTGCAAACTCACAATGGAGTAAACGTTTGATGACTTGGCTACAGTAGTTCATGGCTGAATGTCAGTGGAATAAGAGGTTAGTGAAAGAATGTGTCTAGGTGATATTATGGATGCTACTTCTACCTAATAGTATGTATGCCAGCGTGTGACTGAATTTAATTAGCAAATGGAAATTGAATGGGAAACTATCGCTATGCATGTCAAGTTCGAGTTGGATTCACATGGCATACATATTCACTCAATGTGAATTAAGAAAACAAACACACAAGCCTCATTCAATTTGACTTCATCTGTAATATTTGGTGGAGCAACAGACTATAAAAATCATACAAGAAATAGGTTAGCAAGAGTTTGTTAAAAAAAAACACACAGTAAAAACATTTGTTTTATACAATAACAAAAAGGGTCAGAGTTTTTAATTAATAACGGGATAAACCAGTGAGTAAAAATCCAATAAGTTAAAATAAAAAATGTCATAGATTTTGCAGTAAAACCTCAATTACTCCTTCACCTCCCCTTCTCTCAACATTAACATACACAAAAATGTATGCACGCATGACTGTAAGTCGCTTTGGATAAAAGCGTCTGCTAAATGGCATATTATTATTAATTTGAGGCCTGACTGACTGGATGGTAAAGCGAAATGACGCATAATCCCCCCCCAGGCTCAAAGGAAGATTTGCCCCAATGAGAAAGTCTTCTAAAGTTCATCCTTTATAGAGTCTGTTTCCTCCTCTTCTTCCTCTGCTCCAGTCTCCTCTTCCTCCTCACGGTCCTCTAACTCTTCCTCCTTCTCTTCTTTCCTCCCCATCTCTTCCGCCTCTAGTTTCTTCCTCTCCTGTTCCTCCTGGGACTCCTTCATCTTTTTCTCTGGATCCTATAGAACATGAAACAGAGAGACAGCCATTTTAACAAACCACAGGAATTAGCATTTTTACAGTTTGTAGTGTGCTGTTAGGCAACGTTGCAAATATGTCTTCATAAGGATCTGAAATCAACGTTGTTTCCACGTCATTTTAATGAATTACATTGAACCAACGTGGAATAGACGTTGAATTAACGTCTGTGCCCACGTCATTTTAATGAATTACATTGAACCAATGTGGAATAGACGTTGAATTGACGTCTGTGCCCAGTGGGTATGTATTAAAGTTTGAACCTGAGAGGTGAGTACCACTGACCTTAGTCTGACCCCAGGTCTCATTGCCAACCTCTTCTGCCAGCGTAGCGTCGTCTGTGATCAGGAAGTTATCAAAGATGGTCCCAGATTTCACCTGTGACAGCAATGAACACGTCTGAATTAGTCCAAATATTTCTGGCCAAAAATATTATTTCAGGGACGCATTTTCTCTTTCAATTAAATGGAAAGATAGAGCCTTTTAAACTAATGATCACAAACGGAATCCTTTTCAATAAGATTCCACTCTTTAACATTACTTATCAATAATTAAGGTATTGAAACGACTGAATAAGGTCCTCCACAGTACCTGCCACAGGTCCAGGCCAATGACGCCGATGCTGTCGAATCTGTAGATTTCAGAGTCTCCGCTGTATTCTGGATTGTCAATATCAGGATGCACCCATTTGCCCTTGTAGTCAGGGTTATCGATCTTGCTGGGTTTCCATTCGCCCTGCGAAGGCAAACAAATCAATGAAACAGCTGTTCATATGACTGAAGCAGCAATAGAGAAAACGACTGTCATACTCTATGTCACATAATAAAAAAACTAAATGTGGTCCTGCCAAGGGAGTAGGGCCAGGAAAACACTGTAGCCCCCAGTTATGAAGTGTCTGACTGCTTGCCTTATAGTCAGGGTTGGAGACCATGGGTGGCTCCCATTCACCGTCCATCTCATCGTCCCAATCCTCAGGCTTCTTAGCGTCAGGGTCAGCAATGTTCTCTGGCCTATCCCAGTCCTGACAAATGACAACATTGAATCATTTACCACACATTAACAAAGCAAAATCATGAAAGACATTCTACTCATAAAAGATCAACAAAAGGGATTGCTTTTGCATCAGAGTAGCTGGCTAGATACCTGGTCAGCCAGTCTGTTTCTGCCATTGTCCTGCCAATACAATAATGTGGCTTGCTAGCGTAGCATTTTTGAATGCAGAAACAGCCATGGGTCTAGACAGACAAGGTGTCTACCGGTATCTACCCACCTCTGGTTTCTTATCATCCGGGTCCTCCACCCTCTCCCTCTCGTCCCAGTCGTCTGGCTTCACGGCCTCTGGGTCCTTGAACTTCTTAGGAGGCAGAATATCCCAGTCCTCCTCCAGACTTCCAGACTCCACCTTCTTGTTGTCAATCTTCACCTCGTACGTGTTGTCAGGATTCAGGATCAGAGTGTACAGATGAGTGTACTCATCATCCTGGAAAACAAAAAAAAGAAGATTGATTTGATCCACCCGATGAGGACATCACATGTCGGGAAAAGCTCATTTGTGACATATGCTGTACCTTGCATCTGACGTCCTTGCTGATGAGGTGATTCTTGCCCTTGTAGTTGATAATGACATGAACTTTCTTGGTGCCTGGGCCACAGATGTCTGGACCTGGAGATGGGTAAAACACTATGATTAGCGATACAAATGAAATATACAACCATTTATCTAATTGTTGAATGAGGGTACGGTAACAACGAAGAGAAAGTGGTTATCAATCATATGCTAGTACCATCATTATCTCATTGGTAATGGTGGACTTTACCAAACATGATGTTGTAGTTGGAGTCTCCATGCATGTCTGCCTGGTCGAGGTCAGCGGGGAAGAGTTTGATGTAGCCTCCTCCACAGTCGATATTCTGCTCATGCTTCACAGTGAACTGGATCACCAGGGTCTTGCCCTGGTTGCTGAAGGGCTCAAATCGGGCAGAAGAAGAATAGAAGCGGGCATCCTGGCTGGTCTGGAGACCTGAGGGGAATAAGATATGTTTTGGACTGCTTCAACTTCAGAGTTGTCTCCTGCTCCACGGTGGAGAAGATAAGCAGAAATGTGTAAGAGACAGACTGATTCTGAAATTCTCAGAACAATGGTGGGGTCACAAAACTGACTGAGCAGATATTTCATCACATGGTCCGTCATAACTTTAGCAGAATAAAAATATTGAACAAGCTTATCTTTAGCGTGCAGATTTTTTTATTAAACTGCGTGAAGCCTCAGGTTCATGACACGATAGCTACCTTTGTCTTTCTCTGGATCTCCATAGAATTTCCCAGCTGTCAGGACAAATTTCCCATAGTCAGACCTATGGCTGGATTCAACCCACCGGGTATTCCAAGCATCTGATAGCAAAAACAGAATCAAGTACTAGCAACAAAGGCCACAACATTGGCATGGTTGAATAATACCAATGTAGCTAAAGGTTCATTTAAGAATTAGGCTAGCGTCATCAGTTGGCTAGGTAGTCACATTTAACTAGCCATTTTTGCAAGTGACTCGGTGTGGCTAAAATGCAAACTAGACATGCATTGTTGCTTCATCATTGTTAGATTAGCTCACGGAGTTAACTAAAATATTGCCAGCTAGCTGCCAGGCTAGTTCGCAATAGCCAGACGACTCTGGCAATAACGGCAGCCTACACGAAATGAATGGAACTCACCCCCATCGTCAAACTGCTCTTTAAAATACAGCGATGGTTCGGCACTGGCTAGTGCAATCAGTGCACTCAATAACATCGACACTCGCATGACGTGGCTTGCTAAATTTAACAAAATGAAAGCTTTGACCACCCTGCTAAATGCAACGTTTCCCCACTCCCTGTCCGTCTGACCAATCAGTCTCTCAACAAATGTCCGATTTTCATTGGTTGACAGTGAAGCTGAGATACATTAAATGTTGTGGCTGAATGTACCATAGCCTGTATTTCTAAAATGATCTACACAAATTTGCTTTCCGTAAAATTGCCGAAGAATATACTCAATTAGTATTGCGTAAGTATTTATGCTTGGCTAGAGCAACTTCCTGCACCCACCATTGATTTACAGGAACCATACTATAGTCAAATCCTCAGCAAATAAATGATTGATAATGTAGCAATTATGAAACATGACACAATTCGATTATGTACATAAACCCCTTTATTGGTTCTGGACAATGAAGTGAAACGTCAACGACTGGACTGGTTTTATTTACCAATCTGAAATAGAATACATGTATGCATTGGCAGTTTATTTTTGACATCACTCCTAACAAATCGTTAAATTATAAATTCAAGCCAGTGATTCACCGCTTTCTTCAGGACAACTGTTGAGTCCGTGGTCATGACAGTTCTTGCACACCCTCATGACGAAACACTGGAGGGAAGAAAAAAAAAACAAGTGAGCCAAATGAAGTCACTGGCAGTCTGAACCAATAGGATTCAGGTGATGGGGGGGGGGGGGGGGAGAATCAGTATTCTTATCGTCATCAAGATCTCAGGGAGAGAGTTCAAGAATTGAATCATCATTTGCTCACCCCACAATATAAATCAATCCTACAGACCAGAGGGGGGGTATACTACAAGCTAATCTTGAAATTGGCACAGTAAAGTTCTGAATATTTTAGGCAAGATTGCAGACCAACTCATTGAGCCCACTTAAATATAACCCTCATGTAACAGATCAGAGACACTGAATCAGTAAGCTAGTGGCAGACTGAACAAGACACTTTCTGCCTGCAATAACATACCTGCTCAGTTTATTGTCACGTGTCTAGGGAATTTATTGCAAATTCATCTAGTCTTCCAACACCCCCTTGGAACCTGGAGTGGAAATAAGGAAAGGGTTAAGGAGCAGCACACACACAAAAAAAGAAGATAAATCCACACCATTAAAGCCTCAGAAATAAATGGAACGGTTGGAGTATAATCAGTGTACTCATATGGCAGAATCTTTTCATCGCCGGCTATTTGAACTGTAAAAGTAGTGTGGCTCAAGTCCTTACTTTTAGTTGTGGTCCATCTTCCATCACAACTTTGACATCGAGAAACAGGATCAGTCACCTTCCCATTCCGCCATGCCTGAAATTGAGAAAAATGAGTCAGGAAGAGCAGAAAGAAGCAATCTTCAAAATCAAATCTAATAACCAATACATCAGATAGGAGCGAAAGACAATGCTGATAGTTCTTCATGGTTAATCTGCTGAACTATGCGGTCATCATTGTATCAGCGACAGTTGAGTGTTCCAGCTGCAGTAAACATTACTTACCAGCCACTGTTATGTGATGAGTCAGACTAAAGGTTCTGCCCAGGTGACCCCGACCTGAAGAACAAACAAAGGTCATTAATAAAATTGAACCAGGGAGAGAAAATAATCATATGATCTTATTTAACAGTGGATACATCAGACAGGAGCGAAAGACAATGCTGATAGTTCTTCATGGTTAATCTGCTGAACTATGCGCTCATCATTGTATCAAGTTGAAAATGGCGCTTGCAGCCGAAGTACACAGGACTCACCATCAATGGTTCCTCTATCATTATGGCTGGAAGGTCAGACCATGGCACTCCAACTGGAGGCAAACCTGATTAACAAAGTTTGAAGATTTAGCTTCACAACGAGGGGTGGCATTTTAGAGAAGTATAGCATACCATTTCAGTGATCTAAAATCTATTTCAGTCTCAGAGAGAGAAAAAATATCCAAAACAGCATGAAAACATACCAGGATCGAGGGATCTCCTGGTTTCTCACAGGGTCAGCAAGAAGTTAACCTGAAAGGAAAACGTTCACTATTAAAATGTGTCCAGTCATAACATGTCAATCACATAGTTTAATGGATAGCCATCAGTTTGAAAATGTGTCAGAAAACACTTCTGTCCACTACTCTTATTCAAATATTCATCACAGGCGTAATATTAAATTACAATGAGTTGTCATCAATATGTGCCATACCTGATTATAAACCATTATGCTGAGACATTAGTCATCCTGGATCACGTGTATCGTACTTGATAATCTGAAAGTTTACAGAGGCACGGTTAGATATCACAGGCAACGTCTTGGTAAGTGGAATTAACAGTTCAACTCAAATCCATGTCTGGTCAGTAAAGTTGGCGTTTCCTCAGATGTCTCAGATGTCCCTACCAACATGTTCTTCATCATATCAGACATGGATTAAATTCCTGACAAATTCTTAAATACTCAATACTTAAGAATTCACACACTCTAAATAAAGTAAAATTAAAGTCGGCTGTGGTGAGAAACATGTAGCCAAGCTAGTTAGTTGGTACTAGCAACTTCTTGCACACATGGCAGGCCACGCATGACCAAGGACTTGCATGGAAGAAAAATACTAATAGCCACGTGGGCCACAAAGCAAAATGTTAATTTTTATTGAATACTGTATATAGTTCTTCATGTCACGTTAAAATATCTTATACAAACATAATGGAATATTTACCCTTTTTTGAAGTGCACAGTTCGACCTCCACATGTTGACTGCTGAGTTCTGCGCGGAAGAGGATTCCAGAAGGGGTGACGATGGTTTTTGTACTGTGGCCCCGCTGGCTTGTGGGTAGAATTGGCGTCACATTACACAACGTAGAGCGCTATAGTGATTTTTTGGGGGGGATATGTGTGCTATTTGGGATCCTTGGGACGTCCAAACTCTGACGTTACCTCATTAAAGTTACACTTTTAAATGGTTATGGTAAAGGTTAGGGTTAAGTTTAGGGTTAGGTTAGGGTTACGGTTAGGGTAGGGGTTAAGGTTAAGGTTAAGGTTAAGGTTAAGGTTAAGGTTAAGGTTAGGGTAGGGACGTTCCAAAGATCCCAGATAGCACTTAAACCATTTTTTGTAGCTAGTCACACGCCATTCCAATCGCTGGTGTTTCTTTCTGTCAGAGAACCTTTATGGTGCTACTGGTATGGCGTCTACCATATAATGCCATGATTCTACCTAAACATAGCTAGCCACCTAAACGTGGAGAAGCGAAATACATGGTTGCAAGCCGTCAGCACTAACCAGGTAGCTAAGTGAACAGACAGTGAATGTGTTAGCTAGCTAGCTAGGTGGGGTAGCTGGTTAGAAATCTGCATGGGGTCCCACACTGTGGGGGCATTGTTTGACAGACCTGATAACCCTAACCACGGCCACAAATGAAAATCATAGCCAGGCCAGCTAGCTAACTGATAAACAATAGCTTGTTTTGAATTGCTGTTTCCTAAAGCCCTAAAAAGTATAATATTAGGAGTGTGTAGTCTATTGTTAGACAACCATTTCAAGTCATCTGTATTTATGAATTCTGAAATCTAGCTAAAGTCATTTAAAAAAACATGTTGGAAAGTTAGCTATGGTGTGATTTCAGTGCCAACAGAAATTGTATTGTTAGCTGGGTAACTCAATGATCCTTTGTAACTAAACTTACCCCCTGGTGTGTATGTGTTGTGGTTTCAGGCTGTGGAGAATAGACCTTGGGTAATGATGGAGCAGGAGGACATGCCAGACACAATTGGTCAGGCCAGACACTCTCTCTCTAGATGCAACAATAAGAGGTTAGTGTGTGCTAATGAATGTTTTATAGATGTTGTCTAGTGCTCTTCAAAATCATTACCATGTCACTCATCGCTGTTTAACAAATTGGGCATGATCTTCTCACCCTTAATTGAATATTTGATTAAAATGCCATACAGGGAGGATGGAAGGCAACGAGAAAACAGCACCGATGAGGAGGGTGGGGAAGTACAAGAGAAAGACTGGAATGAAAACTATGAATGTGACAGCAACATATCATATTTCGAAGATGAGTTGGATCGACTTTTGGACCCGTAAGTAGAATAAGTTTCACTGTTACGACTTCTCTCACGTCATTCCTTGATGACTATAGTACTGATACATATCATATAGCTAGTTGTATGTGCAAATCTTATGGAATGCAGCATACACCTCAAAATATGTTTTTGTGTTGGGCCACTCATTCACAGTAAGCATGTGGTATTATCATGCTTTCAAAATTTACATTACATTTACATTTTAGTCATTTAGCAGACGCTCTTATCCAGAGCGACTTACAGATGTTACAAATGATGTTAGGATTGATTTTAACAAATTCACTAAATTATATTCCTAGACTATTAAAGATATTTCATATTTGCTTATGCTAGGGATGTCACAGTGAACTGATTTTGTTTCAGCCGTACTCTATTTTTTCATTGATTTGTTTTCAGAGAGGAAAATAAAGACTGTTGGACAGAACCTTCAGAGACTGTAGACAGCAATGGGACAGCAGTAACAGAGACTAGAGGGAGGGAAGACTCCCTGTCCAATGGAACAGAAGTTATAGAGCTTAGAGTGGGCAGTGATTCTCCTCCCTGTAGGACATCAGTAACAGAGACTAGAGGGAGGGAAGACTCCCCTCCCAAAGCGACAGTCTCTTCACAGTCCAGAGTATGGTCCCCCCCCCCTTCCTCCTTAATAGATTCCGATTTCAAAGAAGAGTTGGATCGACTTTTGGACCAGTGAGTTGAATTAGTTTCAGTATTATAACTTGTCTCATAAAATGCCATCACTTGACCACTACATGTGATATTATGCCTTCAAGTGATGGTATGATTATTTTCTCACACATACATTTGTTCCTTGACTATTATATATTTGCATGTACTAGGGATGTCACAATTAACTGATTTTGCTCACTTTTTTGTCTTTGATACGTTTCAGAGAGGAAGATGAAGACAGCTGGACAGAACCTTCAGAGACTGTAGACGGGAATGACACCCCGTCCAATGGGACAGACTCTTCACAGCCCAGAGTAAGGGGTTCCTCCCCTCTCTCCACTGAGGCTTCAGAGTCCAGTGAGGAGGATGAAGACGACCTTTCCTTTGAGACAGAAGCCATAGAGACCAGAGCTTCAAAAAAGAGAAAAAACATTTCCAGCCCTAAAGCAGAAGAGAAAAAGGGGCGAAAGAAGGCCAGGCCTACATCCTCTCCCCTCTGGATATCCAGCCCTGCCAAATCCAGAAGGAACGCTCATGCAGCCACACCTCTTATCATTGGGTCAGAGAGGAGGTGGAGGACTGAGGATGAACCAGATCAAGAGCCTAAACTGTTCCCCTTCGAACCAGCTAGGACTCCAGGACCCCAGCTAGACACTTCAAAGAACTACACTGTTCTAGAGCTCTTCCAGCTCTTCTTCAGTAATGACGTTGTTGATACTCTCTGCTCAAACACCAACAAGAACGCCAAGAGAAGACAGGAACAGGGAATCAAAGAACCATGGAAACCTGTATCCGTGGAGGAAATGTACAACTACCTCAGCATTGTAATCTATATGGGTCTGCTGAATGTGCACACTGTATCAGACTACTGGGTCCCGAACAGGTTGTATGGTATTCCTTTTTGCCGTACAGTCATGACTATGACAAGATTTCGGGCAATCACCTATTCACTGCACATGAGTGACCCAGCAGAGGAGGAGGAAAACGATAAGAATAAGGGGACTGCAGAGTACGACCAGCTAATGAGAATCAAACCTCTCAAAGACCAGATATTGGAGGCATGCAGGGCCTTCTACCACCCATTCCAGAACCTTTCCATTGATGAGCGCATGGTGCACTCCAAGGCCCGCCACAGCCTCAAACAATACATTAAATCCAAGCCCTACAGGTATGGGTTCAAGGTCTATGTTTTAGCAGATTCAAGAAATGGCTACACATGCGACTTCAGTGTATTTGTGGGCAAGAACCCATCTGCTTCAGGAAAAGGGGAGTGCTATGACGCTGTCATGGACCTGTTGAATGTCCCTCACTTGGGCACAGGGTACCACATTTACCTTGATAATTATTTCACCAGCGCAACTCTCTTCCGTGACCTGTACAATAAGAAATTAGGAGCTTGTGGAACCATACGTGAAAACCGTGTGGGCCTCGCTGGTGTGCAAGAGAACAGCATGCCTCCTAGAGCAAAGAGAGGGACCATCCGCTGGCTTCGTGACGGGGAGCTGCTCTTCACCAAGTGGATGGATGCACGACCAGTCACCATGTGTACCACCATCCATAAAGCTTTCGCAAAGGAGCAGGTGCAACGACGTAAGAGGTTAGAGGATGGCACCTGGACAACACAGCCTGTACCCGCCCCAGAGCCGATCAAGCCATACAACAAGTATATGGGGGGTGTGGACCTGTCTGATGCCCTGATCAAATGCTACAGTGTGGCCCAGAAAACCATGAAGTGGTACAAGACCTTCTTCTACCACTTTGTAGATGTTGCTGTGGTGAACAGCTGGCTCATGCACAAGGACATGGCTGTGACAAAGAATACAAAGCCTATGGCCCAAAAACAGTTCAGGGAGAAGCTGTGTTCGCAGCTTGCTGACATTGCACTGAAAGGGGATGTTCAGGAGGAGAGGGGGGAGGAGCATAAGGAACAACCGAGCGAACAGCGAGTGGAAAAGCAGGGTGAAAAGCAGGATGAAAAGCAGGATGAAAAGCAGGGTGAAAAGCAGGATGAAAAGCAGGGTGAAAAGCAGGGTGAAGAAGAGGAAGAGGTGGAAGTTGGTTTATTGTGCTGTCCTGTGCCCACAAAAGATCCCATCACGGTTGCGTTATGTAATAAAGCTTCTGAGGGAAGGAGGCAGTGTCATTTGTGTAAGCACAAGACCATTTGGCAGTGCGAGTCCTGCAAGGTGGCACTCTGCATAATACCAGATAGGAACTGCTTCAGGATATGGCATGTGAAAAAAGACAATGACGAGCAAGATTGAAGTTAATCGTTTATTTTCGTTCCAGGGGTTAGGCCTACAGGATTTCTGAATTGGTGGGATGTACAGTGAGGGAAAAAAGTATTTGATCCCCAGCTGATTTTGTACGTTTGCCCACTGACAAAGTCATGATCAGTCTATAATTTTAATGGTAGATTTATTTGAACAGTGAGAGACAGAATAACAACAAAAAAACCCAGAAAAACGCATGTCAAACATGTTATAAATTGATTTGCATTTTAATGAGGGAAATAAGTATTTGACCCCTCTGCAAAACATGACTTAGTACTTGGTGGCAAAACCCTTGTTGGCAATCAGAGGTCAGACGTTTGTTGTGGTTGGCCACCAGGTTTGCACACATCTCAGGAGGGATTTTGTCCCACTCCTCTTTGCAGATCTTCTCCAAGTCATTAAGGTTTCGAGGCTGACGTTTGGCAACTCGAACCTTCAGCTCCCTCCACAGATTTTCTATGGGATTAAGGTCTGGAGATTAAGGTCTGGGTGCTTATTCTTGAGCCACTCCTTTGTTGCCTTGGCCGTGTGTTTTGGGTCATTGTCATGCTGGAATACCCATCCACGACCCATTTTCAATGCCCTGGCTGAGGGAAGGAGGTTCTCGCCCAAGATTTGACGGTACATGGCCCCGTCCATCGTCCCTTTGATGCGATGAAGTTGTCCTGTCCCCTTAGCAGAAAAACACCCCCAAAGCATAATGTTTCCACCTCCATGTTTGACGGTGGGGATGGTGTTCTTAGGGTCATAGGCAGCATTCCTCATCCTCCAAACACGGCGAGTTGAGTTGATGCCAATGAGCTCGATTTTGGTCTCATCTGACCACATCACTTTCACCCAGTTCACCTCTGAATCATTCAGATGTTCAAATGGCAAACTTCAGACGGCCCTGTATATGTGCTTTCTTGAGCAGGGGGACCTTGCGGGCACTGCAGGATTTCAGTCCTTCACGGCGTAGTGTGTTACCAATTGTTTTCTTGGTGACTATGGTCCCAGCTGCCTTGAGATCATTGACAAGATCCTCCCGTGTAGTTCTGGGCTGATTCCTCACCGTTCTCATGATCATTGCAACTCCACGAGGTGAGATCTTGCATGGAGCCCCAGGCCGAGGGAGATTGACAGTTATTTTGTGTTTCTTCCATTTGCGAATAATCGCACCAACTGTTGTCACCTTCTCACCAAGCTGCTTGGCGATGGTCTTGTAGCCCATTCCAGCCTTGTGTACGTCTACAATCTTGTCCCTGACATCCTTGGAGAGCTCTTTGGTCTTGGCCATGGTGGAGAGTTTGGAATCTGATTGATTGATTGCTTCTGTGGACAGGTGTCTTTTATACAGGTAACCCTTTAAGAGTGTGCTCCTAATCTCAGCTCGTTACCTGTATAAAAGACACCTGGGAGCCAGAAATCTTTCTGATTGAGAGGGGGTCAAATACTTATTTCCCTAATTAAAATGCAAATCAATTTATAACATTTTTGACATGCGTTTTTCTGGATTTTTTTATTGTTATTCTGTCTCTCACTGTTCAAATAAACCTACCATTAAAATTATAGACTGATCATTTCTTTGTCAGTGGGCAAACGTACAAAATCAGCAGGGGATCAAATACTTTTTCCCCTCATTGTATAGGGAATTGTTGCGCCTATATATTGTCGCACATTGTGCCAGTAACCGAAAGGTCGCTGGTTCGAATACCCGATCAGACAAGGTGAAAAATCTGTCGACGTGCCTTTGAGCAAGACACTTTACCCTAATTTGCTCCAGGGGCGCCATACTATTATGGCTGCCCCTGTAAATCAACACATTTCACTGCACCTATCCGGGGTATATGACAATAACACTTTTTTTTATTCAAATGTATTTGTGTTCACCACAAATGTTTGCTTATGGTTGCCAATAGTTTTGTGCGGCGAACACATGGCTTGCTATAACTGCCAAAAGCTCAACAATGCTTTCTATATCACATATCAGGAATTGCTTAACAAAAAAAGTAACATTTTGCTGTCCATTAGAAAATGAGCAACTGTTTTTATTGAGCATTTTGGAAATTGTTTCTGATCATTCTGAATTTGGTGTTCACCTTTATGGTTTGGAATTGCCACTTTGGGAATATCTCAGCTTGCCTGCTTTGGTTACCAGGGTTTGGGTTAATAATAGAAAAAAATCTATAACATTCCCTCTGTATTCTTTCCATTTTATTTCATTGTTTCATTAAATTACATTTTGAAATGTATGCAACTAATTGAACTATGTTTATTTTTTTAGGTGTCTGTTTTGAAATGTATTATCTTATGTCTCCAATAATGTACCATATTATGGGGGAATAGTATTTGATGGGTTAACGACATTATCTGATAGGAACAGTATATCATTGATTCAGTTTGGACACAAATATTATGATTGACTGGAATTACATTGATCAAATCTGAAAATGCTGACAGTACATTGCCATCAGACTTAGATCAAATGATGTTCTCTATTTCCATCCAAAAATATGAAAAGGCCATACTTCTCATCAATGTATTCACATATATGATATGATTGAACAGATAAACTAATTGTACAGCATTTCTCACCTCTCAAAATGCATGTTTCCTTCCACCAAGTATTGGGAAAGGAGTAAAAAGAACGCTTTTATTTTTGGACAAGGCCCATTTTGCATGTGGGTTCCACTCCCATCCTGATGGAGGCGGTAGTGTACCACACTGGTCGTTTACCAACTGCTTTGAACCTCAGTACGGGTGAAAAAGATGGCGGCGCCCTACAGTGATACGTGTAACGAGAAGATGCTGTAGATAATTATTACTGTCATTACTTTTAAAGATAAATAATACTTAGCAAAATGTTTAAAGAAACTGCACAACGTTTTAAGGCCGCAGCTCCTTTGCTTGCGCAAACGACGCTTTTGAAAGAAATAAGAATCAGCTCGACGCATGGAGGGAGCAGTGTCCACGGGTATCGATATTTCAATGTCACCTGCAGCTTATGTGCGAAGGTACCGCCGAGAAAAAAGCCGAGAGTCAAGGTGGACATACCCGGACTCGAGCGCATTACCTATGGCGATAGAATGCACTATGTCCCTGGGTTGGCAAAGCCCTCTTTCCCTACCTGGGTGCGAGACTGGAACGACCCCTCTCATTACTATGCGCCGAAAGAGGAAGAGATGCCACTCCATAAAGAGAAGCCTTGCTTCATATTTAACCAAAGGACAAACGCACTTGAAGGTATTTTATATTAAAGTTATATAAACTGCTGGCTCCTATTATTGATCCTGTATTAGACAAATGAAAGATATGCCACTAATTGTCAATCAGAGGCCAAAATATAGAAATCAATAAAATACATCGAATTAATCAACTGTGTGTATTCTCTTTAATACTTATTCCTGTGTTACAGGTGTCAGGCAAGCACTGTGGCTCACAAAATCCAAGCTGACAAAGGGACTTCCTGACAAGGTTCTGTCATTGTCTGAGAATGCAGCCAATCAGATTGAAAACCAGGATGAGCGAGTTCAGAATGCCATCAGGCATGCTCGCTTCTGGGACACCACAGAGGAACGACCGCCCAGAGAAAAGTTCTGGTGAGTAGTCGACCACTACTCACAAGCCATACAGTCTACAGATGAACGCAAACGGACTAGTCCATGACCCATGATTGTCTTTGTCTGGTGTCACAGGTTTTCATTCACATCAGAAGCACAAAATACATGGCTGGGTCGGCTTGAGTCTCTGAACATTCAAATCCACTGTGCTGACATGTGGCGTCTCTCTTCTGTCCTTTGTCTCTCTAGCGTGGCTTTGCTGAGGAGCCTGATCCACCTGTGTGGGAGCCTACAGGTTAGTCATCCTGGGCTTGGCAGGAGGATCATGGCGGAGAAATACAGTCTGGCTGCCACATGGAGCAGAGGTAGGCCTGTGACCCCTGACCTCATACAATAGCATTATGCAATAGTGGTAAATACGGTATTATACTGGACTTTGAATGTATTTGTTGGAGCAGAGGTAGGCCCGTGACCCCTGACCTCATACAATAGCATTATGCAATAGTGGTAAATACGGTATTATACTGGACTTTGAATGTATTTGTTGTTTTAGTGTTACTGAAATAACACTATTGCCCATCTCCTCATCAAGTTGTACCCAGTCCAAAATAAACCCCTATGCCCCACTAGTAGGTAACATGTCCAGGGCCCATTATTTAATATCTATGAGATAGACAAGATAGCCACAGTACATAGGCTACTACTACGCACCATTGACCAATAGCTTAGCTGTTTTATCTCACCTCTTCCTGGTCACCTGTCCTCCAGGTGAAGACTTGTTCCAGGTGCGAGGGCAGAATGGGTTGCTGCTCAACAGCATGGCCCCTCTCCCAGTGCTTGCTGGGAAAGAGGAGGTTCAGAGCACGGCCGACCACGTCCTGGAGACGTTCTACCCAATCTCTCCCACCATCGACCTGCAGAGTGTTCAGGTCTACGAGGAGCTGAACCATACAGGTAATACTACTGTCTGGCAATCAACCAGTCAATACACCTACAGATTCATACAATTTGTATGTAGAACAATGGAAATGTTGAAATCAGGTCAGGAATGAACTCACAATAAAACCTCTGTTCCTTCAGGCTTCAAGGAGGACTACCCTTACCCTCATGCCCACACCCTCTTCCTCCTGGAGGCAGGAGACACCCCTGTTACTCTCCTCCCTGAGCAGCTCCGTGCCAAGATGATCATGTTCGCCTTCGGGAACGCCCTGGCTCGTGCTCAAACACTCCACGGGGTAAAGGCTGTTTGTAACCTTAAACATAAATTAATTACATAATGGTGTAATGTCCAATACTTTTTACACAGGGGTAGTAGTTACACATTTGTATCCCTACCCACAAAGTAAACAGAAGTTATAAAAAGTGATTGAATGGGATAGAGATTTGATCAGGATGTCTGCTTGGCATGATGCACTGAAGGTTGCTAATAGTGGCAGACTTACAATTAGGCAGAAGGGGAAATTACCTCAGGCCTCACATCATCAAGGGGCCTCCTGAGCTGGGCGTAATAAAAAAGAAGAATACTAGTAATCATTAAAAAAATATATTTCTCTGCCCCCCCCCCCAATGCTCCGCTCGAGGCCTCCCAACCCGACAAACGACCCGCTGTCGTGAGCTTCTCAGCTCATCGCTCTCATTTCTGTCTTGCTTCAGCAGGTTGGTTCAGCAGCAGCAAAATCTGCGCAAATCTTTAAAGTTGCGAAGGAAATGGGGAGGGATGGAGGTTTTGCCTGGGCACTGTGCCCAGGTTAATGAGGCCAGCCACATTGTTGACAAAAAAGGCCAAAAAAAAGTATGTGAATCCATACAGCTGAATAATAATTAATAAAATATAAATTCTAGTTTTTCTTATAATAGTAGAAACAAGTGCCATTAATCACCCACGGACTGGTTCATAATGGTAGAAACAAATGCCATTAATCACCCACGGACTGGTTCATAATAATGGACTATTCCACCCTGACAGAGTTCCCGTGCATTGTTCCACACAATATGATTGCAAACGTGACTTTCATTGAAATTAAGCTGCAACAATGAAAACACCCTCCACCGATTTTTTCCCCCTCCACTGATTGTGGATGTGGGTCACGTGTCTGTAGTCTTGAGCGATTAACCGAAATATCTGTGATTTTTTTCGGATTTGAATTCCATTTTGTTCGTTTTTTTTCTGTGAGCTCATTGCACAGTTTCTCTAGAGATTAACTGTGCAATGTAGTAGAGTTGTAGTTTCCAACAGGCCAATATTCTACATAGTTTAACTACAATGACCATAATCCATGAAGCATCTACTTGTCCGGTCTGTTTATTTTACGCCTGCTACAGAAGAGACCGAAGAATGCATGATCGTGAAGTGATATAGAGAGCAGCTGTTGCTTCGCGAGGTATCTACCTGAAAATAAATAATCGAAATGATTGATAGTTGGTATTCAGGACTCATATAAGTATGCCTTATCTACTTTGAAGAACTACAAAATGGTGATACAGTGGGGAAAATAAGTATTTAGTCAGCCACCAATTGTGCAAGTTCTCCCACTTAAAAAGATGAGAGAGGCCTGTAATTTTCATCATAGGTACACGTCAACTATGACAGACAAAATGAGAAAAAGAAATCCAGGAAATCACATTGTAGGATTTTTAATGAATTTATTTGCAAATTATGGTGGAAAATAAGTATTTGGTCAATAACAAAAGTTTCTCAATACTTTGTTATATACTCTTTGTTGGCAATGACACAGGTCAAACGTTTTCTGTAAGTCTTCACAAGGTTTTCACACACTGTTGCTGGTATTTTGGCCCATTCCTCCATGCAGATCTCCTCTAGAGGAGTGATGTTTTGGGGCTGTCGCTGGGCAACACGGACTTTCAACTCCCTCCAAAGATTTTCTATGGGGTTGAGATCTGGAGACTGGCTAGGCCACTCCAGGACCTTTAAATGTTTCTTACGAAGCCACTCCTTCGTTGCCCGGGCGGTGTGTTTGGGATCATTGTCATGCTGAAAGACCCAGACACGTTTCATCTTCAATGCCCTTGCTGATGGAAGGAGGTTTTCACTCAAAATCTCACGATACATGGCCCCATTCATTCTTTCCTTTACACGGATCAGTCGCCCTGGTCCCTTTGCAGAAAAACAGCCCCAAAGCATGATGTTTCCACCCCCATGCTTCACAGTAGGTATGGTGTTCTTTGGATGCAACTCAGCATTCTTTGTCCTCCAAACACGACGAGTTTAGTTTTTACCAAAAAGTTCTATTTTGGTTTCATCTGACCATATGACATTCTCCCAATCCTCTTCTGGATCATCCAAATGCACTCTAGCAAACTTCAGACGGGCCTGGACATGTACTGGCTTAAGCAGAGGGACACATCTGGCACTGCAGGATTTGAGTCCCTGGCGGCGTAGTGTGTTACTGATGGTAGGCTTTGTTACTTTGGTCCCAGCTCTCTGCAGGTCATTCACTAGGTCCCCCCGTGTGGTTTTGGGATTTTTGCTCACCGTTCTTGTGATCATTTTGACCCCACGGGGTGAGATCTTGCGTGGAGCCCCAGATCGAGGGAGATTATCAGTGGTCTTGTATGTCTTCCATTTCCTAATAATTGCTCCCACAGTTGATTTCTTCAAACCAAGCTGCTTACCTATTGCAGATTCAGTCTTCCCAGCCTGGTGCAGATCTACACGTTAGTGGTCTTCTGTAGCTCAGCTGGTAGAGCACAGCGCTTGTAACGCCAGGGTAGTGGGTTTGATCCCCGGGACCACCCATACACAAAAATGTATGCACGCATGACTGTAAGTCGCTTTGGATAAAAGCGTCTGCTAAATGGCATATTATTATTGTTTCTGGTGTCCTTTGACAGCTCTTTGGTCTTGGCCATAGTGGAGTTTGGAGTGTGACTGTTTGAGGTTGTGGACAGGTGTCTTTTATACTGATAATAAGTTCAAACAGGTGCCATTAATACAGGTAACGAGTGGAGGACAGAGGACCCTCTTAAAGAAAAAGTTACAGGTCTGTGAGAGCCAGAAATCTTGCTTGTTTGTAGGTGACCAAATACTTATTTTCCACCATAATTTGCAAATAAATTCATTAAAAATCCTACAATGTGATTTTCTTGATTTTTTTCCCTCAATTTGTCTGTCATAGTTGATGTGTACCTATGATGAAAATGACAGGCCTCTCTCATCTTTTTAAGTGGGAGAACTTGCACAATTGGTGGCTGACTAAATACTTTTTTCCCCCACTGTATTTGTCAGACAGCATAGGCAGCAGCTCTATAGAGATGATGACTTGGAATGAAATAATAAAGTCATAAAATAAAACAAATGTAATATACAGAACAAATGAAATATTTTATTAAAGTAATGTGAATAAATTATGGTTAAGTGATAAGCAGTAATGGGCAGTCACTACCATCATGGCAATTTTATTAATTGTTTTATTCTGTGTTACAGCATTCATCCCACATAATGCATAGTGCATTAATTAAATAATATATACAGTGGGGAGAACAAGTATTTGATACACTGCCGATTTTGCAGGTTTTCCTACTTACAAAGCATGTAGAGGTCTGTAATTTTTATCATAGGTACACTTCAACTGTGAGAGACGGAATGTAAAACAAAAATCCAGAAAATCACATTGTATGATTTTTAAGTAATTAATTTGCATTGTATTGCATGACATAAGTATTTGATACATCAGAAAAGCAGAACTTAATATTTGGTACAGAAACCTTTGTTTGCAATTACAGAGATCAAACGTTTCCTGTAGGTCTTGACCAGGTTTGCACACACTGCAGCAGGGATTTTTGCCCACTCCTCCATACAGACCTTCTCCAGATCCTTCAGGTTTCGGGGCTGTCGCTGGGCAATACGGACTTTCAGCTCCCTCCAAATATTTTCTATTGGGTTCAGGTCTGGAGACTGGCTAGACCACTCCAGGACCTTGAGATGCTTCTTACGGAGCCACTCCTTAGTTGCCCTGGCTGTGTGTTTCAGGTCGTTGTCATGCTGGAAGACCCAGCCACGACCCATCTTCAATGCTCTTACTGAGGGAAGGAGGTTGTTGCCCAAGATCTCGTGATATATGGCCCCATCCATCCTCCCCTGAATACGGTGCAGTCGTCCTGTACCCTTTGCAGAAAAGCATCCCCAAAGAATTATGTTTCCACCTCCATGCTTCACGGTTGGGATGGTGTTCTTGGGGTTGTACTCATCCTTCTTCTTCCTCTAAACACGGCGAGTTTAGACCAAAAAACTATATTTTTGTCTCATCAGACCACATGACCTTCTCCCATTCCTCCTCTGGATCATCCAGATGGTCATTGGCAAACTTCAGACGGGCCTGGACATGCGCTGGCTTGAGCAGGGGGACCTTGCGTGCGCTGCAGGATTTTAATCCATTACGGCGTAGTGTGTTACTAATGCTTTTCTTTGAGACTGTGGTCCCAGCTCTCTTCAGGTCATTGACCAGGTCCTGCCGTGTAGTTCTGGGCTGATCCCTCACCTTCGTCATGATCATTGATGCCCCACGAGGTGAGATCTTGCATGGAGCCCCAGACCGAGGGTGATTGACCGTCATCTTGAACTTCTTCCATTTTCTAATAATTGCGCCAACAGTTGTTGCCTTCTCACCAAGCTGCTTGCCTATTGTCCTGTAGCCCATCCCAGCCTTGTGCAGGTCTACAATTTTATACCTGATGTCCTTACACAGCTCTCTGGTCTTGGCCATTGTGGAGAGGTTGGAGTCTGTTTGATTGAGTGTGTGGACAGGTGTCTTTTATACAGGTAATGAGTTCAAACAGGTGCAGTTAACACAGGTAATGAGTGGAGAACAGGAGGGCTTCTTAAAGAAAAACTAACAGGTCTGTGAGAGCCGGAATTCTTACTGGTTGGTAGGTGATCAAATACTTATGTCATGCAATAAAATGCAAATTAATTACTTAAAAATCATACAATGTGATTTTCTGGATTTTTGTTTTAGATTCCGTCTCTCACAGTTGAAGTGTACCTATGATAAAAATGACAGACCTCTACATGCTTTGTAAGTAGGAAAACCTGCAAAATCGGCAGTGTATCAAATACTTGTTCTCCCCACTGTATGTATGTATATATATATATATATATATATATATATATATATATATATATATATATATAATGGAAAACCGTGATAATTTTTTGGTAATCGAACCGAAACACCTTAAAAAGCACTAATAGCTCAGCACTATTTGTCTGTTACCTCGCTCCCCCTCCCTTCAGACTAAGCCTGGGGTGCTGGAAAAGCCCATCGTGGTCCAGTCGGTGGCCACCAACGGCCGGATGTTCCAGTATGTGGTGTTTCAGCTCAACACCACAGACCTGCAGGCTGACGAGGGGGTCAAGAACCAGGTGTGGGTGGAGGATGACCAGCTGCTGTACGACTTCGCCAAGGTCCGCCCCCTCATCAAGAAGAGGGTGGTGCAGGTAAGAACTACTTTGTTTATTTCTCTTTTTCAAAAGTGATATAATCTAACAGTTATAAAATACACTGTACACCCGTATAGGGTCCCACATCTGTTATAAACAGAAATGGATAGTAACAGTGAATCCATTTGACTTAGTAGCTTAGATTTTATACAAATGGTATTTGAAACATCAATATGACCAGGTTTTGTTCTCTCTGCTTTGCCCCCTCAGATACCTCCAGGTCTATCTGGGTACAAGCCTGAAACCTTCCAGAAGTTCCTGTCGCTCTATCTGCATGGAGCTGTGTGAACTAGCTACATAAAACGGCACCAAAACAACAATGTTCCACCATTCATAACCTTATTATTTCTACTGTCATTACTGTAATATCTGAAATTAAAGAGACCCTAGATACTATAGCTCATCAGAGTCAAAAGTTTCATCTCTACCCTCGGCTCGGACTGCTGTGGGTTTGAATTACATCTGTAGAAGTGGATTGTGAACCATATATCTCTTATTGTTTAAGAAAATAAATAAAAAGCATTGTGAAAATGTAGCTATGTATGTCATTATGATAAACACATTCATTTAAGATACTTTATTTGTTTTCAGAACTTATTGAATGGATACAGATGTCACACAATTAAGGTGGACTGTATGTCGTCCTCAAACTACAATGAAATGTGTCGGTGAAATTATCCATTCCACCTTAAAATGTGGTTTGGGTGGGAGGTGGTGTTGGCAGCAGTAGCCATTTCATGCTGCACCATGTCCTATGCCACGCTGCAAAGCAAGCTGAAACAAGCATGAGATAGTCAACACTGTATATGGTCAGAGTGCACAAGCTGAAAAGCCCAATGCGATATTCCTGTGCGTGTTATAACTTGAGGTAAGTGCATCGACAAAAGAACCATTCTGTTCTTTGTGTCCTCGTTGCTCTGTTGCAATTTTATTGATATGTTGATATGTTACGTTTGGCATGGTATGTATTAATTTGTGGATGTCCATCATCCATTTCGTATTATATGTTACGAATTCCAACTTGTTGTGGCTAACATTAGCTAGGTGCCTGGGTCATTCCTACCATCCTGTGCCTTTAATGTCCCCAGGAAATATCACCTCTTATTTAGTGAAAGATGTGGATTCCAAAGGGCTTTAAATATCAAGTTAGGAGTCTTTTACCATAAAAAGGCAAAGATAAGGATTGTCAAAGTGAATTTTATGCATTTTGTTTTTAGTGGATGTAGGCGTTTTTGCCATGTCCCCGGGTGCTATAAATCAATTTATGAAAAATATAAGCCATTAAATATAATGAACAAAAATATAAAAGCAACATGTAAAGTGTTGGTCCCATGTTTCATGAGCTGAAATAAAAGATCCCAGAAACTTTCCATGTACACAAAAAGCTTATTTCTCTAAAATGTGTTTACATCCCTGTTAGTGAACATTTTTCCTTTCCCAAGAGAATCCATCCACCTGACAGGTGTGGCATATCAAGAAGCTGATTAAATAGCATTATCATTACACATTATTCTACAATGTAGAAAATAGTAAAAATAAAGAAAAACCCTTGAATGAGTAGGTGTTCTAAAACTTTTGACCTGTAGTGTGTGTGTATATATATATATATATATATGTATATATATATACAGTGGGGGGAAAAAGTATTTAGTCAGCCACCAATTGTGCAAGTTCTCCCACTTAAAAAGATGAGAGAGGCCTGTAATTTTCATCATAGGTACACGTCAACTATGACAGACAAAATGAGATTTTTTTTCTCCAGAAAATCACATTGTAGGATTTTTAATGAATGTATTTGCAAATTATGGTGGAAAATAAGTATTTGGTCAATAACAAAAGTTTCTCAATACTTTGTTATATACCCTTTGTTGGCAATGACACAGGTCAAACGTTTTCTGTAAGTCTTTACAAGGTTTTCACACACTGTTGCTGGTATTTTGGCCCATTCCTCCATGCAGATCTCCTCTAGAGGAGTGATGTTTTGGGGCTGTCGCTGGGCAACACGGACTTTCAACTCCCTCCAAAGATTTTCTATGGGGTTGAGATCTGGAGACTGGCTAGGCCACTCCAGGACCTTGAAATGCTTCTTACGAAGCCACTCCTTCGTTGCCGGGGCGGTGTGTTTGGGATCATTGTCATGCTGAAAGACCCAGACACGTTTCATCTTCAATGCCCTTGCTGATGGAAGGAGGTTTTCACTCAAAATCTCACGATACATGGCCCCATTCATTCTTTCCTTTACACGGATCAGTCGTCCTGGTCCCTTTGCAGAAAAACAGCCCCAAAGCATGATGTTTCCACCCCCATGCTTCACAGTAGGTATGGTGTTCTTTGGATGCAACTCAGCATTCTTTGTCCTCCAAACACGACGAGTTGAGTTTTTACCAAAAAGTTATATTTTGGTTTCATCTGACCATATGACATTCTCCCAATCCTCTTCTGGATCATCCAAATGCACTCTAGCAAACTTCAGACGGGCCTGGACATGTACTGGCTTAAGCAGGGGGACACGTCTGGCACTGCAGGATTTGAGTCCCTGGCGGCGTAGTGTGTTACTGATGGTAGGCTTTGTTACTTTGGTCCCAGCTCTCTGCAGGTCATTCACTAGGTCCCCCCGTGTGGTTCTGGGATTTTTGCTCACCGTTCTTGTGATCATTTTGACCCCACGGGGTGAGATCTTGCATGGAGCCCCAGATCGAGGGAGATTATCAGTGGACTTGTATGTCTTCAATTTCCTAATAATTGCTCCCACAGTTGATTTCTTCAAACCAAGCTGCTTACCTATTGCAGATTCAGTCTTCCCAGCCTGGTGCAGGTCTACAATTTTGTTTCTGGTGTCCTTTGACAGCTCTTTGGTCTTGGCCATAGTGGAGTTTGGAGTGTGACTGTTTGAGGTTGTGGACAGGTGTCTTTTATACTGATAACAAGTTCAAACAGGTGCCATTAATACAGGTAACGAGTGGAGGACAGAGGAGCCTCTTAAAGCAGAAGTTACAGGTCTGTGAGAGCCAGAAATCTTTCTTGTTTGTAGGTGACCAAATACTTATTTTCCACCATAATTTGCAAATAAATTCATTAAAAATCCTACAATGTGATTTTCTGGATTTTTTTCCCTCAATTTGTCTGTCATAGTTGACGTGTACCTATGATGAAAATGACAGGCCTCTCTCATCATTTTAAGTGGGAGAACTTGCACAATTGGTGGCTGACTAAATACTTTTTTTCCCCACTGTATATACTACCGTTCAAACGTTTGGGGTCACTTAGAAATGTCCTTATTTTCGAAAAGCAATTTTTTTGTCCATTAAAATAACATCAAATTGTTCAGAAATACAGTGTAGACATTGTTAATGTTGTAAATGGCTATTGTAGCTGGAAACGGCTGATTTTTTATGGAATATCTACATAGGCGTACAGAGGCCCATAATCAGCAACCACCAGTCCTGTGTTCCAATGGCATGTTGTGTTTGCTAATCCAAGTTTATCATTTTAAAAAGCTAATTGATCATTAGAAAACGCTTTTGCAATTATGTTAGCACAGCTGAAAACTGTTGTTTTGATTAAAGAAGCAATAAAACTGGCCTTCTTGAGACTAGTTGAGTATCTGGAGCATCAGCAATTGTGGGTTCGATTACAGGCTCAAAATGGCCAGAAACAAATAACTTTCTTCTGAAACTCATCAGTCTATTCTTGTTCTGAGAAATGAAGGCTATTCCATGCGAGAAATTGCCAAGAAACTGAAGATCTTGTACAACGCTGTGTACTACTCCCTTCACAGAACAGCGCAAACTGGCTCTAACCAGAATAGAAAGAGGAGTGGGAGGCCCCGGTGCACAACTGAGCAAGCGGACAAATACATTAGAGTGTCTAGTTTGTGAAACAGACGCCTCACAGGTCCTCGACTGGCAGCTTCATTAAATAGTACCCGCAAAACACCAGTCTCAACGTCAACAGTAAAGAGGCAACTCCGGGATGCTGACCTAGGCAGAGTTGCAAAGAAAAAGCCAATTCTCAGACTGGCCAATAAAAAGAAAAGATTCAGATGGGCAAAAGAACACAGACACTTGACTTTTTCTTTGCAACTCTGCCTAGAAGGTCAGCATATCGGAGTCGCCTCTTCACTGTTGCTTGTAATTGAACCCACAATCGCTGATGCTCCAGATACTCAACTAGTCTCAAGAAGGCCAGTTTTATTGCTTCTTTAATCAGCACAACAGTTTTCAGCTGTGCTAACATAATTGCAAAAGGGTTTTCTAATGATCAATTAGCCTTTTAAAATGATAAACTTGGATTAGCAAACACTACGTGCCATTGGAACACAGGACTGATGGTTGCTGATAATGGGCCTCTGTACGCCTACAGTGGGGAGAACAAGTATTTGATACACTGCCGATTTTGCAGGTTTTCCTACTTACAAAGCATGTAGAGGTCTGTAATTTTTATCAAAAATCCAGAAAATCACATTGTATGATTGTTAAGTAATTAATTTGCATTTTATTGCATGACATAAGTATTTGATACATCAGAAAAGCAGAACTTAATATTTGGTACAGAAACCTTTGTTTGCAATTACAGACATCATACGTTTCCTGTAGGTCTTGACCAGGTTTGCACACACTGCAGCAGGGATTTTGGCCCACTCCTCCATACAGACCTTCTCCAGATCCTTCAGGTTTCGGGGCTGTCGCTGGGCAATACGGACTTTCAGCTCCCTCCAAAGATTTTCTATTGGGTTCAGGTCTGGAGACTGGCTAGGCCACTCCAGGACCTTGAGATGCTTCTTACGGAGCCACTCCTTAGTTGCCCTGGCTGTGTGTTTCGGGTCGTTGTCATGCTGGAAGACCCAGCCACGACCCAACTTCAATGCTCTTACTGAGGGAAGGAGGTTGTTGGCCAAGATCACGCGATACATGGCCCCATCCATCCTCCCCTCAATATGGTGCAGTCGTCCTGTCCCCTTTGCAGAAAAGCATCCCCAAAGAATGATGTTTCCACCTCCATGCTTCACGGTTGGGATGGTGTTCTTGGGGTTGTACTCATCCTTCTTCTTCCTCCAAACACGGTGAGTGGAGTTTAGACCAAAAAGCTATATTTTTGTCTCATCAGACCACATGACCTTCTCCCATTCCTCCTCTGGATCATCCAGATGGTCATTGGTAAACTTCAGACGGGCCTGGACATGCACTGGCTTGAGCAGGGGGACCTTGCGTGCGCTGCAGGATTTTAATCCATGACGGCATAGTGTGTTACTAATGGTTTTCTTTGAGACTGTGGTCCCAGCTCTCTTCAGGTCATTGACCAGGTCCTGCCGTGTAGTTCTGGGCTGATCCCTCACCTTCCTCATGATCATTGATGCACCACGAGGTGAGATCTTGCATGGAGCCCCAGACCGAGGGTGATTGACCGTCATCTTGAACTTCTTCCATTTTCTAATAATTGCGCCAACAGTTGTTGCCTTCTCACCAAGCTGCTTGCCTATTGTCCTGTAGCCCATCCCAGCCTTGTGCAGGTCTACAATTTTATCTCTGATGTCCTTACACAGCTCTCTGGTCTTGGCCATTGTGGAGAGGTTGGAGTCTGTTTGATTGAGTGTGTGGACAGGTATCTTTTATACAGGTAACAAGTTCAAACAGGTGCAGTTAATACAGGTAATGAGTGGAGAACAGGAGGGCTTCTTAAAGAAAAACTAACAGGTCTGTGAGAGCCGGAATGCTTACTGGTTGGTAGGTGATCAAATACTTATGTCATGCAACAAAATGCAAATGAATTACTTAAAAATCATACAATGTGATTTTCTGGATTTTTGTTTTAGATTCCGTCTCTCACAGTTGAAGTGTACCTATGATAAAAATTACAGACCTCTACATGCTTTGTAAGTAGGAAAACCTGCAAAATCGGCAGTGTATTAAATACTTGTTCTCCCCACTGTATGTAGATATTCCATTAAAAATCAGCCGTTTACAACATTAACAATGTCTACACTGTATTTCTGATCAACATTTTACATTTTACATTTACATTTTTGTCATTTAGCAGACGCTCTTATCCAGAGCGACTTACAGTTAGTGAGTGCATACATTTTTCATACTGGCCCCCCGTGGGAATGGAACCCACAACCCTGGCGTTGCAAGCGCCATGCTCTACCAACTGAGCTACAGGATCAATTTGATGTTATTTTAATAGACAAAAAATAAATTGCTTTTCTTTCGAAAACAAGGGAATTTCTAAGTGACCCCAAACTTTTGAACGGTAGTGTATATATATATGTATATATATATATATATATATATATATATATATATATATATATATATATATATATATATATATATATATATATATATATATACAGTACCAGTCAAAAGTTTGGACACACCTACTCATTCAAGGGTTTTTCTTTATTTTTACTATTTTCTACATTGTAGAATAATAGTGAAACATCAAAACTATGAAATAACACACAGAATCATGTAGTAACCCAAAAATATATTTTATATTTGAGATTCTTCAAATAGCCACCCTTTGCCTTGATGACAGCTTTGCACACTCTTGGAATTCTCTCAACCAGCTTCATCTGGAATGCTTTTCCAACAGTCTTGAAGGAGTTCCCACATATGCTGAGCACTTGTTGGCTGCTTTTCCTTCACTCAGCCGTCCGACTCATCCCAAACCCTCTCAATTGGGTTGAGGTCGGGGGATTGTGGAGGCCAGGTCATCTGATGCAGCACTCCATCACTCTCCTTCTTGGTAAAATAGCCCTTACACATCCTGGAGGTGTGTTGGGTCATTGTCCTGTTGACAAAACAAATGATAGTCCCACTAAGCCCAAACCAGATGGGATGGCGTATCGCTGCAGAATGCTGTGGTAGCCATGCTGGTTAAGTGTGCCTTGAATTCTAAATAAATCACAGTGTCAGCAGCAAAGCACCCTCACACCATAACACCTCCTCCTCCATGCTTTACAGTGGGAACTACACATGCGGAGATCATCCGTTCACCCACACCGCGTCTCACAAAGATATGGCGGTTGGAACCAAAAATCTCAAATTTGGACACCAGACCAAAGGACAAATTTCCACCGGTCTAATGTCCATTGCTGGTGTTTCTTGGCCCAAGCAGGTCTCTTCTTATTGGTGCCTTTTAGTAGTGGTTTCTTTGCAGCAATCGACCATGGTGGCCTGATTCCCACAGTCCCCTCTGAACAGTTGATGTTGAGATGTGTCTATGACTTGAACTCAGTGAAGTATTTATTTGGGCTGCGATTTCTGAGGCTGGTAACTAATTAACTTATCCTCTGCAGCAGAGGTAACTCTGGGTCTTCCATTCCTGTGGCGGTCCTCATGAGAGCCAGTTTCATCATAGCGCTTGATGGTTTTTGAGACTGCACTTGAAGAAACTTTCAAAGTTCTTGAAATGTTCCGTATTGACTGACCTTCATGTCTTAAAGTAATGATGGACTGTTGTTTCTCTTTGCTTATTTGAGCTGTTCTTGCCATAATATGGACTTGGTCTTTTACCAAATAGGGGTATCTTCTGTATACCCCCTACCTTGTCACAACACAACTGATTGAAATCATACACATACAGTGGGGGAAAAAATTATTTAGTAAGCCACCAATTGTGCAAGTTCTCCCACTTAATTTTTTTCTCTCCAGAAAATCACATTGTAGGATTTTTAATGAATTTATTTGCAAAATATGGTGGAAAATAAGTATTTGGTCACCTACAAACAAGAAAGATTTCTGGCTCTCACAGACCTGTAACTTCTTCTTTAAGAGGCTCCTCTGTCCTCCACTCGTTACCTGTATTAATGGCACCTGTTTGAACTTGTTATCAGTATAAAAGACACCTGTCCACAACCTCAAACAGTCACACTCCAAACTCCACTATGGCCAAGACCAAAGAGCTGTCAAAGGACACCAGAAACAAAATTGTAGACCTGCACCAGGCTGGGAAGACTGAATCTGCAATAGGTAAACAGCTTGGTTTGAAGAAATCATCTGTGGGAGCAATTATTAGGAAATGGAAGACATACAAGACCACAGATAATCTCCCTCGATCTGGGGCTCCACGCAAGATCTCTCCCCGTGGGGTCAAAATGATCACAAGAACGGTGAGCAAAAATCCCAGAACCACACGGGGGGACCTAGTGAATGACCTGCAGAGAGCTGGGACCAAAGTAACAAAGCCTACCATCAGTAACACACTACGCCGCCAGGGATTCAAATCCTGCAGTGCCAGACGTGTCCCCCTGCTTAAGCCAGTACATGTCCAGGCCCGTCTGAAGTTTGCTAGAGTGCATTTGGATGATCCAGAAGAGGATTGGGAGAATGTCATATGGTCAGATGAAACCAAAATATAACTTTTTGGTAAAAACTCAACTCGTCGTGTTTGGAGGACAAAGAATGCTGAGTTGCATCCAAAGAACACCATACCTACTGTGAAGCATGGGGGTGGAAACATCATGCTTTGGGGCTGTTTTTCTGCAAAGGGACCAGGACGACTGATCCGTGTGAAGGAAATAATTAATGGGGCCATGTATTGTGAGATTTTGAGTGAAAACCTCCTTCCATCAGCAAGGGCATTGAAGATGAAACGTGGCTGGGTCTTTCAGCATGACAATGATCCCAAACACACCGCCCGGGCAACGAAGGAGTGGCTTCGTAAGAAGCATTTCAAGGTCCTGGAGTGGCCTAGCCAGTCTCCAGATCTCAACCCCATAGAAAATCTTTGGAGGGAGTTGAAGGTCTGTGTTGCCCAGCGACAGCCCCAAAACATCACTGCTCTAGAGGAGATCTGCATGGAGGAATGGGCCAAAATACCAGCAACAGTGTGTGAAAACCTTGTGAAGACTTACAGAAAACGTTTGACCTGTGTCATTGCCAACAAAGGGTATATAACAAAATATTGAGAAACTTTTGTTATTGACCAAATACTTATTTTCCACCATAATTTGCAAATAAATTCATTAAAAATCCTACAATGTGATTTTCTGGATTTTCTTTTCTCATTTTGTCTGTCATAGTTGACGTGTACCTATGATGAAAATTACAGGCCTCTCTCATATTTTTAAGTGGGAGAACTTGCACAATTGGTGGCTGACTAAATACTTTTTTTCCCCACTGTATATATACACTACCAGTCAAAAGTTTGGACACACCTACTCATTCAAGTATTGGCTGCATAGCGACTCGAAGGAGTCAGAGGTTCATTTAAAAAACTCTAGTCTACGCTCAACTCCGTAGATGGAATCATCGTAGAGTTGAGGTACTTAGCTATGCCCATTCATGCTGGTAGCTCAGATAGCTTAGCTATACACTTATAGTCTTTATATGAAAATATGCTGCTGAACTTTATACAACGGTACTTGCAGCTGTCAAATGGAATGAACTAGCATTGCTATTTAGCTGGCTAGGTTAGGGAAGCTCCTATACCGGAACAAGATTTTGCAGTCACTGTGCAATAATCTGTCACATCTCCTGTGTATATTTGAGGTCAGGTATGTCATGGGGCAGACAAGCACTACTATCACAGAGTTTTCTTTGCTATTGCTCTCAGTCTGTTTAACCCTTTGAAGACCCAGGGATTATAAACCATGCATTTATTTTTAAATGGTAGGCGTTTCTGTATTCTTCTTAAAAATGTATTAGGCTATAGCCTAATTGTGCATGGATAACATGTTGGTCACTGTTGGTCACTCAAATGAAATGCATTTTCATTGACCAACGTTATATTACCTTTCCTAGAGAGGAGACATAAGCTCTCTGTGATACTAAAATGAGCAGACCCCAAGATGAGTTGGCGGAGGAGGGGGAGGAGGTGTACAGGAACCCTACAGAGGTGAAGAAGAGCCAGATAGTGATGCCCTGCCATGCCAACCACCGCCAGGAGCTCAGCGTGGGTCAGCTGCTTAAATGGATGGACTCTACAGCCTGTCTTTCAGGTTTGTGTCTGTCTGTGTTTGTGTGTGTTCTTGCTCACAAAGAGCTTGTGGGAATAGGCCTATTGGTCCAGTTTTGGATTATAGATTGGATGATTGAACGATATCTCATACACACCCACATCATGCTCAGTAAGGCCTTTGCATAGACAAAGATGGCATAGTTTCTCACTATGAAACATAAACACAATGTAACACTGTAATATTTTGTGACACTGACCAGCATTTCTTCACAGATTAAAAGAGCTGAGACGTTCCTAGGACATCTGAATACTTCAACGTCACTGTCACCTAAACTTCTGGAGTAATAGACTCTGCTGATGATAACAGATTAAATATTATTTGTAGACTTGTAACTTTTGTTACTCAGTTTAGGGGCAAAATATCCAGTCAAATATGTACAGCATTTAGGGACTGAAAGAACATACTGTTCCTACTGATGTGTTGCTGTGACGTAAATGGCTGTCATGAGAAAATGACTCTTACACTCACTAGAACCTAAGCTTGGTACACAAGGCTAAGTATGTTGTAATGTTGAGCAGTAGTCCATACAGTATTAACTGTAATATATCTATTATTATGTAAAATGTGTTGTGACTTTGTTAAATTAACTTTAAATAAATTGTGATTTGACTTTAAATCAACAAATCAAAATGTATTTGTCACATGCGTCGTAAACAACAGGTGTAGACTAACAGTGAAATGCTTACTTACGGGTTATTTTCCAACAATGCAGAGTTAAAGATATATAAAGATACAAAATATTAATATTAAATAGAAATAGTAACACGGGGCCTCCCGAGTGGCGCAGCAGTCTAAGGCACTGCATCGCACTGTTGCGGCGTCACTACAGCCTGGGGTTTGATCCCAGGCTGTGTCACAACCGGCCGTGACCGGGAGTCCTATAGGGCGGCACACAATTGGCCCAGCGTCGTCTGGGTTAGGGGAGGGTTTGGCCGGGGGTCTTTACTTGGCTCATCGTGCTCTAGCGACTCCTTGTGGTGGGCCGGGTGCCTGCAGGCTGACTTCGGTCGTCAGTTGAACAGTGTTTCCTCCGACACATTGCTGCGGCTGGCTTCCGGGTTAAGCGAGCGGGTGTTAAGAAGAGCGGTTTGGCAGGTCATATTTCGGAGGACTCATAGCTCGACCTTCGCCTCTCCCGAGGCCGTAAGGGAGTTGCAGCGATGAGACAACATCGTAATATCACGAAATTGGGGAGAAAAAATAAAATATTAACAAGGAATAAATACACAGTGAATAACGAATAACAATCATGAGTAAAAATAACATGGCTATATATACAGGGAGTACCAGTACTGAGTCGATGTGCAGGGGTATGAGGTAATTGAAGTAGCTATATACATACACCCTCTAGACAGGAAGTGACACGTCACTGTGTTCTTACTCACCACAGCTGAAAGGCATGCTGGGTGTCCTTGTGTCACCGCCTCGGTCGATGACATCCACTTTGAACACACTATTTGGTAAGTGTCTGTGGTGTTGATTCACCTTCCTCATTGGAAGTCATCGAAGTCGTTCTGGACTTGGTGGTCTTTGGGAAGAGGCCTTAGTCCTGGTGGTATACCTTTACACATACAGTAAAGAACTATAGCCACAGCTTAGATTCAGTTATCATTATTTTTTACCATGCCTAGTGTGGTAGACATAATACACTAATGGAAATGTGTGTGTGTTTCTTCAGTGTTGGACAGGTGGTCAACATCAAGGCCAAAGTAAACCGAGCTTTCAACACTAGCATGGAGGTCAGGCCACGTTCAAACCCTTTAACACCTTAATAAAACCTATACCAAATAAGTCAAAATCCTAACGGGTGGATTTCCGACTGGACAATAGTTTAATTCCTGTGATTTTTATCCTGTGTAATGCTTTGTCTCAAGGTTGGCATCGTGGTGAAATGTGAGGACATGTTCAGCGATAGCCACTGGAGGGTGTGTCGGGCGTTTGCCACGTTTGTCACCCAGCGCACTACGGGAGGAAAGGTGAGATTTGATTGGGGACATAGTGTGTGGAAGAGCATTAATGAAAGGATGCCTTTATACAGATGGTGTGATGGTGTGTAAGTGTTGATGTTGAGTAATATTGAGATGACTGTGTGTGCATATGCTTACAGGTACTATATTAACCTGGTGTGTGTGTGTGTGTGTGCACTCAACAGGTGCAGCTGCGTCCATTGGTCCCCCGTACCCAGGCGGAGCAGGTTGAGCACAGCCTAGCAGCTGAGAGGAGGAGGATGAGGCTGGTCCACGCTGACATCATGAAGGATCTGCTCACCAACAGGGCCTTTCAACAAGGTCAGTCGCTGTGGCAGCGACCTCTGCAAGAGGAATATCATCACTATAGGAACTGTAATGGTGCATGCCACTTTATGCTAAGTAATGTTGAGTTTGTGTATGCTGGCAGGTGCTGTAATAACCTGTGTGTTTATGTGTGTGTGTGTTAGTGGAGGTCCAGGAGGCTGAGAAGGCGGTGCCAGCAGAGAGGACACGGGTAGAGAGTGTAGAGCTGGTTCTCCCGCCTCATGCCAACCACCAGGTCAACACGTTCGGAGGACAGATCATGGCCTGGATGGAGAACGTGGCTACTATCGCTGCTAGGTACCACACACATGGACATACACACACACACACACACTGTTAAACATGAACAGAAAACATGACACAAGCACAGTGTAATAAGAATGTAATTACACAGTAATGTAACATTTTCTGACACTTACTTTTTGATCCTCTGTGTTATCCACTCCTCCTCCTCCTCCTCCTCTTCCTCCTCATCATCTTCCTCTTCATCCTCCTTCGCTCATTCCTCCTCCTCCTCCACTTCTTCCTCTGCCTCCTCCTCCTCTTCTTCCTCCTCCTCTTCCTCCCTCTCCTCCTCCTCCTTCTCCTTCTCTCATTCCTCCTCCTCCTCTTCTTCTCACTCCTCCTCTTCCTCCTGCTCTCCCTCCTCCACCTCTTCCTCCTGCTCTCCACTCCTCCTCTACAGTCGTCTGTGTAACGCCCACCCCACCCTGCGGAGCATTGACATGTTCCATTTCAGGGGTCCCTCACAAGTGGGCGACCGGCTGGTCCTCAAAGCCATCGTTAACAACGCATTCAAGAACAGGTGAGCTTTAAATCATATACTGTATAAAGCAAAGCTATAAATTGGTTTGACAGTTTTTTGTATTTGAGTCTTTCAAATCAATGGTGATAAGGATCGGGAGAACTTGTGCTCACATTATTGATTGATTTACTGAGTCATTGATTGATTAATCTTGAATAAGTTCAAATTTCACTCATTAACTTCCATTGGAATGTTGAGCTGAGCTGAGATGGTCACGTGATTGGCTGTGTCCCTGTGCTTCTACACCTGCATTACTAGCTGTTTGGGGTTTTAGGCTGGGTTTCTGTACAGCACTTCGAGATATCAGCTGATGTACGAAGGGCTATATAAAATAAAATTGATTGATTGATTGATTGATGTCACAGCATGGAGGTGGGCGTGTGTGCGGAGGCCTATCAGGGGGAGGAGCCTCTGAGGCACATCAACAGCGCCTTCATGACCTTTGAGGTCTGCGACAGGGATGGCAAGCCCTGCATTTTGCCAAAAATACGACCCGAACCTCTGGTCAGAGTGAAATTAGTGAATACATTCTTATTTAGATTTTTATTAGTAGTTCATGAACAGTAATAATTTCACAATATTGTCCTCCTGTCTTATTTAACCTCTTTCACTGACAGGAGGGAAGGAGACGGTATCAGGAGGCCATCGCTAGAAATAAGATACGACTTGACAGGTGAAGAGAAGGATACTTCCTCTGAGCAACTTTAATCGTGACTGCAATGTAGCCTGCAAAGTATATGGTGCACACAATAGAATATCGTAACAGATCTCTGTGTGTCCATTCAGGAAGTACATCATATCCTGCAAGCAGACCGAGGTGCCCTTATCTGTGCCGTGGGACCTCAGCAACCAGGTAAAGGACGACGAGAGACCCTAACGTCACACAGTCCTGAATACACCCTCTGGTTCTCATTCTGGTTCTCACTCAACGTAGCAGTTGAAACAGTTTAGAATAGTACAGACGTTAGAGTTGAAATGCTGATTAAGATCCAAGATTGATCTAGAATGATAAGCACATCTCAGTCACGAGTAAGACCAAAGGTCATACATGCATGGGCCGATTTTATGGGCTGTCCAATCACTTGGGCCTTGAAATCAAATATAAAATGTATCGCAAGGTGATAGTGTTAGTGCTAAAGTGCCATGTCATGTCTAACTCTCCCAATGAAAACATTGTACTTACTGTGTTTGAAGCTGAACGACTGTCAAATGTGAAGAATAATTTTCTTTGAATGTATTGTGAATGGCTGCAGGTGTACCTAAGCTACAACAACGTGTCTGCTTTGAAAATGCTGGCCGCCAGAAACAACTGGGTGTTAAACTCTGAGAAAAACAAGGTGAGCTGGATTGAGACTTTTATTTAGGCTGTCCACAAGGCATAATGGATAGGGAGCCACTGTGGGACACAGGCTATGGCCATGGGGGCCCTGAGTCTTTCTCGATCTCAGTGCCTAACTAGACTCATGTTAAATTCAGGGCTCTAATCATGGCTTATGTAATGCCCCTCTGGCCCCCAGGTGAGCCTGTACACCCTGGAACAGAAGCAGGTGTTGAGTTTTAAGATTGAGTTTGAGGCAGACATCCCGGCTGAGAGGGCCTTCATGCTGCTCTCTGACCTCAGCAAGAGAGTGGAGTGGGACCCAAACTATGAGTGAGTATCTGTACACACACACACACACACACACACACACACACACACACACACACACACACACACACACACACACACACACACACACACACACACACACACACACACACACACACACACAGACAGACAGACACACTAACACAGGACCCTCTCTTAAGTGACTTATAAGGCCCCAAGAGTATACACTGCAGCCTCCCGCACATTTGCAGTATAGCATGTGTCACTCTGGCTTCTCCTGATTTCATTACTTTCCCTGTGTAGGAGGTGTGAGCTGATTCATAGGGTGGACGATGATGACTTTCTGTACCGCGTGGTTACTCCCTCCATATGCCGGGGTGGGGTCAGTAGCAGCCCTTCAGGCAATCAGGGAGGGAGGGTCCAGGACTTCATTCTCCTGGCCTCCAGGAGACCGCCGTGTGACAGCGGGTGAGTGGCAGATGGACCGACAGACAGACAGACAGACAGGCAAGCAGGCAGGCATTCAGACAGACAAACAGACAGACAGACGGACAGACAGAAAAATAGAGGAGAGACTGTGATAGAAATAAAAAAAATTGTTCTTCCAGGGACCCTTATGTTATTGCTCTGCGTTCGGTCACTCTACCCACTCACCCTCCTACAGAGGGCTACAACAGAGGGGAGGTGCTGTGTGCCGGCTTCAGCATCCTGGAGGTCTCCAAAACTGTATCCAAGGTAAGAAAGTGTGCAAACTGTAACTTTTAGTTCAAAAGTTCTGTATCTGCACTCGTTTGTAAACCAAAAGGGGGGGAGGGGGTCTTGGCAAATGTAATTGTTTGCCCAATGTGTTTGTAGTACCTTGACTTACCCCTGGGAAAATGAACATGACAGATGGCAACATTAATGATGAGGACAACTCCTATCTTGTATTTGGCCCTCCTAGATCTCCTACTTCAACCAGGCGTCTCCCGAGGTCCTGCCCTACATCTCCACAGACATCGCTGGGCTCTCCTCCAGCTTCTACGGCACCTTCTGCACCTGTAGCACCTTCCTCCAAGACAACAGGGACGACCCTACCCCCAAAGACCAACCACCCTCCTCAACACTGAAAAGTACACTACTGTAACCCCCTCTCCTCACCACTCTGACCCCCTCACCCTCGATGGATTGAACAGACTGCCATTAGATGATCTGATGATATTCAAGTCTTATTTTATTAGACTGAGTAATGTAAGGAGCCTGTTCATAGATCTGTTTGTGCTGTCTTGCCAGCTCATATGGCCATTGACAATGACGATGACCGTAGGAGTTGGTAAAACAAATCTGGGACCAGGCTAATGAAAGAGTATTTTTGGAGTATCTACAGTAAAATTGAGTGGATTAAACAGGGCTCAATCCAGTACCTGGAACGTTTTTTGGGATGTTAGCAATGCTCATGATCATCCCTAAATATGTGAAATATAAGAATTATTAGTATGAAAAACTATACTTAACATTTTTTCGGGCACTGATGGTTTTTAACAACGTTTTGCATCTCCAATTATAACTTGTGAAAATGATATGAGATTTTCAGAGAAAGAATACTAACTAGATGTTGTTGTTTTTTACTGAGAAGAGCTCAGCTAAGTTTCAGCTAAGTTACACATACGATAAGAATATCATATCTTAAACTACGGGCATTAAAAAAGTTATATATATAAAAAATCGAAACTACAAAGATGATTGTACAAAATAATTGCTAATAATTTTACAATAAATATTTTAAAATTAAATTGAATAGTTGTTTTTCATTGGTTTTAAATTACTTTAAATACAACAAAATATTAGATGAAAATGTAGCAAACTGTCATTTAAGAGGTGATCATGTCTTCACATCTTAGACCAGTAGTTCTCAGTTATAAAAAACAAGCTTCTGTCTTTGCTCCCAGAGAGGTTATCCATGATCGCCTGTGGTCCTGCTTCCTCATCAATCCCACTTTCTATCCCGGTCTCCACTGTGAGTGAGTACCATGACTGCACCTCCCGAATCCTCCTCTGTCCCTCCACAGACCTCCCTAGTTGCTCCGCCCTCACCTGCAGGGACACGGCCTGCCATGACCTCTTCAGTAAAACCTCCATGTCATCCACCATGGCCCTGGTATACCCCTCCCTCAGGGCTTCAAGAGGCCAGCTGGGGGCCAGGGTCACATAGGGGAACACCTGGTTGACTGTGTGGAGGAACTCCCTCCCAGAGATGTAGCCCTGGGTCTGGAAGGCTCCATGGGACAGAGCCATGTTGACCCAGACGGGGCGGTACAGGAGGTCGCTGTGGTAGGCTGAGCTGAGGAGGTGGAGAGAGGGTTCCAGCTGGCTCTGGGACTGGATCCTTAAGTAGATACCACAGGGTTTTGGAGAGGCCAGAACCAGGTTCAGGCAGTCCTGGAGAGGGAACTCTGGACGGGAGCCCTCCACCACTGGGACCCCAGGCTGGGCGGAACCAGATCCCACTGGAATGATGAGCATGCCACAGGCACTGTCTGCAAGAGATTATGATTCCATCAGGAGATTTGACCGCTGTATTCAATATTCAACTCTAGACAGTATGAATGTCACTGGACAAAAAAACTAAAAAATCTGTATAGAACCGATCATTTCAATTCTCTAAGGTTGCCATTTTGGTTACACCTTCATCATCATCATCACTCCTACCTGACAGCAGAGAAAGCAGTGAGGCTCTGTCTGTGACTGTGTTCCACTGGATGTACAGGCCATTTCTATATTTCGGCTGGAAATAGTCAATCAGGTCTCCTCCAGGGTAGAACCTCCTCTGCCGATCTCTCTGCTCTGCAGTCACACAAACTCAGTCCAGTTTACATTCATATCAGGATGGACTGGTTGGAAATACCATTTGGTTTTACTAGTTGTTGTTGAAAATACCTCATTTTGAAATACATTTTCAAGACAGGAATGTAAAATGGTAATAATAAGAAAGAATAAGCTAATGATTTGTATGACTGTACATAAGTCACTGTAGATAAGTGGTTCTCAATCCTCTCCTCGGGGACCCCCAGCAGTTCCACGTATTTGATCTATTCCAGAGCTGGCACACCTGATTCAACACGTCAACTAATCATCAAGCACTTAAATTGGTGAATCAGGTTAACTTGTTCAGAGCTACAACAAAATTCTGAAACGTCTGGTGGTCCCAGAGGAGAGATTTGAGAACCACTGCTGTAGATTGTATGAGGTAAAGGATTTGTGAGTTTCACAGGGTTTTGCCTTACTGGCAGCTTCTTTAAACTGGGACAGGACAGGTTCATAGATGTCATAGTAGACCCGCTTAGGGTTGGTGTTGTCTCTGACGAACAGCAGGTCATTCACACTGGGGTTCTTTTCCTGGCCCTGCCACAGAGTCAGACTGAACCTGTACACAGGGACAGACAGCTTATCTCATTGACCACTATTCAGAAAAGCGTAGCCTCCACCAGTGTGATTGGAAGATATGAAAGTCACGACTAGATAAATTACTGTATAGGACCTGTTCCAGTTACCTTGGTGACTGGCTGAGCAGCCAGCTGATGTGAGGCCATCCGTTCTTGGCCATGAGCGCATGGATGGGGAAGGTGACTGTCTGAGGGACATTTTTGATGATGGCGTACATGTCCCCCACCATGGCCTGTGTGTAAGTGACGTTAGGGAACTGGGGCAGATACAGAACCGCCCATCCAGGAGAGATGGTCACGTCTGGAAAACTCTGCTGGATCATTGCCAAGAACCTGAATGGAGCCAGGATAGTTGGGTATAAACCCTGAGATCATGTTAGATCTCCAAGTCAGACATTGACATGTAATAAAGCACTGGTATCTTAAATTGAATAAGATAAATCAATCTGGTCATGATTATTGTGAAAGAAAAGGTTGAAACTAAATTGTACTTGGCAATCCATCCTGCTGGTCCGAGATCTGTATGTGAAAGGAGTTTGCTAAAGCATAAAGCAAAATACAGGTCTGGGATCTGGCTAATATGATTGCTCTTTCCTTGCTACTCACTCAGGTCCGTCGATGACAGGCCAGAAGGCTGGGACGTTGGGACCAGGGAGGATGTCAGCGTTCAGCCACACCGGCCGGTTGATGCCTTTAGTCTGGTTCTTCATGCTCAGGATGTCCAGAGAAGGAGTCACCGCCTGGATGCATTTGAAGTCCAGCTTTATACCTGAAGGAGTCATTTGTATTACAGACATGTTGTACGTAATACGAAAGTACATCAAATTTCACGTGATTATGCATAGCTTAGATCAAATCAAATCAAATCAAATTTTATTGGCCACATGCGCCGAATACAACAGGTGCAGACATTACAGTGAAATGCTTACTTACAGCCCTTAACCAACAGTGCATTTATTTTTAATAAAAAAGTAAAATAAAACAACAACAAAAAAGTGTTGAGAAAAAAAGAGCAGAAGTAAAATAAAATAACAGTAGGGAGGCTATATATACAGGGGGGTACCGGTGCAGAGTCAATGTGAGGGGGCACCGGCTAGTTGAGGTAGTTGAAGTAATATGTACATGTGGGTAGAGTTAAAGTGACTATGCATAAATAATTAACAGAGTAGCAGCAGCGTAAAAAGATGGGGTGGGGGCAGTGCAAATAGTCCGGGTAGCCATGATTAGCTGTTCAGGAGTCTTATGGATTGGGGGTAGAAGCTGTTGAGAAGTCTTTTGGACCTAGACTTAGCACTCCGGTACCGCTTGCCGTGCGGTAGCAGAGAGAACAGTCTATGACTAGGGTGGCTGGAGTCTTTGACAATTTTGAGGGCCTTCCTCTGACACCGCCTGGTATAGAGGTCCTGGATGGCAGGAAGCTTGGCCCCAGTGATGTACTGGGCCGTACGCACTACCCTCTGTAGTGTCTTGCGGTCGGAGGCCAAGCATTTGCCATACCAGGCGGTGATGCAACCAGTCAGGATGCTTTCGATGGTGCAGCTGTAGAATTTTTTGAGGATCTGAGGACCCATGCCGAATCTTTTCAGTCTCCTGAGGGGGAATAGGCTTTGTCGTGCCCTCTTCATGACTGTCTTGGTGTGTTTGGACCATGATAGTTCGTTGGTGATGTGGACACCAAGGAACTTGAAGCTCTCAACCTGTTCCACAACAGCCCCGTCGATGAGAATGGGGGCGTGCTCAGTCATCTTTTTTTCCCTGTAGTCCACAATCATCTCCTTTGTCTTGGTCACGTTGAGGGAGAGGTTGTTATCCTGGCACCACACGGCCAGGTCTCTGACCTCCTCCCTATAGGCTGTCTCATTGTTGTCGGTGATCAGGCCTACCACTGTTGTGTCGTCGGCAAACTTAATGATGGTGTTAGAGTCGTGCCTGGCCATGCAGTCATGGGTGAACAGGTAGTACAGGAGGGGACTGAGCACGCACCCCTGAGGGGCCCCCGTGTTGAGGATCAGTGTGGCAGATGTGTTGTTACCTACCCTTACCACCTGGGGGCGGCCCGTCAGGAAGTCCAGGATCAAGTTGCAGAGGGAGGTGTTTAGTCCCAGGATCCTTAGCTTAGTGATGAGCTTTGAGGGCACTATGGTGTTGAATGCTGAGCTGTAGTCAATGAATAGCATTCTCACGTAGGTGTTCCTCTTGTCCAGGTGGGAAAGGGCAGTGTGGAGTGCAATAGAGATTACATCATCTGTGGATCTGTTGGGGCGGTATGCAAATTGGAGTGGGTCTAGGGTTTCTGGGATAATGGTGTTGATGTGAGCCAAGATCCTTTTGGATAATTGATTGACTTTATAGATTGGTACTAAAGGACCAGAAGAAGCTGTTTCACTAGGCTCTAACTGATATTTAAAGTTGAATTGATATCTAAAGTCGTATTGATAGGTTTGATACCTTTCTTTGACTGGAGCACGGCGTCCAGCCACTGGTCCAGAGTGTTGTCACTGTAGACAGCAGGAGGATGAGCCATGATGGGGATGGTGGTCATGTTGACCGTGGCGTATCCCTGTACAGTCACATCAGCTTCCAGAACCATGATAGAACCTAGAGAGGGGGACAGAACAGGGTTGTGTTCATTAGCCACCAAATGGATGAAAACAAACTGAAACAGGGAGGGACTACCTGAATGTGTCCAATATGAAACACTCTTTTTCATTTTCCATTGGGAAAAGTTTTGCTACGGTATGTCCTAAATGAATGCTACTGCAAATCCCCTCTGTATACTGTCAAATGTAGACTTGATGTTTACACTTTCTGTACTATACCTGCTAAAGTTACATAGAATTCATAGAATTCAGAGAACAATGCATCTTTTATAAAAAAATAAACATTACTTTGCAGTGCTTTGTTCATCTCTGACTTGTTGTTGGCACGGTGATACCAGGTGGCGTGCAGCGCGTCTCTCTCCCTGATGTCTCCAGTTTGGACGAGGAAGTCCATCATGTCTCCATCAGTAGGGAATGGCAGGACCGTCTCAGAGGTCCCTATAGTAGGCACAGGGACAGTTATTATCTTCCAGTCACAGATGATTAGCTATCGTAACCTGTAGCCCTTATCGATATGGAAACTGTAGTTCTAGTGATAAAAATACAAGCAAGGCGTAACGTAGATTACAGTAGATACAAAGGCCATTTCAACATTATTGTAAAAAATATTGAAATTGTTATTAAGATCAACAGATTATATATTTAAATTGATTATTATGCTGATTAATTTGTATTCTGTGTTCAGTAAGTAAATAACTGTTGATTGTATATATATATTTTTAAGGATAGATTTACCTCCATTTTGAGTCAGGACAACAGAGGTAATGGTGATGATCAGAAGCAGCACAAGCAGAGCAACACCGACACACAGCATGACCAACTGTTCTTTAGTAAAGTATCGACAGTATCTCCTCTGATCTTTATGCTCTTCTTCCTCTTCCTTCTTTCCTTCTTCAAATGTTTTCTTTCTCAATGCATCGTTCCCTTCTGCATACGTTCTCTCTGTCCTTTCCTCCTCCATGAGATCTCTAAGCTGTGACAAGTGCAGTCAGTCAGTGCAGACAGGCAGACAAGGAATGTTGGACTGTTGTCGAGGGGGAGAAAGTGTAGTGTTTTATAATGAGTGAACACGTGTGTGTGTGTGTGTGTGTGTGTGTGTGTGTGTGTGTTTGTGTGTGTGCTATCTACTTTCCTGCACGGGCCAGCCAATGAGTGTTATCTATGGACCAGAGATCACAGTGATTACAGAGCAGATATAGAGAATACAGAGCACTATCTCACCTCTCTCATCTCATTCTTATGACTCTCTACCCTTGGATTCAGGGAGAACTAGCCTATTGTTTTTTCACGGGTCAAGGATGAACTTAGAAGATAAACGTGTGGTGGCCTAATGATTTATAACCAAATACATTTATCCAATAAGTGATGGATTAATTATTTATACACTTTTATCTGAAGATATTTATTGATAACTACAGGTGTGATATGGAGTTGATTGTCCAGCACACTGTATTCTAATGTCACTCTTTCAGCTAATCAGAACAATAATAATAATAATAATAATATGCCATTTAGCAGACACTTTTATCCAAAGCGACTTACAGTCATGTGTGCATAAATTTTTACGTATGGGTGGTCCCGGGGATCGAACCCACTACCCTGGCGTTACAAGCGCCATGCTCTACCAATTGAGCTACAGAGGACCAACATTGTTTTTCTCCAGACAACAGGGTTGTGTTCATTATTGCATGCAATAGAAAACGTTAAAATATTTTGCAACATAAAACAAAAATGTACGTTTATAAATGGACTAGTCCAGGTAGTCCCTCCCTGTTTCAATCCATTTTCTTCCATTTGGTGCCTAATGAACATGACCCAGTGTTTCACTGATGAACCGTGTGAAGGACAGACAGTCCCATACCGCACCGACAGCATACCCACTGGACACACACTGGTTGAATCAACATCGTTTCCATGTCATTTCAACAAAATTACGATGAACCAACGTGGAATAGATGTTGAATTGACGTCCATGCCCAGTATGTATTTTGACCATGGTAAACCAGCCGTCTCATAGACTAGATGTATCATAGTAAACGTAAATCAAAAATGAGTATGATATGTTACGTTTGGTATGGTTACATAACACAGAAGGTTACAGAGTTAGGCCTCTATTCAATCAGATCCGCTTTAGCCAACTTCAGCATAGCGGTTGTTTTGGCAGTGTCAGAGGTGGAACTGTGTTAGAGCTGTCAAATCCACAAGCAGCTCCTGGCATTATAGGCCTACCTAAAAGGGACACTGCCATTGGCTGCATGGAGTCGATTTAAGAGAAACCCCATGCAGCCATGTTTACAAGTTTGAACACTGGAATGTGAGATGTAGCCTAATCTATACCTCGATTAGACTGATATAAATTATTTAGTTTAATGATTTTCAATTTGAGCGTGATTATTTCTATATATGGGTGATTTTGCAAATATGGGCCTTTTTGTGTCTCAGGGTTAGATTTTTAAGATAACATTTGTATTTTGTATTTGTTATTTCACTGACATTAAGTAGAGACTAAAATAACCTTTAACTTTTTTTTTCAGCTTCCAATATGTTTCAATTTTGTATATTTCACTGTTTTGCACAGTGTTTGTCCTTTCTCACACCCATACTTTTGACATTCTGTTATGTATTACACTTACAAAAGTCTTGATAATTATAAAATATTGAATGCACCTCAAATAAGTCAAATAAATGGAAACTATATACATATTAGATGTGCATAAGCAATTAGTTACTTTTTTTTTTTATACACAAAATACAGTCCTCTCTAAGTATTGTGTCATTACCACCACCACAAGCAAATAACATGATAACGTTTTTTCAAAGGTTTGTGTTCTTAGTTACCATGGATATGAATAGTGAGCACATGGATGTCACAGAGGGAGATTCAAATGTTGATGCCGGGAAAGGATAGAAAAATAAAGGTAAATATGACTTGAGAAGATAATATCGTTACCAAATAGGCTATAATTTCATCAAATTATGATACATTGTATGCTAGCTGTTCAACTGGAGTTAGCGTGCTAGAATCCCTGCTATTTATGACCAAATACTGTAAAAATTACATTCTCACCACACATCATTACCACCACATAATAAACTGTGATGGTAAGGACAGAATGTGGTGGTAATGACAAAATGTATTAGTTAATAAATGTTTACTTACATTAAGACCTGAAAATGCACACAAATTACATTACATTTACATTTTAGTCATTTAGCAGACGCTCTTATCCAGAGCGACTTACAGTTAGTGCATACATTATTTTATCGAACCCACAACCCTGGCGTTGCAAACGCCATGCTCTACCAACTGAGCTACATCCCCTGCCGGCCATTCCCTCCCCTACCCTGGACGACGCTGGGCCAATTGTGCGCGCCGCCCCATGGGTCTCCCGGTCGCGGCCGGCTACGACAGAGCCTGGATTCGAACCAGGATCTCTAGTGGCACAGCTAGCACCACTGCGCCACTCGGGCCCTATGATTATGGTTAAGTTGAAATTGAACACTTATTTGCTAAATAAGACCATTACATTTTGTATTATGTTAGGCTGATTGAGTGACTTTGCCCCTCAAATGGTACCGGATTCCCCCTCCTGTTCAAACTTGAAAACCCTTAGACAGAGAGGCCGTAGAAAGGTGCAAAAAAACAGATCCAAAGTCTACAGGGATCTACAGTGAGGGAAACAAGTATTTGATCCCCTGCTAATTGTGTAAGTTTGCCCACTGACAAAGACATGATCAGTCTATAATTTTAATGGTAGGTTTATTTGAACAGTGAGAGACAGAATAACAACATAAAAATCCAGAACAACGCATGTCAAAAATTTTATGAATTGATTTGCATTTTAATGAGGGAAATAAGTATTTGACCCCTCTGCAAAACATGACTTAGTACTTGGTGGAAAAACCCTTGTTGGCAATCACAGAGGTCAGATGTTTCTTGTAGTTGGCCACCAGGTTTGCACACATCTCAGGAGGGATTTTGTTCCACTCCTCTTTGCAGATCTTCTCCAAGTCATTAAGGTTTCGAGGCTGATGTTTGGCAACTCGAACCTTCAGCTCCCTCCACAGATTTTCTATGGGATTAAGGTCTGGAGACTGGCTAGGCCACTCCAGGACCTTAATGTGCTTCTTCTTGAGCCACTCCTTTGTTGCCTTGGCCATGTGTTTTGGGTCATTGTCATGCTGGAATACCCATCCACGACCCATTTTCAATGCCCTGGCTGAGGGAAGGAGGTTCTCATCCAAGATTTGACGGTACATGGCCCCGTCCATCATCCCTTTGATGCGTTGAAGTTGTCCTGTCCATTTAGCAGATAAACACCCACAAAGCATAATGTTTCCACCTCCATGTTTGACGGTGGGGATGGTGTTCTTGGGGTCATAGGCAGCATTCCTCCTCCTCCAAACATGGCGAGTTGAGTTGATGCCAAAGAGCTCGATTTTGGTCTCATCTGACCACAACACTTTCACCCAGTTCTCCTCTGAATCATTCAGATGTTCATTGGCAAACTTCAGACGGGCCTGTATATGTGCTTTCTTGAGCAGGGGGACCTTGCGGGCGCTGCAGGATTTCAGTCCTTCAAGGCGTAGTGTGTTACCAATTGTTTTCTTGGTGACTATGGTCCCAGCTGCCTTGAGATCATTGACAAGATCCTCCCGTGTAGTTCTGGGCTGATTCCTCACCATTCTCATGATCATTGCAACTCCACGAGGTGAGATCTTGCATGGAGCCCCAGGCCGAGGGAGATTGACAGTGCTTTTGTGTTTCTTCCATTTGCAAATAATCGCACCAACTGTTGTCACCTTCTCATCAAGCTGCTTGGCGATGGTCTTGTAGCCCATTCCAGCCTTGTGTAGGTCTACAATCTTGTCCCTGACATCCTTGGAGAGCTCTTTGGTCTTGGCCATGGTGGAGAGTTTGGAATCTGATTGATTGATTGCTTCTGTGGACAGGTGTCTTTTATACAGGTAACAAGCTGAGATTAGGAGCACTCCCTTTAAGAGTGTGCTCCTAATCTCAGCTCGTTACCTGTATAAAAGACACCTGGGAGCCAGAAATCTTTCTGATTGAGAGGGGGTCAAATACTTATTTCCCTCATTAAAATGCAAAATAAATTTATAACATTTTTGACATGCGTTTTTCTGGATTTTGTTGTTGTTATTCTGTCTCTCACTGTTCAAATAAACCTACCATTAACATTATACACTGATCATTTCTTTGTCAGTGGGCAAACGTACAAAATCAGCAGGGGATCAAATACTTTTTTCCATCACTGTATGTATGAACAATATGAAGTTGGAGGCCGCGGAAAGAAAACTGAGAAAGTATAAAACAATATATGATAGATTGTCAGAGAAGATCCGCATTTTGGATTCCCCAGATCAAAAATACAACACCAAATGCGGTCAAAGCCACAGAATCTGAGAAGAATACTTCTGTTCCATAACACCATCATCTCAGAGCTGTGAGAGAAATACCAGAAGCAACAGAGTGCAAAAGACCAACAAGTGATATGCAAGGTTTTGGCTGGGAAAATACTGAAACAGTATTGCATGGTGAAAATGGCACAAAGATAATTTGAATTCTCCGCGAAGACAATGCGGGTAAACAACAAACGGCCAACCTGTCTGCAGTACTCAAGAAATAAACATTTGAATGCAATCAGCCCAGCAATAGAAGATTAAATAAAAAGGTTATTTGAATGTGATAACAGTCAAGCATCAAAAGGAAAAAGGGACACATTGACAAGACACAATAATAAAATGCAGAAGTGATAACTGAACGACACACTGGCAAAACTCTATCAGAAGTTCAAGATAGAACTACCAGAGGTCAAACTGTCATACACAGAGCTCACCAAAAGATGTCCCTTTAGGATTGTCAATCCATCAGTGAAAGACAATATCAGACATCAGTACTCCACATTAAAAGGTCAGAGAAAATCTTAGAGAAGTTGACCTAATCCTTCATGTGGATTTCGCCGAGAACTACCTATGCATGTATGCCTCTGAAATACTGGCGGTGCATTTTGGTGACTCTCACCAGCAGACAACACTTCACACTGGGGTTGTATGCACTAAAGAAGGTGTTGTGTCAGTGTGCTCAGTAAGCTCATCAATGCGTCATGACCCCTCAGCAATTTTGACACCTCTCCAAAATTCTCTCCCACCTCTGTGAGTTGAATCCATCTGCCACTGTCCTCCATGTTGTAAGTGATGGACCAACCACACAGTACAGATCCTAGAAGAATGTATTCTACCTGAGCACAATTCCACTTCAACTGGGGTTTCAGAAGATCACCTGGGATTTTTTGGAGGCTGGACATGGGAAAGGTCCTGCGGATGGAATCGGTGCAGCTGTGAAGAGAAAAGCTGATTTGATGGTGGCAAAAGAAAAGGACCTTCAGAACGGAAAAGTTTTCTACGGGGAACTTTCAAAAGAGCAGTCAAATGTGAAGCTCTTTTACGTCACAGAGCAAGAGATTGAGAAAATGGATCCCCTGCTACCAGATCGTCACGAGACGATCCGTGGAACAATGAAAATACACCAGGTAATATTTAATGTAAAACTATAGATTTGTAATGACAAAATGTAGATCAAATTGTAGATTTTCAAATCACTCTTTATCTTTTAATTCTGTTAACACTTTTAGTAAACACTTAAATTACTCAATATAATGTGTTAGAGATTTCCTGTATGTTCATTAATTTAAGAAATATTCTATGCATTTACAGATCGTCACTGCGATCGCAGGACAAATTACATGGAGAGTTCTAAGTTGTTTCTGTTCAACTACACATATATGTGATTGTTTTGGCCTACAGACCATGATAATTCAACAGAGGCAGACAAAGCACAACCTTCCACTTCAACCTGCACAGCACCACAGCTGTGGGGCAATTAGGGGTTTCAATTAGGGGTCAATAGGGGTTTCAAACTAAACCCTATATACTGCCATGTGTCTACCCTGTGTTAAACTGAATTTATAAAAATACAAGCAAGTCACCTACCAATCCACACACTTGACAAACATTAAATAGTTTATAATGCTTTGAGGCAGGTATTAACAATAGGAAGACAGGTTGAGTAAGTGCATTGGCTGACAGATACAGTAAATATTCCATGTACATTATGAAGAGAGGTGCTTAGACTGTCTGTCACGCCCTGGCTCTGGGGACGCTTGTATGTTGAGCCAGGGTGTGAGTGTTCTTTATGTTTTGTGCTCGTTGTGTCCGTTCTAGTGTTGTATTTCTATGTTGGCCGGTGTGGTTCTCAATCAGAGGCAACGTGTATCAGCTGTTGCTTGTTGTCTCTGATTGGGAACCATACTTAAGCAGCCAGTTTTCCCACAGTGTTTGTGGGATCTTGTTTCCAGTGTGGTTTGTGTTAGACCGAGGACGTCACGTTATCGTTTGTTGTTTTTGTTCGTGTAATCACTAATAAAAAAGTATGTTCGCATTCAACGCTGCGCCTTGGTCCTCTGTTCCCGACGATCGTGACAGAAGATCCCACCAAAACTGGACCAAGCAGCGTGTCCAGGAGCCATCGCCAGGGGAATCTCTAGCGGATCGCCTTTGCAACCTCGACTGGGCCAAGCCAAGTGAAGAGCAGAGAGGTTGGACTTTGGAGCAGTGGTGTAAGAGTCTCGACTGGGCCAAGCCAAGTGAAGAGCAGAGGTTGGACTTTGGAGCAGTGGGGTGAGAGTCTGGCGAGAGATATGGAGGCCTGGTCCACGGGGAGGAGAGACACCCAGAACATTTTTAGGGGGGGGCTCACGCCGTGGACGACGGGGCAGCAGGAGGCCGCGATAGAGCGGTCCAGCGGGTTGGCAGAGGAGGCCGCCAGGTTACGGGGGCCACTGGTCACAAAGGGGAAGGAAAGTGTAGAGGCACGGCGAGAGGTACTGGGGTGTGTTACCAGTCCGGTCCGGCCCGTTCCTGATCCCCGCGTAGGGCCAGTGGTGTGTGTCCCCAGTACGGTCCGGCCTGTTCCTGTTCCTCGCATCGAGCCTGTGGTGCGCGTCGCCAGCCCGGTCCGGCCTGTTCCTGCTCCCCGCATCGAGCCTGTGGTGCGCGTCGCCAGCCCGGTCCGGCCCGTTCCTGCTCCCCGCACCAAGCCTATGGTGCACGTCGCCAGCCCGTCCCGGCCTGTTCCTGCTCCCCGCACCAAGCCTATGGTGCGCGTCGCCAGCCCGGTCCGGCCTGTTCCTGCTCCCCGCACCGAGCCTATGGTGCGCGTCGCCAGCCCGGTCTGGCCTGTTCCTGCTCCCCGCATCGAGCCTGTGGTGCGCGTCGCCAGCCCGGTCCGGCCTGTTCCTGCTCCCCGCACCAAGCCTATGGTGCACGTCGCCAGCACGGCCCGGCCTGTTCCTGCTCCTCGCACCAAGTCAGTGGTGCGCGTCGCCAGCCCGGCCCGGTCCATTCCTGCTCTCCGCACCAAGTCAGTGGTGCGCTTCGTCAGCCCGGCTCGGCCTGTTCCTGCTCCCCACACCAAGCCAGTGGTGTGCGTCGTCAGTCCGGCACAGCCCGTGCCTGTTCCACCGGTGCCTGGTCCGGTACCGGTCAGCTGCTCCACGTCGGAGCTAGAGCAATCCGCTCCACCAGTGTTCAGTCCAGCTCCGGCCAGCAGGGCCAGACCGGACCAGGGGTACTGTGGGGGGTTAGAGAGGGAGTGGGGATCATGCCCAGAGCCGGATCCGCCGCCAAGGCGGAGTGCCCACCCGGTCCCTCCCCTGTGGTGTTCTGTTGGCGCGGTCGGAGTCCGCGCCTTTGGGGGGGGGGGGCTACTGTCACGCCCTGGCTCTGGGGACGCTTGTATGTTGAGCCAGGGTGTGAGTGTTCTTTATGTTTTGTGCTCGTTGTGTCCGTTCTAGTGTTGTATTTCTATGTTGGCCGGTGTGGTTCTCAATCAGAGGCAACGTGTATCAGCTGTTGCTTGTTGTCTCTGATTGGGAACCATACTTAAGCAGCCAGTTTTCCCACAGTGTTTGTGGGATCTTGTTTCCAGTGTGGTTTGTGTTAGACCGAGGACGTCACGTTATCGTTTGTTGTTTTTGTTTGTGTAATCACTAATAAAAAAGTATGTTCGCATTCAACGCTGCGCCTTGGTCCTCTGTTCCCGACGATCGTGACACTGTCATAGACAGGATCATTCTAAGTTCACTTGAGCATTAAGATGAAGTGTTATTTTTGAGTGATCCCTTTTTTGAGTCCATAAGAAAACCCAATTGGACAATTCAAATCTACTTATTATCGGATTTTCCTCTCCAGAGCAGTTGGCGGTCTGTTAGTGGTTTTCTCAGGCAGCACCAGTCTAATCCTTCTGGGTGAGCCTTCTGCTGAGGACAGGTACTCCTGTAGAACAGGGGCGGCCACGGGGTTCATACTGTTGTTGTTAGAGAGACTCTCTACATTTAGTGAGCCTGGACCTGAACTAGAACCCTGAGCAAGCTGAGAGATATTCTGCTCATTTAGTGATCCAGGACCCTGAGCAAGCTGAGAGATTACCTGCCCATTTAGTGATCCAGGACCCTGAGCAAGCTGAGAGATATTCTGCTCATTTAGTGATCCAGGACCCTGGGCAAGCTGAGAGATATTCTGCTCATTTAGTGATCCAGGACCCTGGGCAAACTGAGATATATTCTGCTCATTTAGTGATCCAGGACCCTGAGCAAGCTGAGAGATATTCTGCTCATTTAGTGATCCAGGACCCTGAGCAAGCTGAGAGATATTCTGCCCATTTAGTGATCCAGGACCCTGGGCAAGCTGAGATATATTCTGCTCATTTAGTGATCCAGGACCCTGAGCAAGCTGAGAGATATTCTGCCCATTTAGTGATCCAGGACCCTGAGCAAGCTGAGAGATATTCTGCTCATTTAGTGATCCAGGACCCTGAGCAAGCTGAGAGATATTCTGCTCATTTAGTGATCCAGGACCCTGAGCAAACTGAGAGATATTCTGCTCATTTAGTGATCCAGGACCCTGGGCAAGCTGAGATATATTCTGCCCATTTAGTGATCCAGGACCCTGAGCAAACTGAGATATATTCTGCTCATTTAGTGATCCAGGACCCTGGGCAAACTGAGATATATTCTGCTCATTTAGTGATCCAGGACCCTGAGCAAGCTGAGAGATATTCTGCTCATTTAGTGATCCAGGACCCTGAGCAAGCTGAGAGATATTCTGCCCATTTAGTGATCCAGGACCCTGGGCAAGCTGAGATATATTCTGCTCATTTAGTGATCCAGGACCCTGAGCAAGCTGAGAGATATTCTGCCCATTTAGTGATCCAGGACCCTGAGCAAGCTGAGAGATATTCTGCTCATTTAGTGATCCAGGACCCTGAGCAAGCTGAGAGATATTCTGCTCATTTAGTGATCCAGGACCCTGAGCAAACTGAGAGATATTCTGCTCATTTAGTAATCCAGGACCCTGGGCAAGCTGAGATATATTCTGCCCATTTAGTGATCCAGGACCCTGAGCAAGCTGAGATATATTCTGCTCATTTAGTGATCCAGGACCCTGGGCAAGTGGAGAGATATTCTGCCCATTTAGTGATCCAGGACCCTGGGCAACCTGAGACATATTCTGCCCATTTAGTGATCCAGGACCCTGGGCAACCTGAGACATATTCTGCCCATTTAGTGATCCAGGACCCTGGGCAAGTGGAGAGATATTCTGCCCATTTAGTGAACCAGGACCCTGTGCAAGCGGCAATATATTCTGCCCATTTAGTGAGCCTGGACCCTGGGCAAGCAGAGTGAGATCTACCACTCTTTGGAGTACTGGAAACTGGGCTGGCTGAGAGCCGATCATGGCCCCCTGGTTAAAGTTGCCTGGAACTGACTGTGACAACAGCTGAATCAGTGGATTTACAGGTGAGCTCCCTGCATTGCCTGTATATAGTGGGGATGTGTGTGGGATGTTAGTCAGTAAAGATGGCGGACCTAAACTGCCTTGTCTACTCAGACTTTGAGCCTGTGAGTTGCCACCGTAAATGGTGTTTGGTGCAACAGTGTTTTGTAATAGTATAGAGTTTCCTCCCTGGACAGCAAGGTTACTGTAACTGGAAGTCCTTTCCATTCCTTTGAGGGACTTTGCTGCTGACAGTTGTGGGCTACTCAATGCCCTCTGAAGAGTCACTCCATCGCTTAGGTAACCGGGGTGTTGGGGCACCTCAGTGATCAGTGCTTGGCCTTGTCCATTTCTGTATTGTTCCACCTGTTGCCCATGGGTTGAACTCTCACCAGCTCTGTTGAGGTATGACTGGTAAGGACTCACATTACTTGGTATAGGTGCTCCACCAGATTCCTCTGTTTCTCCTCCAGTTTTATCTTGTGAGACTTCGGTCTTCTGATCTTGAGCAGCTCTACTCTCCTTGGAATGGTCACCATTCGAGCCCTCCTGATATTTTGATTTTGAGGTTGTCTTTTTTTGCTTGGAGGATGCATTGTTTTCCTGTGGCACTGGATCTTCCTTCTCTTGATCATCATCATCTTCATTGTCATCAGTTTCTTTAGACTTAGTGGTGGTAGATATCTTTTTGGATGACTGATTGGCTTTGTTTTTGTGAGACGAGTTTCCTTTATTGGATTTGTCTGTTTTTTCTATAGACTCTTCCTGGTTGTGCCTTTTGCCTTTGGCATATTTACCCCTCATTTTCAGTTGTTTTCGGTTCTTGGAGTCAGTTCGTTCTCTATCACCCTGTTCTAGTTTCTCGTGGCTGTTTTTCCCTGGATGGACCTTGCTTTTCTTAAGAGGGTTAAGGTTGAGCTTCACTTTTAGTAAACCATCTGACTGGGCTTTATGTTTATCCCTTTTGGAGTGGTCCTCTCTTTCAAGACCATTACTCCTCACAGATCGTCCAATGCTTTCATAGCTCAGGATCTGTTTATCACCATATTCCGCTTTCCTATAACTTTTAATCCTGTCATGTTTACCTTTCCTATCATGGTTCATCCTTTGTACATCAACGACATGCACTCCAGATCTTTCCAAGTCAAAAGTCACACTCCTCTGCTTGATTGCATGCTTTGCATAGATATCCATATTAGACTGGTTGTAGTTCATGTTCCTTCGGATGTTTAGTCTTGTCAGTGGGTTGTGGTTGGGAGAACCATCATACCCAGCAGATTCTCTTGAATTGACTTCATACAATACATCTCTGACTTTCTCCCCTGGCTGTCCGTACTCATAGGTTCTGTAACAGTTCACACAGCTGACGGTTTGGGGTTGGTAGTCAGGTACAGGTCTACCATGCTCTGATTGGAAGTCCATTTTTGACGGTCTGTAGTCAAGGCCTACGTGATTTCCAGGCCTTACCATCTCATCTTTTAGACTTTTATGTGTGGGCATGTTTCTATGTGGAGGTGAATAGTAACTGCTGCCACCCAATAGCTTATTGTTGCCATTAGGACCATCATGGCTTTTTATATTAAAACCCTGCTGGTGATAGAGTAACTCCTCCTGACTAAGAATATGGTTGCTCTGACCCTCTGGTGGCCCGACCAATAACCTTTGACCCCTTAGATCTGTGAATGACAACAGGGAAAGAGAGTTAGACAAAGCATCTGCAGTTTGTGTGCGTGTGTCTGCCTATAGTCTCATCACTGATATAATCCTAATCAGTCTATGCAGTGAAATATGAATCAAAACATGCTCACCTTCTGTCTTTGACATGAGTGTTTGCTGGGGCACATGTCTCTTCCTCTCATCGCTCTCCTCTGTCATGGCCAGACTCTCCATCTTGTTGGGCTGGCCTCCTCCTTGTCTGAGCATGTGCAGGGCTGCCCCTAAGTGTCCATCTCCTACCCCCTGTTCAATTGCAGACCCACTGACTGTAGGGCCACAATGGGGGCATGTAAAATGGCTGCCATCTTTGCCTATTCTCAGGTCAAACATGGCTCTCTCCCTGTCCCAGGGCTGAAGGTGGCTATTGGGAATCATCAGCTTGGTTTCCAGTCCCATTTGAGCCATACGTAGGGCCTCATTCTCCCTGCTCAGATCCCACTGGGTGACTGTTTGGGTGGGAGCTGTCCTCCCACTCTCCTCCTCCTTAGCTCCAGTCCTGTCTCTCCAGACCTTGAGGCTCTTGTTCATCCCCAGTTTACGGTAAACGATATACACCACAGCTAGGGTGAGTCCAACGCCACCTATACGTTATTAGCATAGTTATGAGTTACAGCTGACTGACCTAAGCTTTATGTAGTGGGATAAAATAAAAAACACACTTTACTTTACAGTGTTGATACACTTTACAGAGTTGCATGATACAGAAGTCACATTGTCCTATACAATTTCATATATTTACCACTATTTGAGTAGAGAAAAGTTACGTGTGGCTAGAAAGTGGCCATGGAGGATGTAGTTTCTGAGGTACTGACCAGCGAAGCAGAAGGCTGCAGCCAGAGCCAGGTCTCTGGTATAGCGCTGAGAGGAGATGGAGTTCTTAGCCTCAACCTGCACTGTGATGTTCTGATTGGGCGGAACACAGTTGGCCTCTGTCAGCTCCAGCACAGTCTTCACTGCCGGGTTGTCAGAACTCACACACACCATCCTACGCCCATTGAACAGTACCTGAACAAGAATGTTATTTTAGTAATCATCCTGTTACAACAATGATAACAACACACATCTACATAGCACCTTTCATACAATATAGTTTATACACCATAGATTCATAAAGCACCTTTCTTATAATACTTGCAGGCAGCCAAAGTATGTGTAACCCCTAATTCAAAATAATAAAACACATTGGTAAAAAAAGGAATACAATAAATCAAAGTATAAAAAGAAAACTGAAGATAACAACCTTATCCGGAGCCTCCATATAGCTGGTGAGGAAAGACGCCAGCTCCCTCAGCTCACACGTACAGTCCCACCGGTTTAGTTCCAGGTTCAGACTAGACATCCACGACAGGTACGAAAACGCCTCTGTCGGGGCACTCCGGAGCTGATTCCTGGACAGATCCAGACTCCGGAGCCCCAGCAGGCCCCGGAAGCTATCCCTCCCCAGATATGTGATCAGATTATCGGACAGATCCAGGATCTCCAGCCCCTGGAGGTCAGCCGAGGCAAAGGTGGTGGCATCCAGCCTGGAGAGGTGGTTCCCCTCCAGCTGCAGCGTCCGCAGGGCCCCAGCGGCGTGGAACCAGGAGCCGTTGACCTCCCCCAGGGCGTTGTTCCCCAGCTGGAGGATCTCCAACCTGGGCAGCCAGGAGAAAGTGTCCCTCCCCAGGGTTTGGCTGGAGAGGCGGTTGTGGTCCAGGAGGAGGGTGTGGAGGACAGTGAGGTTCTGGAAGGCGTCGTGGGTGATGGTGGCGATAGCGTTGTGGCTGAGGGACAGCACGGTCATGCTGGACATGTCAGACAGGAAGTGGCGGTCCACGGACACGATGGAGCCGTCGGTCAGCATCAGGGCCTTGGTGGTCTCAGGGGCCTCTAGAGGTGGAAGAAAACACAGACCTGGTTGTCAATCATTACTGCTTTAATAGGGCTGGCTACACAGATAGCTTTTGACACAAAGAGTCAGGATCTTTATGATAGCCAGACCCGTCGCCAGACCTCAGTCTTAAGGGGGGCATATGAAATGCATGGGAGGGCAGGGCACAATTATTATTAGCCTACAGTACGTATATTTAATAATAAATTCCCTCAAGTGGGGGGGGGGGGGGGCACAAGCATTTTGGGGTGCGGGCCCGGCCCCCTATGGCCCGCCCATAGCGACGGGTGTGATGATAGCCATAGGCTAGTGTGGAGCAAGACATTCCAACAAATCTTGCTCAAATGAATGCCATCTTAGATCATTAGTAGAGGGCGATATTTCTTAATCTCAACTCGGCAGTCAATGATCATTCTTACCTAGGATGTTGGAGAGCTTGTAACAGATGACAGCATCTTCAGAACACACCACACAGGAGGCTGGACATGAGGAGAGGCTCTGGGTATGTGTGATTGACAGCATCAGCATCAGGAAAACACCTGGGTTTCACCAAGGGCACACACACACAGCTGGTTAGCTTGGAGGGGGAATGGTATATCAACATTTCTTGTCGGTATATTTAATATCTTAGCTGTTCACACATTCAATAGACCTACATTGTGAAGCATTAATCCAATACCTGAACAGCACGTGTAGAGAGAGAATATACCTTTCATGTGTTGAATATTGACAAATCGGTGTTGAAATGTTACGGTAGACATACTTCTCATGGTTTGTTATTGGCCAGGCTGCATGGTGTTGTGTTGGCTCTCCCATGTAAGTGGTCTCAGGGCCTTATCATCTTGTCTCAACTCCTTTACAGGTCTGGTCATACTGCTCCTACAGATATATAACCACCGTCTTAATAATATGTAATTATTATATATTTTTTTATAAAAACATATTCAGCTCAGTAACAAATACTTTGCTAATTTGGCTTGTGTTGCTAGGAGACCAAATAAACTGGGGTGAAAGCAATGGTAACAACCTGGGATTCATGAAACCTGGGATTCCTCTGTAGCTCAGCTGGTAGAGCACGGCGCTTGTAATGCCAGGGTAGTGGCTTCGATCCCCGGGACCACCCATAAACAAAACATTTTTTTTTTGCACGCATGACTGTAAGTCGCTTTGGATAAAAGCGTCTGCTAAATGGCATATTAAAATGAAACATGCATGATGACCCCCCTGGAGTCTATTCAGTTCACCCATGTTACCTATCTGAGTCATACATAGATAAACATGATCCAGATCAAGTCTTACCTGCAGGCCTAAATGGACCAGAGAATCCAACCATCCAAAAACACCGTCATAGACCGCTCACAGATCAGCTGCGAGTCCCATTACAGGTGAAAACATTAGTTCTACAACCAGTCCAATATAACATCATATAAGCACTCATTGTGCTTCATCATTTCAACATTGACCAACCCAGGTTACGGTTGTCACTCCTACTGTTTCACAGTCAACAGTCTGTGTTCGTATTGGAGAGGCTGGGTAAGGTTACCTGTGCTTCTCTGAGCATGCTCAGTTCGCAGGTCTGTTACCTGAGATGGCACCGGATGGGACGGTGTCACACACACCCCTGACTTAACTTGTGTCTGACAGAGGTAAAAGATTGAGCACTTCAATGCTATTATTTACTCTGGAAAATGAGGAATTCCCTTTGTAATATTTTACAAAAATTGCATTCAATGAAAATATTTATTATTTCAAATTTTTCTTATCGACCCAATGCATTGAAATGACAACAAATTGGTTTAGAAATTCACATGATTAATCAAGAAGATCACCGAAAGTGAGCCCCATCATCTTCGTCTGTGGCAAGATTTCAAGCAATTTGAATTCCATATGCATGAAACGCATGTAAAGTAATCAGAATTTCATCCCACTGTCAATCAGTAACATTTCACAGTAGTCCTACAGATGTTCCATTCACATGGTCAGTACCATCTTCCCAGAAGCCCCAGGGCAGTCTATGATGTCAATATGGGCCTGGGAGGCCATGTCCAGGGTGTACTGTTTTCCTACTGCAGGCTTCAGCCAACCAGCATCCAACCCTGCAAACAGGGCTGCGGCACACTCAGCCTTCTCTTCCTGTAGAGGTGAGAGACAGAAAATATAATTTAGACTATATAATGTATGATTTATAGAATGACTACTGCCTGAATGAGAATCAACATTATACTAGGAATCTAGACTCTTACAACAGTAGCGTAGGGTAAGGCAACACCAATGATGCTGGACTCTTTGGCCATGGTGTCTCGAGGGTTGATTTCAATAGGGCCTCTACTGCCAACAACCTAAACAACAAAAGAGAAAAATAAAAGTCTAAAATAAATTACACATGCTAACGGAAAGTATTCAGACTCCTTGAATTTTTCCACATTTTGTTAGGTTACAGCCTTATTCTAAAATGGATGAAATAGTTGTTTCCCCCTCATCAATCTACACACAATACCCCATAATGACAAAGCAAAAACATGCTTTTTATAAGTTTCTGCTAATTTATTAAAAATAAATGTTTAAATATTACATTTACATAAGTATTCAGACCCTTTACTCAGTACTTTGTTGAAGCACCTTTGGCAGCAATTACAGTCTCGAGTCTTCTTGGGTATGACGCTACAAGCTTGGCACACCTGTATTTGGGAAGTTTCTCCCATTCTTCTCTGCAGATCCACTCAAGCTCTGTCAGGTTGGATGGGGAGCGTTGCTAGTTGTTATTAGTCCCATCCTTCAATTCCATTCAACACCTCCCATCTATCTCTTAACACCATCCATATAGGATTTATATTTGCCATATATATTTCAACTGTACTGTGATGTCTTACAAAAGTTCTGAACCTTTCTATTCTCATTGTTTCTATAGATTGTGAATTAAAAATAAACATTTTTGCTAAAAGTATTATTATATTATTAATCGATTGACTATGACTTTTCAGATCACCCAGTAATGCTATCTGCAAGGTTAGCTCCAGGTAAATATTGCAATCCTTTAGCCATTCCTGGACCTGTGTCCAAAAACAAGCTACAAATGGACAGTACCAAAACAAATGATCTAATGATTCTGTCTCTTCGCAGCTAAATCTGCAGAGCTGGGAAGATTGTATCCCCCATATAAATAACATTCTATTGGTAGCAAGAATTTTATATAATAATTTAAATTGAAAGATTCTAAGTTTTGAATCCGGTGTCGTTTTGCGTATCAGTTCATAAACACTATGCCATGGGATCGGTACGTCAAAAATCTCTTCCCAACTATTTTGCAATCTATATGGGACGGCTGTCAATCCTTTGTTCCTTAAATGAAACTGATTTCTTTTTTATTTATCACAGTTTTCCTTAACCAATTTTGTTCTTTAATGCAAGGCCGACAGACAAGTTCCTTACTTTCTCCCCCTTCCACTTTCCTCTTCCATTTTTGCGGTAAGGCTGCAATTATTTGGTTGTAATTTTGGGTAGAGCAGACATTTCCATATGTTTTTAAACCTTATATAGACAGGTGTGTGCCTTTCCAAATAATGTCCAATCAATTGAATTTACCACAGATGGACTCCAATCAAGTTGTAGAAACATCTCAAGGATGATCAATGGAAACAGGATGCACCTGAGCTCAATATCGAGTCTCATAGCAAAGGGTCTGAATACTTCTGTAAATAAGGTATTTCAGTTTATCTTTATTATTATTTTTTGCAAAAATGTCTAAAAACCTATTTTCGCTTTGTCATTATGGGGTATTCTGTGTAGATTGCTGAGGATTTTTATTTATTTAATAAGGCTGTAACGTAACAAAATGTGGAAAAAGTCAAGGGGTCTGAATACTTTCCGAAGGCACTGTATACTGACCGTCACTCTCCCCCCGTAGGCCAGCATCTGCAGGTCACTACTGAGGTTCACATTAGACAGCATCTCCACAATCACATTTACACCTTGCCCCTTGGTAGCATCCTGTAAAAACAAATTGCCCAGACATAACTCATTAAGACAACCTGTGTTTACAAAAGCGGCACCTCAGTTCTTAACTTATCCTAGGCTAACATGGCATGTTAGAAATGAGAAAAATTAACACCTCATCTGTAATAACAAGTGTTTTATTTTACCCACTCTGGTTTAGCAGCTACAATGTATAGCCTAGTAGTAGTCACTCACTGAAAGACATACACAAAATGTCCTTAAAATTAATTCAGGTCTAAAGGAGACCGCCACTATGACTCCTTCCCACCTACCATGATCTTGCTAGTGTATCCTTCCTCTCTGTGGTTGAAAGCCTGGTGAGCTCCATTCCTCAGGACCAGCTCCAGTCCCTCTGGGGTTCCTGCTGTCCCCAGGACCCTCAGGCCCAAGGCTCTGGCCATCTGACACGCTGCCACCCCCACCTGACAAGATACACACCACCAAGAAAAGGTCACAAACACTGGGTCCTAGTAAATTAACCCCCCAAAAACACTTGTCTTTAAGCAGTGCAATAAAGGTCATTTGGATTCATTTGATCTTTATTAAATGAAAATGGGGGAAAATAACTATTGCACAGACATTAAACAGAAGAGGGCATTGATCTTACCCCGCCACTGGCTCCATGGATGAGTACTGTCTCGCCTGCTTTAGCATGTGCTCTGGATCATAAGACAATGGATCACAAGACCCCGTCACTCATCATACTGTACACGCCCCACCAACAAAGACTATTAGTAAAATAACAGACATACAGATTTCAATAATATAAAACAAAAGTCTTATTTTGCAGCAGAGTCGATGAATCTCAACTGATTTGAACATAATTTTGATTGTGATGCTGAGTCTGTTTAACCATGTCAAATCCAAAGACCTCAACCAAAGCATTGGTGTGGGAGCGGTGAGCCCTAAACACTTCTACTGTCTCCCTGCTTCTGCTCCTATCCTGTCATAAAAATAATACGCTCAGAATTCCGTTCTCCTTAAACGAAACAAAAAAATGCCGGTGTCTTACTTATGGAAGAGAGCTCTGTATGCTGTGCAGTAGGGGATCCCAATGGCAGCTCCCTGTTTGTAGTCTAAGGGGTCTGGCAGCCGGTAGACACAGTCCTCAGACACAACGGTGTATTCAGCATACCCTCCTGTCTCTGTGGCAGTGGTGAACACACGGTCACCAGCCTGAAAGGTGAAACAGACCAGACTTCCACTTCAGCGCCTAATGGTATAGTCATACACAAACTCAATATGAACACATTCACACAATGAGTACTCATAGTACTTCAGTCTATATAATCAAGGAGAGTTGAAAGCAAAATGTTGGTGGGCAATTACTTTCTCACAAACTACACATGCCGCATGCGCATAGTTACCAATTACCATCAGTGATCATAATGTTACAGGTAGCCTAGGGATGGATGGTACAGTAAGATCAGCACCTGTAAGAGTTGGACCCCGTCTCCGACTGCTTCCACGACCCCTGACACGTCAGTCCCTGGAGTGTAGGGCAGGCTGGGCTTCCTGGCATAGGTCCCAGAGCGGATGTAGGTCTCCACAGGGTTCACTCCACACGCATGCACACGGATTAGCACCTGGAGAACACAGGCTGTTTCATACATAGAGAACCTTCTGCAGACCTAGAATTAAGTAACATAATACAACATAGAAAACAGCTACAGGTAGAAGTGCAATACAATAAATGTAAAAGGCATCCATTGTCTTTTGCACTTTACAGTTAGCAAAAGTAATAGTAAGTTACTCAAGTTTTTGAAATATTTTTTTTACCTGTTTCTGACCTGGATTTGGCAAAGGTATGTTGGAGCAGAGTTTCAAAACGGAGGGTCCGCCAAACTCACTCACTCGAATGGCTCTCATTAACTTGGACGTTGTTGCCATCTGCACACAAATCGAGTAGCTAACTAGTTGGCTAAAACCTTTACATGCAGCTAACGTTAGCTGGCAAGTAGTAGCGTTAGTAGAAGACACACGAGTGGCTTATGGACTTTGGGACAGTGCAGTGGCATTAGCTAGCTAACGTTACCAAACGAGCAACTGTACTGTCTGGTTACCTAGCTATCACTTCAGCAGGACGTTTGAGTACAAATACTATAATGTTTCTAAAAATACAACTAGCATAAACTTTATATCAAGGCAATGAAAGTCAAAACGGACTCACCATTTATGTAAGAAAGCTTTTAGTAACTTCTGTCCCAAAATAATTATCCTCCCCACTTGCCTCACGGTGGCGACAGCATGACATTATCAACATCCGAATTTGACACTCTCAGCCACCGTAAAACGCTTTTCTCATTTGATAAATATTGCATTTCATTCAAAACATTATGCAATGAAAAGGGTTGAGGGTTTGAATGTTGCACCAGAAGAGTCCATTGTAGTGGATAGGCCTTCACTGCAGGCTGCAGGGGTTGTCTTACACCAAGAGGATCCTGACATTTTAAAGGTTAAAAAGGTGGACTTTGTGGCCTTTATCGCAATGGTGATAAATGGCACTGCCAAGGTGGAGAAAAGATCTAGGAAGATTGAAATCATTGTGATTGCGGTGGAGCGGATCCTGGGGCTGAAAGATTTCACAGCAAAGGATTTACATGGAATATTAGCAAAAGCTGTAACACCTTCTCAGGTCCTAGAGCCTGAGAAGCGAGATATGGAGAACTAAAAGAAGGAAGAAGTGGGAGTTTTGTTTGTTTTGGAAATGTAATATCTTTATTAGGGTGGATTGTTAGAATCACTATTAAGTATGGATTTATTTATTTATTTTGGTTTCAAATCGTCCAGTTGGTGGCGGCAATACAACTTTTGGATGTAGTCCGCCATAAAACCCACAGAAGAAGAAGAAGAAGAAGAAGAAGAAACAACATTAGGCAAGAAGGGGGAAGATGGCGGAAGTTGATGCTGAGTTCGAATCAAGCAGCGCGTCGAGCAAATTTGGTGAAGACGAATGTTCTGAATGGACGACAGTAGTATCGAAAACAGGAACAAAATGGAAATTGTCTAAAATTGCAGCGGAGGATATGTGTGTGAATGATAATGAATCGCATCTTGTTGGGATGCGTTTGTTAAGTAAGGATGCATATGTGGGAAACCCGTTTGAGGTGTCAAATTGTGAAGACCAGGAGTGGTCTTATTTTGATTAATTGTATTTCTGAAGAGCAGAGGAAGATTGCAGTGGGCCTCAAAAGAATCCGGACAACAGAAGTTTTGTGTTTTGAACTTCGGAGTAGAGCACCCGTAAAAAGAGTCATCTCAGGGGTGACGACGGATGTTCAGGTTGAATACTTGAAGAGAATTCCTGGTGTGGTTGGTGCCCAGTGTCATGTAAAAATCTTCCCAGCATGAAATAGTTCCCAATCGTTCTGATCGTGTTCTGATTGTGATGTCATGCTGTAAAAAGTGTCTGACCTGCTGGGTGAATGGAGAAAAATAAGAAAGTCTGTAGGTCCTGTTGTTTTTTGATAAAGAGCAAATATCTACACATGTGAAGCTTGGTTATGTAAGATACGCCCAAACCACTGCAGTGTAAGAATTGTAAAGGATTTGGCCATGTTTCAAGTGAAGTGCAGACGAACAGAGTATACTGAAGAACGGTGTGTAGAAGGACGACAGTGTTGCAATTGTGGTGGGGGTCATGATCCTGAGTTCCTGGACTGCCCTGCAAGGGTGAAGGAGATTGAGGTGGCAAAAGTTAGAGCGGTCAATCGAATCTCCTTAAAATAATTGAGAAAACAAGTGATGCTAGTGAAGATATGGTAGTGGACGCACCACAGCCTGTAGTAAATGTTTGCTGCCAGATAAAAGATACCCTGTCTGCCACAGTTATAAACTGTACAACACAAGTCTCAAAGAAGTCTAAGAAACTGGACATTATTGTGGCTGCGGCAGATACATTTTTGGGACTGAAGGATTTTACATCTGAAGACTTGCAAGGGGTACTAGCGCCAGAAGACCCACCCTCCCAGGTTCCCCTCGAGCCTGTGTAGGGATCAGATCTGTTTTGATCTGCTCCTGGCTTTTTGTCACACACAATACATGTAAAATGGGAGATTTTGTGTCTGGTTTGGAGAAGTCATGTGAAGTTTGAGCCTATTGTGCTTCATGTCCAATGCAGACAGCTTGATGAAGCGCAGCTTCTGGTAAATCAGATAACCCTCCTGCTCTGTAGTTCTCATTGAAAATATCAAACTCTCCAGACTAGTTTACAACATATTACAGTTGCCTGTGTATCCTTGCTTATATTGAAACTACTGTACCATGAACTTTGGATTGATCTTCATTTGTTGCCAGAAAGACACAGCTGTGATTGTTCATGTGAGCTGATGTTTATTTTACAGCACTCTGTGGCAATAAACTCTGGCTTTAGAAACTCCGGATTAACTGTCAGCAAGAAGGGAAAAATCATATCGGTTTGTAATTTAGTTTTTCATGTATTAATTAATTATTCTGTATGAAGTGCCTTACTGATATGCTTGTGTAACAGAGGTGGTTCTGTGTTTTATTCTGAGTGTGATATCTCTCTAGGCAGTCCAAAGTACCCATGGTCAGAAGGTTCCACTGAGCCACAAAGGACAGGTCCTGGTCAAAGAATATGTATATACTGACAAGATACATGTCTCTCTTCCCTAACAGTGGGAGTCGTTGTCCACAAAGCGGCACGGCGGGCTGTCTAGCTCCGCCTATCCTTTCTTTGGATTGGTGGATTACGTCTCATTATTGTACTCCTTTTTGGAATATTCGATGAGGGTTGTTGATGTCAACCGCCTGTATTTTATGCAACTAGCCTCATGCCATGAATATACATAGCCATCTTGAGACAACTCAGATATAAATAGTTTTTTTCTCAAAGTTGCCGGGATGTCACGTGTCCTACTTATATCAGTACACTTGTAACAACTTAAGCATTACAAAACTTCTATTCAATCAAATACACCTCAAGTAGCAAATAAGCCATTCATTTTTGTGATTACCAAATTCAACACTCTCTCATTGACCTCCATACAAAAACTCTTTGCTTGATGGGCGAAACAACGAAAAATCGCCACCTGCTGGAGGGAGACAGATTTCCCTCCGAGTTCGGCTTCTCTCTTCCTCTTCCTCTCTGTGCTGGTGGAGGACTATATACGTTTCCTGGTGGAAGTAGCCAATCAGAAAATGGAGGAAAATCTCAAACGAATAGAGAGGTCAATTGTCCATTACCAACTACAGCAGCTAGCTAGATATCACTGTGTAAGATTATGATCAAAGTTAAGTTCATGACTTGATTTACAAAAAGTGCTCTGAATTTATTGGAATTGAAAACTTGTCAGACCTCCATGTTTTCAGACTCTCTGCTTCCGCATGGCGAGCGGTACTGGTGCATGTTCTTGGAACAGCTTCCATCCACAAACAATAAGACTGATAAATAGCTAACAAAATACAGGGAGGGAATTAAGTATTTGATCCCCTGCTGATTTTGTACGTTTGCCCACTGACAAAGACATGATCAGTCTATAATTTTAATGGTAGGTTTATTTGAACAGTGAGAGACAGAATAACAACAAAATCCAGAAAAACGCATGTCAAAAATGTTATACATTGATTTGCATTTTAATGAGGGAAATAAGTATTTGACCCCTCTGCAAAACATGACTTAGTACTTGGTGGCAAAACCCTTGCTGGCAATCACAGAGGTCAGACGTTTCTTGTAGTTGGCCACCAAGTTTGCACACATCTCAGGAGGGTTTTTGTCCCACTCCTCTTTGCAGATCTTCTCCAAGTCATTAAGGTTTCAAGGCTGACGTTTGGCAACTCAAACCTTCAGCTCCCTCCACAGATTTTCTATGGGATTAAGGTCTGGAGACAGGCTAGGCCACTCCAGCACCTTAATGTGCTTCTTCTTGAGCCACTCCTTTGTTGCCTTGGCCGTGTGTTTTGGGTCATTGTCATGCTGGAATACCCATCCACGACCCATTTTCAATGCCCTGGCTGAGGGAAGGAGGTTCTCACCCAAGATTTGACGGTACATGGCCCCGTCCATCGTCCCTTTGATGCGGTGAAGTTGTCCTGTCCCCTTAGCAGACAAACACCCCCAAAGCATAATGTTTCCACCTCCATGTTTGACGGTGGGGATGGTGTTCTTGGGGTCATAGGCAGCATTCCTCCTCCTCCAAACACGGCGAGTTGAGTTGATGCCAAAGAGCTCGATTTTGGTCTCATCTGACCACAACACTTTCACCCAGTTCTCCTCTGAATCATTCAGATGTTCATTGGCAAACTTTAGACGGGCCTGTATATGTGCTTTCTTGAGCAGGGGGACCTTGCGGGCGCTGCAGGATTTCAGTCCTTCAATGCGTAGTGTGTTACCAATTGTTTTCTTGGTGACTATGGTCCCAGCTGCCTTGAGATCATTGACAAGATCCTCCCGTGTAGTTCTGGGCTGATTCCTCACCGTTCTCATGATCATTGCAACTCCACGAGGTGAGATCTTGCATGGAGCCCCAGGCCGAGGGAGATTGACAGTGCTTTTGTGTTTCTTCCATTTGCAAATAATCGCACCAACTGTTGTCACCTTCTCATCAAGCTGCTTGGCGATGGTCTTGTAGCCCATTCCAGCCTTGTGTAGGTCTACAATCTTGTCCCTGACATCCTTGGAGAGCTCTTTGGTCTTGGCCATGGTGGAGAGTTTGGAATCTGATTGATTGATTGCTTCTGTGGACAGTTGTCTTTTATACAGGTAACAAGCTGAGATTAGGAGCACTCCCTTTAAGAGTGTGCTCCTAATCTCAGCTCGTTACCTGTATAAAAGACACCTGGGAGCCAGAAATCTTTCTGATTGAGAGGGGGTCAAATACTTATTTCCCTCATTAAAATGCAAATCAATTTATAACATTTTTGACATGCGTTTTTCTGGATTTTTGTTGTTGTTATTCTGTCTCTCACTGTTCAAATAAACCTACCATTAAAATTATAGACTGATCATTTCTTTGTCAGTGGGCAAACGTACAAAATCAGCAGGGGATCAAATACTTTTTTCCCACACTGCAGCTACACAGAGTTAACCTTGTATCTTTATTTACCTTTTATTTTTATTTTTGCACCGTCTCTATGCACACTCACAGGGCCCTACACACTCACACCTACACTCACTCCATCATCAGCTCACTCACACATAATATACACATACAGTGCATTCGGAAAGTATTCAGACCCCTTGACTTTTTCCACATTTTGTTACGTTACAGCCTTATTTTTAATATGGATTAAATTTTAAAA